TGTGGGTTTGATCCTCAGCTGGGGTATGTATGAGAGGCAACCAACTGATATTTCTATCTCACATTGATGTTTCTCTCTCTTATTCTCTCCCCTCTATTACCCCCTCTCTAAAATCAATAAACAGGTCCTTGGGTGAGGATTAAAAATATTATTTTATGTTAGCAATATATATACTATTTCCAGTTCTCTTTATTTCTTCCTACAGATCCAGGGTTCTGCCTAGAATAATTTCCCTTCACCCTGCAGAACTTCCTTTAATAGATTTCATAGTGTGGATCTACTGGTAAGTAAATACTTTCAGCTTTTGTTTCCCTGAAGTTGTCTTCATTTTTGTCCTCAATTTTGAAGAATAGTATTGCTGGACATAGAATTCTATATATATGTGTTTTTTTTCAGTAGCTTTTTTAAGTTGATTATGCCATTACAGTTGTTCTATTCCCCCCTTCATTCCCCTCCACCCTACCCCCCCATTCCCACAATTACCCCCCCTTTAGTTTATGACCATGTGTCTCAAGTTCTTTAGATTCTATATTTCCCCTACTATTCTTACCCTCCCCCTATCTATTTTCTATCTACCATCTATGCTACTTATTTTCTGTACCTTCTCCCCTCTTCTCCTTCTCCCACTCCCCTGTTGCTAACCCTCCTTGAGATCTTCCTTTCTATGTTTCCACTCCTGATCTAGCTGTCCTTTTAGTTTGCTTTTGTTTTAGGTGTGGTTCTTAATAACTGTGAGTTTGTTGTCCTTTCACTGTTTATGTTTTTTTAACTTCTTTTTCTTAGATAAGTCCCTTTAACATTTCATATAATAAGGGCTTGGTGATGATGAACTCCTTGAATTTGATCTTATCTGAGAAGCACTTTATCTGTCCTTCCATTCTAAATGAAAGTTTTGCTGGATAGAGCAATCTTGGTTGTAGGTCTTTGGATTTCATGACTTGGAATACCTCTTTCCAGCCCCTTCTTGCCTGTAAGGTCTCTTTTGAGAAATCTGCTGACAGTCTGATGGGGACTCATTTGTAGGTGACTGTCCCCTTATCTCTTGCTGCTTCTAAGATTCTCTCCTTCATTTTAATCTTGGCTAATGTAATGATGATGTGCCTTGGTGTGTTTCTTCTTGGGTCCAACTTCTTTGGGACTCTCTGAGCTTCCTGGATTTCCTGGAAGTCTATTTCCTTTGTCAGATTGGAGAAATTCTCCTTTATTATTTGTTCAAATAAGTTTTCCACTGGTGGCTGTTCCTTTCTCCCTTCTGGTACCCCTATAATTCAGATGTTGAAGCGTTTAAAGATGTCCTGGAGGTTCCTAAGCCTCTCCTCATTTTTTTGAATTCTTGCTTCTTCACTTTTTTCTGTTTGGCCATTATTTGCTTTCTTCTGGTCCACTCCATTGATTTGAGTCCCAGTTTCCTTTTCATCGCTATTGGTGTCCTGTGCATTTCCATTCATTTCAATTAGTTTCGCCTTCATATGTTTGTCTAATTTGTGGCTATAATCAACCAGTTCTGTGAGGATCCTGATCACCAGTGTTTTAAACTGTGCGTCTGAGAGTTTTGCTATTTCTTCATCGCTTAGATTTATAGGCTCTGGGGCTTTGAGATCTTCTTGAGCCATTTTTGGTCAGTTTACGCCTGTTCAGTGTGAGGAGCGGAGCCTTGGACTCCCAGGTCGCTGGGTTGTGACGCTGTATGTGGGGGCGTGGTCAGAGTGGGGAAATGATGGCGCCCTCTGTTGCCGCTGGGGGCCTGCTGGGTCCCATCTAATCGCCCACTCTCTTGTTTGTCTATCTGTGCACAAATGCGTGACCACAGTCAACCCGCAGCCCTGCTCCCTCGCTGTTTCCCCGCGGTTGCTCGCTGTGTCTCTCACTAGGTCCAACCCTGCGCCTGGGTTCCGCGTGCCTGAGTCCGTCTGACCGAGTTTTCCTGTGCAACCCTGCTCCGCCAGCTGCTGGTTTCGCCCCTCTTACCGGTCAGGCTGAAGAATTTGTTGTTATCAGACTTCTGAAAAGTTCAATTTTCTGTGTTCTGGCTGTGTTTTCTGTTGCTAATATTTAGTTGTCTCTAAACTTGGTTGTGTGAGAAAGCACAGCATCTCCACCTATGCCTCCATCTTGGTGGATCCTATATATATTTTTTTATCTTTTAGCACTTTAAAGATGGCATTCCATTGTGTTTGGCTTCCATTGTTTCTGATGAGAAGTCAATTTTGATTCATGGTATTCACCTATATGCAATGTGCATTTTGCTTTGACTACTTTTTTACCCTTTTTTCTTTAATTTTTAGCAATTGACTATGGCATGCCTAGGTGGAATATTCTTTGTATTTACATAATTTAGGATTCATGAACTTCTTGATCTGGGATTCTTGTGGGCTCATGTCCTTCACAGATTTTGGGAAAAAATCTGCCATATCTCTTCAAATTTTCTTCTACACTATTCTCTGTCTCCTTTCTGGGACTCTAATTACATGTGTTTCAGAATAGTTTGGTAGTGTTTCTCTGATTTCTGGTACTCTGTTCTTTTCATTTATAACACTTTCATTTTAGATCATTTCTATTGGCCATTTTTAAATTCGCTAACCCTTTCATATACTGGGTCCAGTCTGATATTAAGCCGATCTAATACAATTTTTTTTAAAGATTTTATTTACTTATTTTTAGAGAGAGGGAAAGGGAGGGAGAAAGAAACATCAATGTGTGGTTGCCTCTCATGTGGCCCCCACTGAGGACCTGGCCTGCAACCCAGGCATGCGCCCTGACTGGAAATCGAACTGGCAACCTTTTGGTTCGCAGCCCACACTCAATCCACTGAGCCACACCAGCCAGGGCCTAATACAATTTTTATTTCAGGTATTGTGTCTTTCAGTTCTAGAATTCCTATTTTGTTCTTTTTTTTAGAGTTTCTATTTTTCTGTTAAAATTCCCTTTCCATTCACCCATTTGTCCATATTTTCACTAAATTCTCTAGCAGATTTATTAGCTATCTTTATCTGTGTGCTAACTCCAGCACTCTGGGTGAATGTGTCTTCTTTAACTCCTTGGTTTTCGGACTTCCATACAGTTTGATTTTCTGGCAGTTTTTTGTTTTTAGATTTGTTGTCCTTTTGGTTGTGCGAGGAAGCACTGTGTATCTACCTATGCCTCCATCTTGGCCAGGAGTCTGTGGGCTTTTCTATATGTTTGTTATAGTTCAGTTACAAAAAAGAAAGTATGTGTGGGGGAACTCTTAATACAAAAAACAAAGTTACAAAAAAAAATCATACCACAAAGTAGAGGATATTTACAACACATAAGAAAGGATTTCTATCCAGAATGTTTCATTTTTGAAATAACTACAGATCAAAAAGAAATGGGAAAAAAAATTTTTTAAAGCAACCCTGTAGAAAAATGAGTCAAAGATAAGAAAAAATAAAACATAGGAAGAGGCCTGAATGGCCCCAAAGCGTATGATATGTTATTCAACCTCAGTACACATGTTGCTGCAATACATGTATCAGGGCTTTTTTTCCATTGCTCAAAACAATTTTTGAACTTGTCAATTTTGATACCTTTTCCTTCTTCTATTGTTTGTTTCTCTTTTACACATGGTACACCCATTGAGGAATTTTTTCCTCCAAGGAAGCAAAAAATGTCACTCAGGGTGGGGCGAGATCTGATGCGTAGGGAGGGTGGGGCACAGTGGTCATGCCATATTTGGTCAAAAACTGCTGAACACTCAGTGCAGTTTGGGTGGATGCACTTGTAAATCACCCATCGTGAAACTTGCAAATGCGTTGAGTCTTTAAAAAATTTTCTGAAGCCCAGCACAGCCTCTTGCAACACCGGCTGGTCCACTGACACAGATGGGTTGTTCCTAGAGCGCTCGCCTGGCAGGGGAAGCCAGTGCTACTAGGGGCCCGCCCTACATAGGGTAATTCTAGATGTTTGGGTTCCCCCTCATATGCCTCAAGACGTTAATGTAAAAAATATCCAAATATATAATAAATGTTATATATTTTTAAAAATAAAAAATAAAAATTTAACTAAATGTGGCAAAGATATTAACATTTATTAAATCAGGGCAGTGGTACATAGTTTTTAAATATATTGATATATAATGTTCTCTGTGCTTTGTCGTTTGTTTATTTGATAGTTTCATTTTTTTAAATGTTAGATTGGAATCAGGGTGTGAAGGGTATTGGAAGCCTTCCTCATTTTTCCAAACACTCTTTTAATTCATTGTAGGGACAGCTTTTCCAATCACTGCATCTGTATATTCGTTTTTGCCCTGTAGTCACCAGAGCAAGGCGGAGGGGGAGCGAGGTCTGACAGAATCTTCTCTGTCTTCCTGTGTCTTAGCTACCAGCGTTTATAGTAGAGTTCAATAATATCTTTTCAGGATGCTTCCATTAAACTTAAAATATTACCATACAACATAAATATCTTTAAGCCCATGACCCAAGTGAGTGTGATTTAGAATTTGAAAATAAGTTAAAAGTATATCTTTTACATTTCTGCTCAAAAAAAGAATAATGGTTATACCTAAAATTTTAAGATGTAAATAATATTGTTTGCTACTTCAGTTGATAAATATGTAAATGATGAACAATCATAAAGAATTCTGTTTTTATGGAATTATAAAAAAGCTACTTTTTAATAATTTCAGAAATATAACAATTTAAGTAATTAAAAAAAACCTCACTGATGTTGCCTTAGCTTATTAAGTAACTCTTTCTAAATAATTATTGAGGACTTTTAATTTTATAAGCAGAAAAATTATGTAGTAGTCAGGGAGAGTAGTCAGGGATTTGTTTTGTGGAATAATGTAGTGGAAATACTCATATCTTACAGATTATTCATGAGAGAAGTCTGAAGTTTACTTATGTAAATCAACATGTTATAGAGTCCCTCCCACTTGTTGAAGAGCTTGGTTGGTAACCTGTGTGCTAGGCAACAGGCTTTCTCTCTCTTCTTTTTCTCACAACAAGAAGTGCCTTTTGTTGTTATTGTTTTATTTGCAGGTTAAACAATTTAAGATGAGAAAAGTTGATCTCTGTTTGAGCTCTGAAGGGGCCGAAGTAATTTTAGCTACTTCAAGTGATGAAAAACACCCTCCTGAAAATATGATTGATGGGTAAGAGTTTTATTCTTTCTTCCTTAAAGTCTTGATATTAGATCAGTGAACCCCTTGAGTACTGGGACCATGTGTTTTTATAACGACTAACCCTGTTAAATGTAGTTTAATAAATTTTTGGTTAAAAATAAAAATAAATAACTAAATGTTTGGTGAAGTAGATTACCTGGCAATATCCACTTTTAGTCCCATTTCTGAAACCAATTCAGTTGTATATATTTCGGTTTTGATCCTTTTCTTTATAATTCCTAAACTGACCTTTATGAATAGTTTTTTAAGGAGTAGTTTAATAAGACAAAACTTCAAACAGCAGCAACCTCATTTTATGGAAGTATATATTTTAATATCTAATTACGGTTTTATTTCAAGTTTTTCTTAGTAAATAGGTATATAAGCATTGTAATTTCCTGTCCACTGCCTATTTCCTTAGTAGCCTAAGCAGCATCTTTGCTAAACTGAATGCTTCACTATCCGCCATCCACCGGCTTTCTTTGGTTCTTGACCTCTTGATATTATTCTAATTTCCACTCTTTACCATGCTAGAGCTTATCCTAGGTAGATGACTATTGTTCTGAAACTTTTAAATTCCTAGAAGAAGTAGTTAATGGGTAACTCTGGCTATTTTATCACTCTCTTGAGTTCTCTTCCTTGGTATTTGTACAGTGACCAGATTTTGACTAATAGAATCATGTGATTTTAGAACTAGAAAGATTTATGAGTTCATTTATCTAAACCTTTCATTTTAGACTCAGGGTAAGAAAGGCCTAAAGAGGTCAAGTACTAGTTTTAACTTTTGAAGGCAGAGCTAATTGTAATACAGATCTTGTTCTTTGGGTTTTATTGTGAAGCCCATGTATGTAGATAAATACGAGCAACTCAACCTCTTCCTTTAAGCCTAGTAGTTATATTCTCTCTGATATCTCTCTTCTCCCTCAGGTAGGGTGAGTTTATCTTTTTTGTTGGAATCCAGTAGAATTTGGTAGATACCTCTATCACTTTATTTATTCCTTTATTGTATAATTATTTATCTTTGATGTTTGTTTCTTAATGGTGACTTCTTATAAGTCAGAGACTGTGACTTGTTCATTTTTAACTCCATAATGTCTTAAAATATATGTTGAGTAGCTTGTTGAATTAGACCATCAAATACTAGTCAAACTTAACAATGTTGGAAAGCTAATTTATACACATACATACATATATACACATACAGACATATATGTACATATGTTACTTTGCATTTACACAGGACTTTATAATTTCATAGATGATATGTTATTGACATACACTGTACGCTTGGGGAATAAGAGGCAAAAAAAAGTATTTTCGACCTCATTGTAAAGATGAGGGAAAAGATGGTCAGAGATAAAATGACTTGCACAAAGTCACACAGATAACCAAATGGCAGAATCAAGATTAACATTCATATCTACTAACTCCTAGTTTGGGGTTCTCTGTACTACACTGTAATTCAAACTTAAGGTTTGCATCAAAAACTTAATACCTGCTTTTACCTGTAGCTCTTAATCCTTCTTATTTTTTTACTTTCTGAAATTCACATAATAGTTATTTATCCCACTCTGCCTTGCAATAGAGAAATTAATGTGGGAACTGCTATAAGAATACATAGACCTACAAAGATTTGCATTAAGTTGTTTGCCAGAAATAGAGATCTTCCCATATCAGTCCATATCAATGAACAGTGACTAAGAACATAATATGTTTTAGATTAGACAAAACCCTTAGTATAGAAAACCACATGGAATAAAAGAAGTTACTGACCTGGTAACTGAACAGAGCACATCAGACTTTTAATCTATGCATTTCCAACAAATAAAATTAGACTTTATGTAGCAGATATGAAAAGTTATTCTCTACTAATAAATTGGTTTATTGAAATGGAAGTAACCATAGAATTATTTGGAGAAAACAGTGCTATAAATTTGCCCCAACTTGACAGTGTTCCCAACTCTCCCTTTCCCAGAAATAGAAGTTAAAGAAGGTGATTATATTTTTACTTGCCCTTAATGTTACTTTTTCCTCTGGCATTTAATGTATTAATAAAAGGGGGAAAAAAGTTCTGCACTGGAAAATAAAATAAGTTAAGATGAAAAGAATTAGTTCTTTTTGGATGATATAAAAGAATACAAGATTTACAGTTAAAACACCTGGGTAAGTGAACTATATGTGTTACCTTGGGCTTAAGAGTAGATGTGTTACTCTTTGAGTCTCAGTTTCCTAGTCTGCAAAATGGGGGTAATACTACCTTTTCTGAGCGCCTTACTTCTCTGACTAGCTGAGAGTTGTGAAAGAAGTAACGTAAGATAATAGATAACTAAACAGTCATTAGCTATAAACCGTATTTAAAAGAAAATTACTTTCTCCTTAGCCAGATGGCTCAGTTGGTTCGAGTGTTGTCCATACACCAAAAAACGGTTGCATGTTTGATCCCCAGTGAGGGCACATACCTAGGTTATGGGTTCAGTCTCCAATGGGGACATGTATGGGAGGCAACCAGTCAATGTTTCTCTCTCTCTCTCTCTCTTTCTGTCTGTTTGTCTCTCTCCTTCCCTCTTTCTCTCTAAAAGCAATAACATGTATCCTCAGGTGAGGATTAAGGTAAATAAGTAAAAAGAAAATTATTTTGATGGCCTCATTAAATATGAGGATTCAGCCCTGGCCAATGCGGCTCACTTGGTTGGAGAGCTGTCCTGTAAACTGAAAGGTCATTGGTTTGATTCGCAGTCAATGCACATGCCTAGGTTGCAGGATGGGTCTCTATTCAGATTATGTGCAAGAGGCAACCAATCAGTGTTTTTCTACCTCTTCTCCTCTCTCTAAAAATCACTGAGCATGTCCTTGAGTGAGGATAAAAAAATTATAATAAATACATAAATAGAATTTATTTAAAAAAGGATTCAGTAATATGTCATTTTAAAATCCATACCTATAGATACTATTTGATTTTATTGGTTTTGTTCTTTAAAAGGAAAAAACATAGGGCAATTAAAAGTCAATTGATTTACTTAAATATTTAAAGCCATATAAATATAAATTTTAAAAACTGTAAAATATTAAGCATAGTATTAAAAACCCAGAATTATGAGTTAGGAAACCTGGCTTCTTTTTCTTATTCTCCTTCTTTTTAAAAAAATAACATCTTTATTGACATATTATTCACATACCATGCAATTCACTCATTTAAAGTGTACAGTTCACTGAGTTCCTGTGTGTTCACAGAGCTCTGCAACCATCTGCACAATCCAATTTAGACCGTTTTATCATGCCGCAAAGAAACCTTGCAACCCACTGTAGTCACCCTGTATTTCCCCTACCCTCACCAGCCCTAGGCACCCACTAATCTACTTTCTGTCTCTATAGATTTGCCTATTCAGACATTTCATGTAAACAAAAGTATACATATGTTGTCTTTTGTGATTGGCTTCTTTCAGTTACATGTTTTCAAGGTTTACCCATGTTATGGTGCATATTAGTGCTTCATTCCTTTGTTTTGCCAAATGATACTTGATTGTATGTATATAACACATTTTATTATTCATTTATTAGCTCAAAGATATCTGGGTTGTTTCTCCTTTTTGACTAGATTTTACCAATCTTATTTTAAAATGCTAACTTACAGATCCAGGAAATTCAGCAAATCCTAAGCAGGATGAATACAAAGAGACCATATCATTATTTGCTAAAAATATAAAGAAAACATTTCAATAGCTGGAAGAAAAAAATACATTAAATACAGAGGAACAATAGTACCAGTGATAGCTAACTTTGCATTATAAACAAGGAGATCCAGGTAACAATGGAACAATATTTTTTAATGCTGAAAAAGAGACACCCCACCTCCCAAAAGCTTGTCAATTCAGAATTTTGTATCCAGCTAAAATATCCTTCAAAAAATGAGGATAGAATAAAGACATTGTATTCATCACAAATAGACTTGCATCATAAGAACTGTCAAGGGAAGTTCTGTAGGTTGAAATGTAAAATACTAGATGGAAATTTAAACCAGGAAGAAATTAAGTTCATTAGAAATGGTAAATATTTGGATAATATAAGAAAACAACCTTTTTTATTTTAAGTTTTTTGAAAGACAATTGACCACTTAATGGAAAAGAAATTGTACTTTGGGACTTATTACATATGTATTAAGTCCCAAGAGCATGAGTCTGCATGATGGGTTTTTAACTGGCCCTGTGTGAGTACCGTAATGGGAGCTGATAGTGCGGTGGGCAAGGATATAGTATTTTAATGATGGTACCAGATTATTATTTACAGGGTCATAAAATGGCATATAAAGCATTTAGATTTACAGACAATAAGGGGCCACTGAAGGTTTTAGACAAGAGTGACATAATTTCTGTTTTTAAAGAATATATATGGTGGTAGAAAAAGAAGAGTTATGAAAGTTGGGGAAAGATTAGAGGCAGAATGAATGGTTAGAAAAGGATTGTAAAAATTCAGGGGTTGTTTATTTTTTAAAAATACTCACTAGAATGTTGTGAATGTTTCATTTTTATTTGGCTATTTTTCTCTCTCTCTTTTTTACATATTAACAATAGGAATCCAGAAACATTTTGGACTACCACAGGAATGTTTCCCCAAGAGTTCATTATTTGTTTTCACAAACACGTAAAGATTGAAAAGCTTGTAATCCGATGTTACTTTGGTAAGCAAATCATACATTAATTTTCATCATTTAAAAATTTTTCCATAGGCAGAGGGCCCATACTTAAACTTTGGCAAACATGAATGTTTCTTTGCAGCATGGAATCCAGCTTGATTATTGGGGTGGGAGAGTGAGGAGCATGGCTTAACTGCCTTGAGCACAGTGAGACTCCATGAAACTGCAGATTTGAAACCGTTCCAAAGCACATAATAATTTCCATGCAATTTACTATGTGAAAGTTTTTGGCAAAAGACCCTATTATGAACATAAGAAGCCAGCTTGCCAGAACGCTAGGTTCCTTGACATATTTATTACAGATTCATTTGGCTTGTGGTTCTCTGTCAAATTCTTTCTGAAAATCTGATAACCCTGATTATTTGCATTGGGTAATTTTGATTCTTCTGTTAATAATAACATTTTCTCAGTGATTTAGGAGGGAAATCTCCCATTGGAATATCATTCTAATCATGTCTTATGTTTATGTAAGGATAAAGTATATCAGACAAAATCATGGCAGGAAAGAGAATACATTCCAGATGGTTCAAATGAAGAGATTTTATTGATGGGACTACTTACAAAATTATGTTCTGGCTTAAGAGAATAAACCAGGGATGGTGAGGCACCCAGAAATTGGCTACAGCGGGAAGTCATTACCACCCCTGGGCCAAGTGAGGGAAACAGTGTTATGGGAGCCCTGTGAAAGCTAGAGCCTGTAAATGAGGGCCTGCCTGGCAGAAGCAGTAGTGGTAAAGGGACACAGCCACTGTCAGAGACATGGCACTGAAGCAGGAAGGGAGTGCAGAAAACACCGTGACCTCACTTCCCTGCTGCTCTCCAGTTTCCTCCCAGCCCCTCCCATTGGCCAGATCTGACCAGTAGCCAGTGGGCAAGCGAGTGAACATCGTCCATCTCCCCAGGGAATGGAGAAGGGAGAGAATGGATCTGGGGGAGCTAGAGCTGGGTCAGGGGTATGGCGAAAAAACAGTGCAGAAGGAAGATGACTGTCTTCCTATTGTCTCTCTTCAGTCATTAATTATAGAGGCTCTGGGGTCAGACAGACCTCGAGTTTGAATTTCAGCTGTGGCACTCGCTAAAACTTTATCATTGAACACTTTGCCTAACTTCTCTAAATTGCCTGATTTCTCTAAGCCTGCTTTATCATCAGTAGGTGAATAATACTTTTCTCATAAGGTTGTAGTCAAGAGTGAATGAGTAAGTGTGCTTGCCTCATAGTAGGTTCTCCTTAAGATAAAAGTGTATGACCAAGACTACAAATACCAATATACAAAAACATCTACATGACAACACATTCAAGAAAGCTCCTCTAGCTCTGTGTTGTATGTTTGCAGACATTGTAAGATTGCAGTGACACGAGACTGTATTTCACCATAGGGACTTAATGGAGAAACAGAGAAAGTGAGTGATTTTTAGAACGTGGTATTCCTGATCCCAGTTCTTTGTCCAGTCCCACTGATCCCGACAGTCTTAAATGAAAACAAGAATATAGGGATAACTCATATGATCAGTTAGATAATTAATACATTATTTATTTTGTTTATTTACATTGTCAGTGCGCACTTTGCGGATTGAAAAGAGCACGTCTAATGAGCCGGTTGATTTTGAGCAGTGGATTGAAAGAGGTATGTGCTTGTTTTACCAGCATCGTTTGCATTGTTCTGAGCTTGAGGGAGTAGACAGTTGCCCTTTGACTCTGTACTTCCAATCAGTCTGCATTTAGGTGAAAAATGATGACCTGAATGATTCTTGTGACATATTTACAGCCTAGAAAAACCCAGGTTTGAATATAAAGAACTCAGGTTCTTTACTTACTGGTTGTGTAATTGGTAACATGTTACTTAATTTTTCTGAGTTTCTGAATCCTTGTCTGAAAAATGGAGATGATACCTACCATTTATGGGTTTTGTGAACAAAATGTCTGCCATGTGGCAGACAAATAATAAATACAGTTTTTGGATTTCTTTGCAGCAGAATTTGTAGCCTCCAGTTAAACACATACTTCTTTCTTGTGTCTATCTCATTTCCTTCCCAAAATACTGTGAAAATGGTAAAGGAATGAGAAGAGGCATAAACCTTAAAAGGACAAAAAAACAAACAAACCAAAAAGCAGGAGACCAAAGCAGATGTGAGAGATCAATATATATTATGGAAGGGAAGATACAAATGGAGAAAATAACTTCTGTAGCTCAAGGGTATAGGTTATAACCTAAGTGCCCGCCAAGGAGAAAATTTATGAGAAGCAAGCCAATTTGCCCAACCAGAACCCCAGACAGGTCTAGAACTTGAAGGCAAATGGTACCAAAGTGTGAGTAAGACATAAACCAGAAAAAAAGGGTCATTAGTTGAATATCTATAGACAAAGTGGTTGGACCCGAGGTAGTTTCTCCTACTGCCAAAAGCTAGGTGACCACTCCTTCCTCACATCAACCACCCCAAGAGATGACTTTGTTCTTCCCAAGGCACATTGGATGTTCAGGCTCAGGACTCAGGGAGACCAGACATAGTAGGGAGAGTGAATGAGACACGGAGTTGAAAACAGGGATTTAGGTAGAAGCCTAAACATTGAATAGTAGGAACTCCTCCTGTGCTTTGCTGTTTATGACAGCAACCAAGAACATAGCCCCAGCCAGGAGATGAGATTTATTTTTGGAGAAAGTGAATGGCCCCCCAAAAAAGATATATGGATGTAGACGAAGACTAGCCCATTTCCTGGTCGCCCTAGTGAAGTCCACTAGTCACTGAGCCTGGCTCATGCACATAGTTTTCAAATGACTTATTCACAAGCAACAAAAGACAGCCAGAGATCACCAGACATTTGATGAAAATTTCAGACCCTGAATATAACTAAGCTTTTAGCTTTAATTTCCAAACCATAGGAAACAGGCAGGATAGAGGAACAAATTAGGTGAAACCATGAGAGGCAAGGTGACAAAATGTGGGACACTGCACAGGACGACTGACCTGGTCTCTTCAAAAAGCCAATGGTGTGGGGAAAATGTGCACGTTTAAATTTAAAAGGGACAGTGCTGATTCGAATAAATCAACTATAAATAGACATTTTGGGAACAATGGGAAAATTTGAATGTAGACTGGGTACTGTGTGATAATAAAGCATTTTTTTAAATCCTCACCCGAGGACATTTTTTCATTGTTTTTAGAGAGAGAAAAGAAGGGAGAGGGCAAGGGAGAAAGAGAAACACTGATGCAAGAGAGGAGCATCGATTGGTTGCCTCCCACATGTGCCCAGACCAGGATGAATCTGCAGCCTAGGTGTGTGCCCTGACTGGGAATCGAACCTGCAATCCTTTGATTACAGGATGGTGCTCCAACCAACTGAGCCACATGAGCCAGGGCTTAATACATTATTTTTAATGTTAGTGTGATAATGGTATTGTGGTTATGTAAGAACATATCCTTGTTATTTAGAGATGGATAATCAAATACTTGGAAGTGAAATATGATGTCTTAGACTTGTTTTAAAGCACTTTAGGAAAAAGATATTAGCTAAATCAAGTATGGTGAAATATTAGTAATTGTAAAATCTAGATGATGAGTTATAGGAATTGTATTCTGTCTGCTTTATATTTGTTTGAAATTTTCTAATATTTCATAATTTAAAAAACTAAACAAATGGAATAAGAAGTTATTATTAACTTGTGGTTAGGAAGGAGTTGAATAAGAAAATGTGATCGTAATTTGTTACTTATTTCAGCAGCAAATAACATGCATATAGACAATAATGTAGTCATCAAGTATTGATTTCAAAATTGAAAGGATGGCAGGAGGGAAAAGTTATCGGAGGAGAAGGAAGAGGATGTTAGTTTAAGAGACTTAAATTTTCACCAACCATAATATAAAGTCAGTAAAAAATTGTTAAAACAAGAAAAGGAATATAAACGTAGTGAAATTCCAAGGGAAAAAGATTAAAGAATTGAAAACGTTTGTGTGCCTGTAGCGAGCAGGACTGAGGACGGAGGAGGGGTCAAGCAGAGGATCACTGTGTTTCCTGACCTCAGAGAGAGGTTAGCAAACAGAAGGAAAGTTGTACATAATCTTGCTTCCCAGAGACTTCCCTTTCTATACTATGTGCCTTTTAAAATTATGTACACTATTGTAATACAAATGAAATTAATTTCTAAATAATGTCAGTATTTTTTATTTATACCAATATTTCATGTTTCCAAAAGAATATTTGATATGATGAAGTCATGACCAAATAAATTAATCTGTCCCGAAATTATATGAGTGAAGGTTTTCTAAAGTTGGATACCAGAAGAGATTGATTCATGGGTAGCATCATTCTGCATCATAGTAAAAATTTATTGTGAGAAACTGAGCTCCAGCCGTTGCCTGTGGGAACAATAAAATGGCTCCTTTCGGGCCTGCGATTGCAGTTAGTAGCTCGATCCTTGAAAGGAATTTTCATATTTTATCAATCCCTCACTTTATATTCCTTTGCTGTAATTTACATTTGGATTCCCTTGTGTTTATAATCACTAGAGATATTTTATAGCTCATAAATAGTTTACGTTTCATACTTTTTTATATCAAATATCTCTATTCGTATGTTAAATTTTAACCCTAGAACACTGGTGAATCTGATTTAACTGTAGTTTACCAGATATCATGTTTTGCTGAACATAAATTTCAGTAGCAGATCCTCATGTATTTTTGAGCCCTAACTCATTTCTGTTAAATTTATGTTTTAGATCTGGTACACACAGAGGGGCAGCTTCAAAATGAAGAAATTATGGTAAGTAAATAAACTTTGTAGAGATAAACATTATCTTTAGCCAGAGTAATATATTTAAACTTTAAACTGAACTCTATAGTCATAAAGTTAATAAATACTCTCATGATATTACAGTTTCTGTACTTAATCAATAGAGGTTATTCTCAATAATATTTATAATCTAAATACAGCATTCATAAACTAGGCTTTTATCTATTCACAGACAGAATGGCAACAAGGATAAACCAAAATTCACTTACTTGTTCTTGTTATAATTCTGTTCCTTTATTGAAGTTATTTACTTGCTTTGATTTCTTTCATTTGATTGTATAGGCCTTTTAGAATAGGAATCAGAAAAAGGTTGAGATGCCAAAATTGGATGATAATTTAATTAGGAAAGGACAAAGGAGTTTCAGATGAAGGGAACTAGAGCATAGGATCAGCAACAATTAAGCCAGAGAGAGATGAGGTGGAAAGAGAATAAGCATTTTTTGGACAACATTCCATTGGGCTTTGCTTGTCAAGTAGAATGAATGCCCGTTGATGGGGAAGCTGCTGCCTCATCAGGAGTTTCTCTGTTCCTGATAGTGTGTCAGGATCTGGTTTTAGACAAACACAAAAATGTGAAAAAAAATGAATGTGTAGTGGGTTTTTTTCTGGTGGCATTGTTTGTTTCACTAAGGTTTCTTGAAATGAGGGTTAAAGGTACTTTGTTAAATTTCCTTTATCATAACTTGTTGGGAGCTGCTATTAAATCAGTATTTTAAAAGAATCTGTTTGGAAGTTTTCGAACCCTGTTAATTTTCTCCACCGCCCAAATATGCCCAATGACTAGGAAGGGGAGTTGGAGGTGTTGAAAAATGATTAGACTGAATTTATCTTACTGTTTTTATCCAACTTTACCAATGGGTTATGATTAGTAAGTCTTTGATGAATACTTTGCTTCAGGACCCGCTATGGATCAGGGAGACTCACATCATGATAGAGCATTGGGAAGACAGGGGCATGGGGAGGCTGATTTTATCGCCCTGTCACAACAGCTTTTACTCTACCTGCTTTCTTCTAGTTGTCAGCCGTATGCATCACATATACCATATTTTGCCATGTATAGTGTGTTCCCATGTATAATGGGCACCCACGTTTTTGGCCCAAACTTTCAGGAAAGAAATCTTTCATTTTAATTTTTTAATTAAATTGTTTATTTATTAGTTTATTTTTAAAGATTTTATTTATTTATCCTTAGAGGGGAAAGGAAGGAGAGAGGGAGAGAAACATCAATGTATGGTTGCCTCTCTTGCATCCCCTCCTGGGAACTGGCCTGCAACCCAGGCATGTGCCCCGAATGGGAATCGAACTGCGATCCTTTGGTTTGCAGGCCCGCCCTCAATCCACTGAGCTACACCAGCCAGGGCATGTTTATTTATTTTAATTTTTATTATTTTACATATTTTTCTTGTTCTATTTATTTGTTTATATTTATATACTTGCTTTCTGTATTATAAAGGAATCTTAGCATTTATTTTTTAACATATTATGATACAAGAAATTTTATGTAATAAACAATTACAAAATACAAGAACAGATGCAGGGTATTTCAGGTACTACCCATGTATAATTTGCATCCTTATTTTTCCCTCAAAAATCTGGGCAAAGAAGTACACATTATACACAGCAAAATACAGTAGTTAAAATAGTAATGTATGAACAAGTTTGTATCATTTCTAAATTTAATATTATGGCCAGATAATATTAAGTTCTGTTCTGTTTTCTAAGAAACTTCTGAATTCTATTATCTTTACAAATATAAGAAAATAACTTTCAATATTTTTTATTTTATTTTTTAAATATATTTTATTGATTATGCTATTACTGTTGTCCCATTTTTTTTCTCCTCTTATTCCCCTCTGCCCTGCATCTCCCCCCCAACCAGCATTCCCCGCCCCCTTAGGTCATGTCCATGGGTCATACATATAAGTTCTTTGGCTTCTCCATTTCCTGTACTGTTCTTGACTTTCCCCTGTCTATTTAGTACCTACCATTTATGCTTCTTATTCCCTGTACCTCTTCTCCATTCCCCCCTCCCCCTCCTTCTCCTTGCTGATAACCCTCCATGTGATCTCCATTTCTGTGATTCTGTTCCTGTTCTAGTTGGTTGCTTAGTTTGGGTTTTTTTTAGGTTCAGTTGTTGATAGTTGTGAGTTCGTTGTCATTTTACTGTTCAAATTTTTGATCATCTTCTTTTTCTTAGATAAGTATCCTTAATATTTCATATAATAAGGACTTGGTGATGATGAACTCCTTTAACTTGACCTTATCTGGGAAGCACTTTATCTGCCCTTTCATTCTAAATGATAGCTTTGCTGGATAGAGCAATCTTGGATGTAGGTCCAACCTTTCAGGACTTTGAATACTTCTTCCCAGCCCCTTCTTGCTTGTAAGGTTTCTTTTGAGAAATCACCTGATAGTCTTATGGAAACTTCTTTGTAAGTAACTGTCTCCTTTTCTCTTGCTGCTTTTAAGATTCTCTCCTTATTTTTTATCTTTGGTAATGTAATTGTGATGTGCCTTGGTGTGTGCTTCCTTGAGTCCAACTTTGGGACTCTCCGAGCTTCCTGGACTTCCTGAAAGTCTATTTCCTTTGCCAGATTGGGGAAATTCTTTTTCATTATTTTTTCAAATAAGTTTTCAGTTTATTGCTCTTCCTCTTCTCCTTCTGACACCTCTGTGATTCAGATGTTGGAAGGTTTAAAGTTGTTCCAAAGGTTCCTAAGCCTCCTCATTTTTTTGAATTCTTGTTTCTTCATTCTGTTCCGGTTGAATGTCTCTTTCTTCCTTCTGCTCCAAACCCTTGATTTGAGTCCCAGTTTCCTGCCCTTCACTGTTGGTTCCCTGTATATTTTTCTTTATTTCATTTTGCATAGCCTTCATTTTTTTCCTCTATTTTGAGACCACACTCAACCATTTCTGTGAGCATCCTGATTACCAGTGTTTTGAACCTGCGTCTGACAGGTTGGCTATCTCTTCCTCGCTTAGTTCTATTTTTGGAGCTTTGATCTGTTCTGTCACTTAGGCCATATTTCTTTGTCTTGGTATGCCTGTTATGTTGTAAGGCTGGGAGCCTTAAGTATTCTCCAGGGTGGGGCAACCCACGTTGTGGTGCTGTATGTCGGGGAGGGATTAGAGAGGGAAAAATGCTGCTTATTTAACTCTCAGAGGCTCTCAGTCACTTCTCCCACTACCCTCAAGCAAATTGAGCCCTTCTGGTGCTGATTCCCTGGTGGGTGGGTTTGTGTACATACTAGGACCCTGTGGGTCTCTTCAGTGAACTCTCCTGAGAAGCTGGGAGTTTCTCCTGCCACTGTAACCCCCACAGGATTTTACAGCCAGAGGTTTTAAGGCTTTCTTTCCTCGTGCTGGAAACTCACCCTATTGCATGGTCTGTCTGGCTCCCTAGTTGTTCCTCCTGGTCTGTCCACATGCAAATGTGGGACTGCCTGGCTCTCCAGCTGCTGTCTTGCTGCATATCCTCCACCCTGGCTGCCCATCTCTGCCCCTCCTACCAGTCTGGATGAAGGTTTCTTTTTTACTTCCTTGATTGTCAGACTTCCACACAGTTTCTGGAAGTTCTGGTTATTTTTGTTTTTAAATTTGTTGTTGTCCTTTTGGTTGTGCCTCAGTATTTTGTGTCAAGGTGATCTTTTTATAAAATGAAAAGAAACTCCTATGATTGATTACAGAAGGTGGTTATGGCTGGGTGGTTTATGGGGTTTTCTTTGTTTTTCTTTTTCTTCTTTTTAACCTTAAGCTTTAAGTTGAAACACCCTCTTAACACGGGTCCTTGTGCTTCCCTTCTGGGGAGGCAGTCCTGAGGGGGTGAATATGCACACGGTATGCATATGCCTATGGCACATGTGCGTGTGGTGTAGCGGACTGCACCCACCTCCTGCCCCTGAACCTTTGCCGCTTGGGTTGTTGTGCTGCTTTCCCTTTACTTTGCTACATTTCTATAGTTAAGTTGGTTTTACTTGAGTAATTCATGTTGAGGGAGAAAAAGTGAAAATACCCTTAAAGATGTGTTTCAAGTCATCCTGCAAATAAAAGTAAATAAATGAAGTGGCAGATGGAAAAAAAAGTCAAATGTATGCAAATAGGCAAATGCTAACTAATTTCCTTTTCGTCCCTCTGTCGTTATAACTAATACTACAAGTGACATGTTATGCATGTTCCCACTGCCAGGACCGTCACCTTTTCAGTTATTTTCTCAGATTAAACTTCAAGAAATGGAAATCCTGGGTCGAAGGATATAGACACATTTATAGCTTTTAAAAAATATACTGCCAAATTGTTTTCCAGAGAAATTATAATTATGTAAAATTATAGTAATGTTCTAGGGTAATATATTCTGAGGTATCGTTAACCCAAAGAAATCTTTTATCATGAAAAATACTTTAGAAAGCCACTTTTGAAAACATTGATCAGAAATACACAGTTGTAATCTTTAGATCCATCTGCTATTTTACATCAAACCAAAGCTGATATTTGGCTGATACACACTAGAACTATTCTAGAACAACTGTACTATTACGTGTGACCGGCTTCTCTTCTAAATATCATCATATATTGCTATATACTTAGAATATTACTCTTGCGTCAAACCTTTCTTCTGCTAACTGCTTAACAGTGAACTAGAATTGCTAAGAGCATTCCTATTGATTTTCCCCCACAGGCGCACGATGGGCATGCCACTTACTTGAGATTCATTATTACATCAGCCTTTGATCATTTTGCAGCTGTGTATAGCATTTCTGCAGAGGGGACAGCAGTCGCAAATCTTTCTTAGTAATTGTAACAAAATGATTTTATGTGATTTTTAACAATATATTTATTAAAAAATAAAGTTGTCTTTGATATAGTTTATTAAAGGGATTTGTATCAATCTGTTTCAGTTATTATTTATTTTCTCTTTAATGTTTTGTGCAAAGGAATTTGGTGTCATGCTCAGCAGTGATGGCCACCATGGAAGATATAAGAAAGCTCTTGCTTCAGTCTATAGCTTAATTGAGGAAGTGACTCTGCGTGAAACTTAGCTGATAATACATTGTGTCCCCACAGCATCTAACATGGGACCCTTCAGGTCTCGGTGCATTAATTTTTAAATGTATTTATTGATTGATGCAAGGGTCTAAGTGAGTAAGTAGTATATAGACAGTACACGATGTATGAGTGCAGAAAAGAGAAAGTACTTATGGGAAGGTTTCACAGTGGTCATGGAACTTGAGCTAGGCCCTATGGAACAAATCATTTTATTTTTTCTTTTAATTTTATTTTGTACTGATTTGAAAACCTCAGAGAAGAGGCAGGCTTTCTTCTTTCTTTCCAAAGATGTCCATTGTTCTGGATATTTCTGTGTGGATATTTTTTGGATGAGATTAACCCTTAAATGGGAGGACTTTAAGTAAAGCAGATTGCCTTCGATAATGTGGGTGGGCCTCAACCAATCAGTTGAAGACCTTAATAGAACAAAAGACTGTCCTCTCCTGGGCAAGGAGGAATTCTGCCACGAGATGGCCTTTGGACTTGTACCGCAACGTCAGCTCTTTTCTGGGTCTCCAAGTCATCATCGTGAAAAATGTTCATTGATTAAGGAAGGGGGTCCACTCTAGATCCAAAGAGATGTGAAAGCTCCAATAACCACATGTCATGTTGTTTCTTATTTGGATGCCAATTTGGGCAAACCAACTGAAAAGAGACAGTTGGTTTAAGACTTGGAAAATCTGCTTATGGGCTACTATTACTCATTTTGCTAGGTGTGATGCTGGCATTAAGCTTTGGTAAGAAAATGCCTGTATTTTTAAAGATGCACATATAAGTATGTAGGATTGAAATTACATGATATCTGGGATTTGCTTTAAAATACTTTCGTAAATGAAAAAGTGTTAGTCGAAGCAAATGTGGCCACAAATCATTGAATCTGGGTGATGGATATATGGGGTTTTGTTTTACTAGTCTCTCTAATGTATAATTGAAATTCTTCACAACAGAGAAATAAGTTTAATGCCAGTAAGGACATCTTTGTGTGTGAATGTTTGCCTGCCTCTCAGATGATTTCCATAGAAGAGATTTTCAGAAAGGGAGTACTCAGTCAAAGTTAGGAACAGTTTTAAGGCTCTTAAAACTTTCGGATAAATTGTTTACCAAGATTTGTTATACCAATTTACTCCTGGTACAGGAGCTTTTAGATAAATGGAGGAGAGTAAAAAAGGTGTTCCAAGAGCAACATTGGTGTGATCAGATGTGAAGGTGAGTACTTTTTCATAACATACATTTGGGAATGATGAATATGTAAATTGGACAGGAGCAAAGAATAGACTAAAACCACACATTTCAGCCACATCACAGAAAGCCGTTGATACTTTCAGATATTTTTTCTGTAGCCACTTGAGGTTTTTGAGAAGGCAGGTGACTTAGAGCAATTGTGTTCGTGTTCAATATATTGAAATGCTGTGGATTTGCTTTCTGCCAGCTTCCTAAACTGAGATGTCAATACTTCTTTGTGTGAAAAACACCGTGCTAAGCTTTAGAGATTGCTGGAAGGGATCTTCAGAGATTACCTGATTGATCTCTTTAGCAGAGGCCTAATAAATTATTTCTAAATCTTTTTTCTCTGTTTCTGTGTTTTGTGGATGCCCAGAACAAGTTCATGTAATACTCAGAATACCATTTTGTGATATTGAAAATACCATTCTTTGCGCCGGCTGCTGTGGCTCAGGGGGTTGAGAAGCTGCCTGCAAACCAAAAGGTCACTGATTTGATTCCCAGTCGGGGCACATGCCTGGGTTGCTGGCCAGGTCCCTGGTTGGTGGTGTGGGAGAGGCAACCAATGGATGTTTTCTCACACACTGATTTTCCTCTCCCTCTGTTTCTCTCTCCCTTCTCCTTTCTCTGAATAAATAAGTAAAATCTTTTTAAAAACTATTTCTAAAAAGTAGCATCCTTTAACCTTCATTCATTTTCACCTTGCAAGTTTCAAGCAATAGATATAATCATATGTGGCTTTAGCCTTTATTTTGTTTCTCACTGCTGGACCCTATCATCTTTTTAAAGTCTGGTTTGCCCTGCATTGGCTTCCTCTATCCCCCGCACTTGGCCATCGCTCCACCTGCACACCAACTCTTGACTGCCAAGATGCTGTGTGTGCTACGTGGTTTAGACCTTTGCAGTTTCCTCTGCCTGGTGGGCTCTTTTTCTTAGGTTCCTTAGGTTTCTGTACAGCTAGCTTCCTTATTTACTTCCAATCTTACTCAAAGGATACCTGCCCTCATTGGAAGGCTAGCCAGCTCTCTGGGGCCTCTTTTATAAGAGCACTAATCCTATTGATGAGCACTCTGCCCTCATGACCTAATCACCTCCCAAAGGCCCCACTTCCTAATACTATCACACTGAGTTCTAGGATTTAGGGAGTGAATTTGTGTGTGTTGGGGGGTGCGGGGGGGCCACAGGCATTCAGACCATAGCAGTATTCCAGGAAATTTTGATATAGAATAATTAACACTACAATATGTCTTGGTGAAGTTAGTGAACTTCTAATATAAAGAAAGAATTGGATAGGTTTCCAAGCAGAATAAAAGCAGTTCAAGTGCCCGGAGAAATAAATTAGGCTGGCTTCAGACTTCTTGCATTTACTTCTAGGCAACAGTGGAGCAATGTCCACAAATCTCTGAGGGAGAGAGATTGAAACCCAAGACTCTGAAACCCAGCCAGGTATTCTTCAGGTTTAAAGGCTATAGACTGGCATTTGTGAGCATGAAGACTTCAGGGAACACAGGATTTACATCTCCTTGAAAAAAGTCTTGAAACTTTTTAGATATCCTGGAATCCTTCCTCTGTTGAACACCTAACAGTGGTGGATAAAATACTTTAATACACCTTCTTAAATTAATGACTGACTTTATCAGAAAGGAAGGACCTAGTCTGTGGCCAGGAATGGACTGACAGCACACCCCCGGGGAGGCGAACAAGCACTAAAGGCAGGGGGCAGTTCTGAGGGCATAGCTGGAGCTTTGGTTTGCTAGGCCCCTGCCAGGCACGCAAGGCAGTGCCTTGCATCTGCCAGAAAGGGGTGTGAACTCACTGCTCCACAAAAAGCCAGTTGTCCCAGAGAGCTTCATCCTCAGAGAATAAGTGATCTGGGGGGAAACCTGTCAAAAGCAGAAAGACATATCATGATGAAGTATTTCCTTCAAATCAGTTGAGGTTGTGACCGCAAATTGTACTCTGAGACAGAAAGGACATACTAACAAGCTTCATTCACCTACCAGTAGTTTCCCATGTTAGCCAAACAGAACACGGTTTTTCTTACTATCTAGACCCAGAAAGTTCACCTTCAAAGAGAAAAGCCCTTTATCATGAATTAGAATTGAGCCCAAACCTCTTGCAGTCTGCTACACATATTCTTTTTCCGCCTTTGCCCATGTAGTTTTCTCCACTTGAGTACCCTTCTCCCTTCCCATGTTCTCCAAGTCTCCATACCAAACCATGGAAGTACTGGGCATCCCAGAGGTCACCACCTCCGTAAAGCTTTTCCGGGTGCACCGACTCAGAGGGCTTGCTCTCCCCTCTGCACTCCCCAAGCACTTAGTGTGTACCTCAGCTCTAGTCCATCCTACTTCCTACTTGAATTATGGTCATCACAGTGTACATCTGGTCTCCATGAGGTTAAGTTTCTACAGGACAATAGTTGGACCTTGTCCATCTCTGCATCCCACAGCACCCAGAGAAGAATCAGTGCTCAGTTAATGTCTAATGCATGAAAGTGAAGAGAACTGAATTGGAACACTTGGGGTCTATGTTATCATTCTGAACACTCTTCCGTTCCAGCTACTGTTACTTGTTGAAAACTGGGAGGTTTCTGTGCATTTATAGACACGAATTGGAGGACCATCCGCAGTTATGCAGAGGACTGTGGTCTCACAGGCTCTCTCCTTTTGTGGGATTTAGGACTTAGGATTTAGGACAGTGCTCACGTGTGTTTTGGTTCCACCACATTCATAGTGACTCAGCACTCAGTATGCCTTCACACACTCAGGCCAGTATTGAACAGTTGCTTTGGCAAGTTGAAGAATTTTTTTTAATATATTTTATTGATTATGCCATTACAGTTGCTCTATTTCCCCCCTTCATTTCCCTCCACCCTGCACACCCTCTCCCCCACCATTCCCCCCTTTAGCTTATGACCATGTGTCTCAAGTTCTTAAGATTCTATATTTCCCCTACTATTCTTGCCCTCCCCCTATTTTCTACCTACCATCTATGCTACTTATATTCTGTACCTTCTCCCCCCTTCTCCTTCTCCCATTCCCCTGTTGCTAACCCTCCATGTGATCTTCATTTTTATGGTTTGCTCCTGATCTAGCTGTCTTCTTAGTTTGCTTTTGTTTTAGGTGTGGTTGTTGATAACTGTGAGTTTGCTGTCCTTTCACTGTTCATCTTTTTTATCTTCTTTTTCTTAGATAAGTCCCTTTAACATTTCATATAATAAGGGCTTGATGATGATGAACTCCTTGAATTTGACCTTATCTGAGAAGCACTTTATCTGCCCTTCCATTCTAAATGAAAGTTTTGCTGGATAGAGCAATCTTGGATATAGGTCTTTGGATTTCATGACTTGGAATACTTCTTTCCAGCCCCTTCTTGCCTGTAAGGTCTCTTTTGAGAAATCTGCTGACAGTCTGATGGGAACTCCTTTGTAGATAACTGTCCCCTTATTTCTTGCTGCTTCTAGGATTCTCTCCTTCATTTTAATCTTGGCTAATGTAATGATGATGTGCCTTGGTATGTTCCTTCTTGGGTCCAACTTCTTTGGGACTCTCTGAGCTTCCTGGATTTCCTGGAAGTCTATTTCCTTAGCCAGATTGGGGAAGTTCTCCTTAATTATTTGTTCAAATAAATTGTCCACTTGTGGCTGTTCCTCTTCCCCTTCTGGTATCCCTATAATTCGTTTAAAGATGTCCTGGAGGTTCCTAAGCCTCTCCTCATTTTTTTGAATTCTTGTTTCTTCATCCTTTTCTGTTTGGTCATTTTCTTCTTCCTTCTGGTTTACTCCCTTGATCTGAGTCCCAGTTTCCTTTCCACTACTATTGGTTTCCTGTGTATTTCCCTTCATTTCAATTAGTTTAGCCTTCATGTGTTCCTCTAATTTGTGGCTAAAATCAACCAGTTCTGTGAGCATCCTAAACACCAGTGTTTTGAACTGTGTATCTGAGAGTTTGGCTATTTCTTCATCGCTTAGAGTTATTGGCTCTGGGGCTTTGAGCTGTTCTTCTTGAGCCATAATGGTTTGCTCTGTTTGCACCTGTTTGGTATGAGGAGCGGAGCCTTAGGTGTTCACCAGGGCAGGGCCACCCAGGTCGCTGATTTGTGATGCTGTATGTGGGGGCGGAGTCAGAGAGGGACAATGGCAGTCCCCTCTCAGCTGGAGCCTGTGTGGTCTGTCTCAGTCTCACCGCATGCTCCTTCTCCAATTATCTGTACACAAATGTGTGACCTTGGTCAGCCCTCAGTGGGTTCACCCACTGCTACTCCACACCTGGGATCCGCCCACTGCTGCCAGCCTGGGTCGTGTTCTGTTTGGTCTGGTGGATCTTTCCTGCCTGACCCCACTCTGCTGCTGGCTCTGCCCCTATTACTGGTTTGGCTGGAGGGTTCATTGTTGTCAGACTTCCGTATAGTTCAATTTTCTGTTGTTTGGCTGCATTTTTGTTGTTAAAACTTTGTTGTTTTTAAACTTGGTTGTGAGAGAAGGTACAGTGCTTCCACCTATGCCTCCATCTTGGCGGAAGTTGAAGAATTTTTATCGTGTCCCTGCTGTCCTATTTTCTTTCCATACATCAGCCCTTAAAAGGGAGGCCAAGGAGGCAGTCGTGGAACCACAACAATGATATTAATGGTAATAGCCAACGCTTCCGTGGAATTTTCTTCAAGCCAGCCATGGTTCTGAGTGCTTTACTCACGAATCCTCTCCGTGGGGTAGGCACTACTCTATAATAGGATGTCCCCTTATAGTTCTAGGTACCAAGGCATCTTAACCAAGGACACATAGCTAGCCAGGCATAGAGCCAGGACTCTAGCCTTGAAGTTAGAATCTCAGCTTGTTATTTACCAATAACAGAGGGTTTGTCTGAGACCCTCCACAAATTACTTAGAGTGGGGCTCTGATTTCCTTGTTTGTAAAATTGGGATCATAATCTCCTCTCTGAGATATATAGAGATTAAATAACATCTGAAAGAGCCTGTGTCTGGTAGATGACTAAAGATAGCTAGTTTTAAAAGTGAAATAGCACATTAATAATATTAACATTGTAGAAATGAAGGCAGAGCCAAGGAGAATGTGTTTTCATGTTAGAAAAATGTCTCCTAAGTCCATTCCTTTTGTCATGTTGTGAAGGTAGTTTGCGTCCAGGGTAGAAGAATTCCCCAGTGGGAGTTTCCAAGACAGAGCCACACTGGACATGTAGCATAGAGACTGAGCGTTCTCCCCTTCACACAAGGCCCTTCCAGAACGTGGTGTTTTTGCTGATCAGATTACTGTGCAGGTGGACACAAGTTAGAGAAGAAGATACAAAGATCACACTACAGCGATCTTGAATGGGCTGATATATTTTAATCATTCTGTATTAGCTTTCTGCATCTTAAAATATTTTGTTTTCAAATCAGGTCACAGCCGTATGTACTTTGGGCCGTGGCCATCATAAACAAATATGAAAAGAAGCAGAGTTAAAACGGGTGAATACCAATGGTTATTCATTCATCTGACATAATTTAACACAAATCACGATTAGGAGACTTGCAAAAAAGGAATCTGAGAAATAGAACTTCAGGTGTGAGTTTCTGCATAACTGAATGCACTTTGCTGGTGCCTGTTGTCCAGTTTGGTCAAGGTTATCATGTTTTGGGGAAGTCAGTCCTCCCCGCCCCCTAGTATCAACTCTGTGGATAAGATAGTAAAAGGTTCCAGAGCCAGATTTCTTTGAAATATATTAAAAGATTGTAAAGCGAGTAACCTCCTCTTCTATGGTAGAGTTGGAGATGTGTTACCATGGAAACACCCCTCACGACCACCACCACTGACTGGTTTTTCGGTCTTTTGGCAGGGAAAGTATCACCATCCTTACTCTCTCCTCGCACCCCTTCTCCCTCCTTTACCAATTCCTCGTCTCTCTCTAAACACTTGGAGTTCTCCCCATGCTTGGTTCTAAAAAACCAGTTCAGTGTATTAAATGTCAACGCCATAAATGGCCAACTTGGTCAAGTGCATTTACCTAGTGTAAGGGATGCCATATCTAACCCCTCGGTATTAGAGCGACTGCAGAGAGACCACCCTTCAGAAGCCCCTCGCCCGCGGAGTACCGCTGCTGTCACCCTCTGAGACATCGTGCACTGAAAGCGGCCTCCACAGCGGAGGCTGTGTGGACCTGTACATTCCTTAACACTCAGCTCTCTGGCTGCTTCATTTTCTGATTATAAAATTGTTTGCTCAGATCAGAAAAATTTGAGCTAGGAATTCAACTAGGGATACAGGTCAAGAGGTAAAATCCAGCTGGGTTGCGGGGAGAGCCAGCCCTTGAGGAGTCCTCCTCTTGGTCACTTGGAACTGGGGGATCTGTCCAGATTAACTGTGGAGCTTTTCCAGAACAGCACGAACCTCCTCGGGATGATAGTTCCAAGGGCCAGGTTTACCCTGCAAGAGAAATAAATCAGCATTCCAAGACTTCTGACTTGCAGGAAGTCTGGGCTAGTGATATCCAGGTGGGAGCCATCGGGATGGTGTAGTCGATGGCAGGCAAGTTGTGCAAGATCACCCAGGGAGAGCATGTGGAGTGGCACCAACATTGCACAGGAAGACAGCGTGTAAACAGGAGGAAAACCAGAGGGGGTAAAACAAATAGTTTCAAAAGGAGAAAGGGGTCTGTACATATAAACTCTTCTCCCATAATCATACATTCAGACTGGCCTTATCTTCTCCACCCCTCATGTAAGTTCTGTTCGTTCTATACCAGAACCCCCTCTGCCTGTCCAGTCCCACTGCCTACCTAGTTCAGCCCTCATCCTCTTCTACTTAGGTAGCTGTCTCACCTCCTGACTCTGCCCTGATTTCTCCACTCTATTCTTCACCCAACAGCCAGGGATCTTTTTAAAGTAAGGATCTGAGCATGCCTCTCCCCTGCTCAAAACTCTTTAATGGCTCTCCCTTGCCCTAAGTCTCCTTGATTCAGAATGAGAGCCTGAACCCAAGTGCCCTGGATTCTCCATTCACACTCTGCCCTAATGTGCTACAGTGCCTTTGCCCCTCCTCCTCCTGATACTTGCAATGATTTCCACTCACCATGCTCACGTGGGTGGCTCCTTACCCTGTAGCCAAGAAATTGATACCTCCTCTGAAAAGCCCACAGTTCCCCAGGGGTTGGAAAACTGTCTGAGAGCTAAGTCTGTCCTGATGCCTCCACACTCTTGTTTACATCTTGTCTGTGCTGTTTTTGTGTTATACTAGCAGAAGTGAATCACCACAGCAGGCACTGTGTGGCCAACAAAGTTGAAAATAGCTATTACCTGGCCCTTCATAGGAAAGGTTTGGTGACCCCTACCCTGGAGTCTTGGTACTTGAGATACTGTAACACTCTATTTGGGTCTTTCTTATCCCCCAGACTGTGAGCACCTTCAAGTAAGGTGTGGGCCATTTTAAATTCGTTTTCATGTTTTTAGTGTTTGCACAGGGCCTAACCCGGGCTAGGGACACAGTGCCCAGCTTGGCTTAATCTAGCCATCTGAGAACATGTCTTGGGGAGGAGAGGGGAAGAAAGGACCTGAATCCTTGGCACCCTGGGGATTCATCTACAAGTGTGTTTCACTTGCATACATAGGGCCAGCTTGACCCGTGGGCAGAGGAGTGTCCACACGGTTGGGCTTCATGTGCTCTCCAAGGCTGGAGAGCCCCCCAGCGGCTGGCACACTCCGTTTCTCCCTCGGAGAGGAGGCCTCAGTGCCCAGGGCGGTTAGAGGCCATGCTTACGCCCCTCGTGGAGCCAGGCTGGAAGCCTTGAGAGGAACTCAGTCCTTTCAGAAAAAGGGAGCCTGGACTCAATTCCTGTCTTGAATACCTGTTTCAGCGTTTCCTGCTCTGAACTGCTGAGTTTGCTTTCTCTGGGCCTCCTTCAACCTCACCAGGTTCAGGCCTGCCTCACAGATTAGCTGCTTCAGACCCTCCCACTCTGGAATCATCCCATCCGGAAGAGTCAGAATTAGACTCAGCCTTGTGCAGTGTGACCTTGGGCAAGTCAATTCCGCTCTCTGAGCATTGTTTATGAAATGGAAACAACATTCTCTGTCTCTCTCAGCTTCAGACTAATCCAGGGCCAGTCTTCTGGGTTCAGAAGGCTGCTGGGAGGCTCCAGCTCCCGTCTAAATGCTAGGGACTTTCTGTGCATTATGTCATCCCCTGTGACCTGGGAGCCAACACCCTCATTTTTCAGAAGAAACTGAAACTCCAAAAAACAAAGAACTCGCCCATGGTCACATGGCTAGTAAATGGTTGGGCAGCAATTTGAATCCAGGTTTACCTGATACAAAGCCCTTTGCACTCCCTGGGTCCCTGCCCCTGGGGTGTATGTGGGGGGGTGAGGGTGGCCACCACCTTATAGAGGATCCTGCCCTCCTGGAGCACGTAGAACCTGTCTGGCAGAGCCGCGTAGAGCTGGCTGCTCTGGTTCTTCATTGTGTCCACCACCACAGGGCACTGGGGGCTCTTCTCCAGCAGCCGGTGAGCTGCCTGGAGGCGGTCCTGGAGGTTCCGGTGTTTCCTGATGACCACGTTGTTCTTAAAAGCCCAGCCATCTACAAGACAAAGGCCAAGCAGTGGGCCCCACAGGCGTGGCACACACCTCCCACAGACTCGAGTCCCTGCCCCTCACTATACACGGGGCCGGGATAGCAGAAACAGGAGCCCTTGTCCATGATTTGGCCCAGTTTCCTACAGGGTCCAGCACAGATAATGCCCCTTGTTTATTCCAAATTCATAAGCATGTAATTCTGTAACAACAATATCACACTCAAGCACACCATATGACATTTTAGGTAAAATTTTCAAATTAGAACTATAAATTATTACAACCCCATTGTTACCCTACCAACCACACTTGAGCAGGCCTTACTTCTGCCAGACTGTGAATTATGGGTAAATGCACAAGATCACGTAGGGAGTGGTTGATTCGGAACTGAAGCCTATGGCTGCGGACTTCCAGACACCCGCTCTTCAATGACGCAGTCCAACAGACCGGTGCTTCTCAAACTTTAATGTGTGACTCACTCAGGGACCTCACTGAAGGAAGATTTTGGTTTAGTCTGCCTAGGGTGGCACTGAGTCTAGCTAGCTCCCAGGATGCTAAGGCTTCTGGTGCTTGGACCACACTTAGAGACAAGGGTCAAGAGCAGTATTTCTCTAAGCATGAGCTGCCCAGACCAGCAGCATCAGCATGACCTGAGAGTTTGTTAGCAATGCAACTTCTCAGGCCCCACTCTAGACTGACCAATAATAAGGTCTAACAATCTGTTTTAACAGCCTTCCAGATGATTCTAACACATGCCAAAGTTTGAGAACTAGTCCTCCAGAGTCTAGACAATTTCCCTCTTCCAGTTATTCTCCACCAGAGTGTTCCTTCCAAAATGCAAATCTGACTGTGTCACTCTCCTGCTTAGATCTTTCAGTGGCTCCTTGTGACCTTCAGGATAAATCCCATGCTCCTCAGTATGGCCCACCAGGTCCTTAGTGAGCTGGCCCATCTCTCCAGTCTTCCTTCAGCTGTTTGCTCCAGTGAGGTGGGTATAATACTTGGGGCTCCTTGACTCACTCACACTCCAGCTGTCTCTCACTTCCACCCTTTTCATCACAGATCCTGCCTCCAGCTGCTGTGGAGGACTTTCTATTTTCTTGTTTGGATACTGCAACTTCTGCTGCAGCAGCCGATGGGTGAGATCGACTGACAGCCTCATGTGATAAGCGGTTCAGGGTGAGCTTAGAGCCAAGTACAGCTGCTCACCTAGCAATGCCCCTTATTTTCATCCTACGCAGTCTTCCTGCCCTTGATCTTACTATGTTCTACATCACCATCCAAAAATCCCCGAGAATGATTTGATCATATGTTTTTCTCTACTTAAACACCAATTACAAGACCAACTCCTTAGCATGGCATTTAATCACCCCTGTCATCTCTCCTCACCTGCATCACCAGTTGTGGCTGCTAGTCCCTCCACATCTGGCCAAAGTGGACTCCTCCTCAAACAATGCTGACACCTCTCTGCCCTTTCTCCTAACAATCCTTCCATGTATGAAATTCTACATGTCCTTTTAAAGCTCAACTCTGCCCTGGCAGGTGTAGCTCAGTGGATTGAGCGTGGGCCTGTGAACCAAAAGGTTGCTGGTTTGATTCCCAGTCAGGGCACATGCCTGGGTTGCGGGCCAGGTCCCCAGGAGTAGGCATGCAAAAGGCAACTACACATTAATGTTTCTCTCCCTCTCTCTCTCCTTCCCTTCCCCTCTCTCTAAAAAATAAATGAATAAAAATCTTAAAAAATATAAAAATAAAAAGTAAAAGAAAAACTCAACTCTAACGCAGGGCTTCTCAACATTGGCACTATGGACATTTTGGGCTAGATAATTCTATGTTGTGAAGGGCCATCCTGTGTGTTGTAGGGTGTTGAACATCATCTCTGGCCTCTCCTCCCTAGATGTCCGTAGCATGCCCCCAGCTTTCAATTTGTGACGACCAAAAATATTTCCACCCCTGGCCGGTGTAGCTCAGTTGGTTGGAGCATCATCCTGTGGACCAAAAGGCCATGGTTCAAACCCCAGTCCGGGCGCATACAGGAGGCAACCAGTCACTTTCTCTCTCACATCAATGTTTTTCTCTCTCTCCCTTCCTCTTTCTCTAAAAGAAATGAAAAAAAAAATGTCCTCAGGTAAGAATAAAAAAAGTCTCCAGATATTGCCAAATGCCCCTGGTTGACAAAAATCCCTCTCAGTTGGGAATCACAGTTCTAACCTCCTCTGCTCCGGGAAGGGTTCCCTGATATAGTAAGCTGTATAGTATTGGTCAAGCTCTTCAGAATCTCTTTAAATTCTCAGTTTTCTCATTTGTTAAATGGGATTAATAGAAACTATTCATTGTTAGAACTCACTTAGCAGATGGCTGTGAGGTTTAAATGAGATAACATGTGTGGAATTCCCAGTACTCTGCCTGGTTCATAGAAGCTGCTAAAAAATATTGCTTTATTTTATCTGACTGCCCCCAAAATAACAGACAGGTGGGAAAGAACCCAGTCTTTATTATATACCACCGATTTTCTGATTTTTTTTTTCTGATTTTCTGCTCTGGAGATGTTCCCCTCACCCTTAAACCAAGCCAGTTAAACCTGCTTAACTTTAAATAGAAAGGGCCTTTCAATTGGCCTCATTTGCCAGAGTGCCCTTCTGTCCATTTACAGGAGGTGGCGCTCATGAGCTAATAGGCCCACAGATGGGGGGGAAAAAACAACAATAAATTGCTATGTCCCCTTCTACCTGCCCCATTTCTCAGGAGCCTGGAACCCAGATACTGTGGCTATGGGTTCTTTGGAAGTTGCCTGGCCTGTGTTCACAATAATAGTTGCCTCCCAGGGTAATATAAGTTGCTTAAGCCTATCAGCAGAATTCGCTTCACCTTCTCAGTGCTTCAAAGTCTTTCCCCCAAGAAAAACTAGTATTTAAAGTATTTATTACCTGCCTCAAGACATCAAAACTTTGTAGATGACAACACCACCAGCTTCTTTTGCATCACGGTTAGGCAGTAAGTCTTGGCCACCCTTTGCTCCATGGAGCTTCACAGCAGCCTCTAAAGGCAGGAGTGGGGGGGCGGGGCAGGCAGAGGCCTTGCCTCTCAACTCCAGCTGTGAACTCCTTAGAGGCAAGAACTGTGTGCATCTTTCACCCCTATATCCCTAGGCCCAGCACAGAGGTGGGCACACAGCAGGCACATGGTAAATATTGCTGCATAGGTGATTCTGTGAGATCAGTGTTGTTATCCCAATTCAGTGGCTCGGAAGCCAGCATGGAATGTAAGTTCCTCCAGGTTGTGTGTCCAGCATGTGATGGGGCCAGGACTCACATTCAGGCCTGAAAGTCCAGAACCTCTTCCTTGCTCCACACCCTGTGCTTCCCCATAATTTACCTGGAGAAACGTGGTGTGTGGGAAGAAGGAAGCCACCTGACTGGGCCACAGACCACAGGCCTCCTAAAATGAGTGGACCTTCTAGAATTAGATTCTCATTAGGAGTATGCAACCTAGATCCCTTGCACGCATAGTTCCTGGTAGGGTTCACATTCCTTTGAGAATCTAATGCCCCTGCTGATCTGACAGGAGACAGAGCTCAGGTAGCAATGCAAGCGATGAGGAGCGGCTGTAAATACAGATGAAGCTTCACTAGCTGGCCCGCCACTCTTCTCCTGCTGTGCAGCCTGGTTCCTAACAGGCCACAGACCAGTATTTATTCTGTGGGCCTGGGGTTGGGGACCCCTGTTCTAGACCTTGTTACTGCTCCAAGTGTGGCCCCTGAACCAACAGTCTCAAAATCACGAGGGGAGCTGGCAAGATGTGGCCCATCTCAGAACCCTCTGAAGTCCAACTGAGCTAGAACCTGCATCTTAGTAAGATTCCCAGATGATTTAAGTGCAAACGTTAAAGTTTGAGAAGTGCTGCCCCAAGACAGTTACATCAGCCCTGGCTGAACTTCAGCTGTCAGCTGAGATGACATCAGTGCATCAACTCCTCTCTGCCACGGAGACCATAGACACCTGGAAGCATCCAAGGTTTTTTTCTTTAACCGATGGCTGCTGCTCTCAAAGGGGTAGCTGACAAACAGGTACATATGCTTGTATTTGCTCTTCTGAGACCTATGCTCTTTAAATTTTATTATGGAAATTTTTAATTTTATTTTTGTATTGATTTTTAGGGAAAGACAGAGAAACATTAATTTGTTGTTTCACTTACTTATGCATTCATTGGTTGCTTTTTGTATGTGCCCTGACCAGGGATTGAACTCGCAACCCTGGTGTATTGGAATGGCATTCTAACTAACCTGACCAGGGTAGAAATTTTTAAATATACATAAAAGCTGAGAACACTGTATGTACCTATTACCATAAGCTAATATTTTAAGTCGCCCCAAAGTCTTCATGAGGATAGGAGGTGCCAGTTAAAGAACACGGTATTGAGTTAAAAGCAGTTCTCAAACCTTTGGGTGCATATAAATCGAGATGCAATCAAATACGCATTTTCAACAAGCAAGGCAGGAGGCACTGACACCCGGGGTCCTCGGACTGGACTGCACTGGAGAAAGTGCTGCCGGACCAGCTTTGCTGATGATTAATTAACAGCAATCTCTATACTTACAACACATGGATAAGCCAGCAAGGCCAATACTGGCCTAAAACCCTCACTCATTTACCCAGCGCTTATGAGCTCTAAGTCTGTGACATGGACTCTGCCTGGTGCTGGCTGACAAAGACGAGTGTTGCATGAAGGTGGGTGTGTAAACGGCATCCATTCTGCTCGGCCACCCAAGCCTTCTTGCCTTCTTTAAATTGTGGGTTTAAGAATTGATCTCCATGACAGCCAGGGAGAGAAAAGTGTACCTGAGCATTTTGTAAAGTTCATGGGGCTTAGACCGAGCTGTAGACATTTCAGGGAGGGACGTGTCTGCTCATTGCAAGGAAGAGCTTTCTCACAAACAGAGCTGTTGGCAAAGGAACAAGATTTCCCATGAAGTAATAAAGATGGGTGACCACCTGTCAGGGACTGAAGAAAGAATTCCTGTCCCAGGTAAAAATCGGGCCTGGAGAATTGATCCTCACAGTGTGGTCCCCAGACCAGTAGCTTCAGCATCCCCTGGCGTTTACTAGAATTACAAATTCTCAGGCCCTGCCCCAGAGCTAACGCAGACTCTGGGGTGGAGTCCAACAGTGGGTTTTAACAAGCCTTCGAGGTACTTCTGATGGACAGAGATGAACCACAATGCGCTTCTGAGCTCAGAAAGTCTTAGGATGGATTTCACAAGTCACTGAACAGCAGCCATTTTACTTGTGGCATTTCAGGTCTAAATTTCTCGTAACTGCGTTTATATGAGCTGCTCTCCCTTGATTTCCCTATTTATCCATTCAGAATGTTAGATGCTCCCCCAGCTAGACCCAGTCACTCTGGGTTTTCTGCTCTGTGTTCCTAGTTGAAAGCACAGACTGAAATCAGCAAGAGGTGGGTAAACCTGCAGGGACTGGGAGATGGTGGGGGAACGGGGACCCTTTCCCTCTCCCCTCCTACACCTCTCCCACACCCAACCTTGGGGGAAGGGGAGCAAGAAAAGAGAGGGCAGGAGGAGGTAGGCACAGGGAATCTCGTATACCTGATGCATGTGCTTCTTCAATGTAAATGACGAGAAAATCTGCTACGGAACTAAAGTCTTCAATAAGTCTATTGAATTGGTCAAATTTGAAAAGAAATGAAGGTCAGGTGCAACTTCCAAAATTCAGCACCAGCGGCCTGTTGCCTGAAACAGAAATGAAACCATCACCATCCAATAATCCACACACAGCAGTTGTTTTGCAAGCCCCGCCATCAATCTTGCTTAAATTCTGTTATATTCCCCCGTCTAAGACGGGTCGAGGGCACAGTGAGGAGCTGAAGCATAGAGAGCACGACTTAGCAGAAGCTGGAGCCAACTTACTCTTCTCTAGAATGAGGGGCTTTATCAGGTGGTCTTAGTGGACCACCTGCAATTGCTGGGTGGGAAAGAAAAGAAGGATGAAAAGAGTCCCTTTCATGCAGTTTAGAAGGCAAGCACATATCCATTCTTTCATGTGATGTGATCGGTATACTACAAGGTAGACAACTTTTCCCCTGTTTTATGGACAAACTGAGGTTTATCGTCTCGTTTCATATCACACAGCAGGCCAGTAGAGGAGCTGAAATGAACACTCTGGCTCCCAGACTCTCATTCAACGCTCTTCCCACTCAAAGCACCTCTGTTCCTTCATCCATAAATGGACACAGTAATAAGACTTACTTTGTAGGATTGTTAGTAGAATTAAAGAAGTTAACACAGATGAGGGGTTAAAATGGGCCTGGTCCATGGGAGGTGCTCAATAATGTCAGCTGCTGTCATTAGCTATTACCTACTTCCCGAGCTATGAAGTGGGGAAGCGGCGAAAGGGACTCCGCAAGGGGAGAAAAGGGTGGGTGGGAGCAGGGCCACCTACATGATTTGCTGGGTCCATTGCAAAATAAATATGCAGGCCCCTCGTTCAAAAAGTGGGGGCACATTCAGTGACTCACCAGGGCTGACTGAACCCTACCACATGGATCTTTGGTTCTGAGGTCACTGAGACAGCAGAATTCATCCATGGTCCAGTGGTGGTTCCCTTGTCAGGAATGGTGGAGTCCTGCAGTGTTGATGGTTTCCCATGGCAACCACATGGCTGGCAGCATCCAGGCCTGACTGGGATGCTAAAAGACAGACTAGGCTCAGTGCTCCATGTGCTTGGTTCTGGAGCTCCTACAACACTTTTCTAATATATTCCTTCATCTATGGATGTGTATGCAGCCAAGAAAACCAGAGTGAGCTTCTGTTGCTTGCAAGCCAGCACTCTGACTGCACAGTAGGGCTGTGCAATGAAAAGAAATGATCAGATTTACACAGAGGATCACTCTGGCTGCTCAGCGGGGAAAGGGCTGATGTGGAATGGAAGTGGCAATGAGAAATATGAGGGATAAGGGGACACGAGCTGGTGTGTGGGCAGTAGAGAAGGGAAAACTGGAACTGACGGGACTTTGCTGATGGAAGGGGAGTAGAGGGCTCTTAAGTCCCTCTACTCCCCTTCCATCAGAAGAGGTAGGAGCTGGGCAGCCAAAATTGTAACAAATATCCGCCATCCTTGGTTTGTATCTTCTTGGCATCCTGTTCAGATTCTTCACAGTGCAGGAGAGCCTTCCCGCTCTGGCCCGTACCTGCCTCTCCAGCCACGGCTCTCACTGCACCCCAGCCTGGCTTGGGTCGCATTGGCCTTGCTGGTCCTTGAACACACTGAGCTCTGCCTGGCCCCCCTCTAGGGGAGAGGCTTGTGGTTTCGTTGGTCAGTTAGTCCCTCTCCCACTTCTGCAAAGGATTTGAAACAGTTTACATATGTAATACATTATTAAATAGAAATTTTTAAAAAATCATGCCCCTCTGGAAGGCAAAGAAGAGGGAAAAGTGGAACACAAATAAATGGGCCTTCAGGGTCCCTGCATTCATTATAACTGTGCTAATATTTGACTGTGAGTTTCTGGTGACCAACTACAAGGGGAGACAATTGGTTTTGTATTTCTCATTCGTCAGTACAGGAGGAGAAAGCAGACCAGTTTCTCTGGAGTACAGAGTCCTCCTTGTCTGTGGCTCTGAGGTCTTCTCACAGAAGGCCATACAGGGTGTTGGTTGATTGTGCAGAGTCCTCCCATGTGATGGGGTCGCCCAGGCCACCGCAGGAGAAGCTCAGAGGCCAGTCATGGCCAAGTGGCTGGCCGTTGGCCTCCAATGACCTCAGGGAGTCACCCATCAGATAAGAATCCAAAAGAGTTAAGGTCAGGGCTAGAGTTAAATATTAGCTGTCTGGAATTTGTTTTTCATTGAAAAAATAAAAGACTCAACATCCACTGATTAGGACCTTAGAAGAGACAGAGCCGTTTGTTTATCTACATGTAGTGTGGTGGGTACAGTCATCAGTTCTGAGGGCAAAGTTTAAACTCAGTTCCCTACTTTCCTGGTAGCAGAGAGAGAAAACACGAGTACAAGGGGTAGGGGTGCCGAGGGCTGACACCCTGCCTGGTCCATAGGCCGCGGTGCAGAGACACTATTTCAAAGGTGTTGGGCAAGGACTGTCCACCCCGACTCACTGGTACAAATGGGAAATGTTCTGTGGTCCCAGTGGACTCAAACCTACTGTCACAACCCCAGACCAGTGAGTTGACCCCTGCACTGGGCTCTCAGAGCTGGAAAAGCCCATTTATAATTACTGGATGACACCTCATAAATATGCTTGGAGAGATTTTACATAATATGAAATAAGGGCTAAGATATCAGGTTGCAGATTAACTCCTAGGTGCCTAGAAAAGAAATCATCAGACTTGCCTTCAACTATAATACACCAGTTAATCAGTGTTTTGCTGTATGTGTGTCCTAAGGCCTGTGTGTGTCATGTGTGTGCATGTGCATGTACATGCAGAGTGGGGGTGGCTAAGAGTTTCTCTGAGCATCTGCTATCTTACTCAAAGAAAAACTGCGCTAGCTGAGAGTGAGAAGGCACAAATTCCAGTTCTGGCTCTATAAGAACTTGCTGTGTGACTCTGAGCAAGTGATTTACCTCTCTGGGCCTTTGTATCTAAACAATTGAAGAGCTGGCTTAGGGTACCATAAAGACTCTCCTAGACCTTCCAGTCTGTGGCTCTCAAATGAGTTCAGATTTATAACCAAAGCATACAAACAGAGCTTTTTAGCGACCTGCTGGGTTTCCAAAGCAGTTACAGGGTGTCTTTCTAATAAGTAGACCTGATCGTGTTTAACTTCTTGCTTGAAAATCTTTCTAGAACTCACCAGTACCCTCAGGATAAAATCTACTCTTTGGTAAGACATATAAGGCCCCCTAAGCTCTAGTCCCTGATGGTGTCTCCAGCCTCATCCTTCACTCCTTCATGCCTCCCACCCCCGACTTCTCCCAAACTGACCCACGCTCCTCCCCACCTCAGACCTCTGCTGCTCCCGCTCTGTCCTGCCCTGCCCCTCCCCCTTCCTCAGCTACCCCGAGGCTCCACCATCCCTAGACAATCGGCTCACCGCCTTGTCTCCAGGAAGCTTTCCTCTGACTAGTCCCTACCTGCCCCACTTCTCCCAGAACCCCCTGGCTCTGCGTCTCACTGTGCCATTTCCTCTCGGGATTACGAGGTCTGCCGGGACAGAGACCAGTTGTGCTGATTGCTGTACCAGCAGCACCTGTTATTTCAGGGACTCTGGGTCAAGGTGCTGAATGCCAACCCTATTTCATAAATAGTGTTCTTTTGTCTTTCAGTCCCCTTCTCCCCTCTTCCTTCAGTCTCAGGTACAGCAGCAGAAAAGCAGGGGTAAACAGAGCAGTCTTCCTAAAAGGCACACGGGCTCACTGAAATGAACAGTCAAGAGCAAGTAAATTCTGTGAATTGACCATGTGGCAAGTTGTCTTTCATGGAATTGATCGCTAGATAATTGATATTCAGCACATCTGCCTGGTTCTCCCACAGTGCTTGGCACGTAGTAGATGCACAGTAAAAGTTAGTTGTTATTCGCATTGATCTTATTATCAGCCGTCACTTGGTAAATGTTTGTTGAGCAAATAGAGGTCATTTGTCTACCCTAGTTTAAAGTCATGATCAAAAACTCTTGGCTTTCCTTTTTTCTTGAAACATGTTCCCCTTTTCCATTCTCAGAAAAAAACCTTACTCATTCTCCAAGGCCTAGTTCCAAAGCCACCTTTTCCAGGAAAACTTCCAAGCCCTGGAGGCATAGTTCATGCCTCTATAGCCTCCCCCAACTCACGGAACCATAGAATTTGTTTATTACATCCATCTGTTCTGTAGGACCATAAATTCCTTGAGTGAAGAAGCAAGCTCTTACTTAACTCTGTGTCCCTGACATCTGGCTGAAGGGCTGGCACATAGGAGGTGCTCCTGAATGCTGAGGTGCTGTGAAAAAAACGGGAAGAAGAAAGCCCTGATTCCGGGTCCGACTCAGTCCGCCATCAGCTCTGTTACCTTTGCCTCTGAGTTTTCTCCATTTCCTCTCTAAAATGAGAGGACTGGATTAGGTCAACATTTCCCAAAGGGTGTTCTTTGGAACCATCAATATGATGACAGGCATTTCCTCTGGTGGAGAGTGGGGGGGTGGTGTGTGTTAGGAAAATTTGTTAGTGCTGTGTTAAAGTTTTTCAAGTTTTGTTCGTTTGTTTTTAAGCTTCGAGTCTGCTCAGAGCCTTTTATATGTTCATGTTCACTATGAACTTCCAAGAGGAGGGGATAGTGTGCAGGGATTCCCAAAGTACTTTTTGACCAGGGGACTTCATGTCCGTGGGATTTGTGTTCCAAAGAACACTAGATTAGTCAACAGCCTCAGGGACCTTCTCTACTGTGCCCTGGGAATTCAGTGATGAATCAGATACAGACCTGTTGCAAGACAACCATTGAGCAAGAAGAAAACACTCTCGTGCTTAGGCTGTCTGAGGCTGAGGAGGAACGACCAGAGTCCAAGGAGATGTGCAGACGGAGGGCCATGAACCCACAACAGAGAGAGCACGTGCCCAGCTGTAAGCATCTGAGATGGTTTCACAGATGGAGAGGCAGGAGAGCAGGACCCTGACGATGAGAGGTATTTGAACTGTTGGCAGTGGTGTGGATGAGCCAACAACTCCAGCAAAGACAGAGAAGGAAAAGCACGAGGGATGTAAAAGATCCAACAGTTGTCTGCAGGCAGCAAACAAGAGGGGAAACTTACAGGTGGAGTTGGAAAAACAAAAGCTGGAGTCAGTATAGGAAGGACCTTGAACACAAAGCACAGCCCAGGGAGGACCTTGAGCATTTGTCCTGAATGCAGAAGTGGGGCTGCCAAAATTTGGTGAGTTGGGGTGTCCATGGGCCAGGGATGTGCTTGTGGAAGGGTAATCTGGCAGATATTTACAAGCTGGGTGGCAACAGAGGGCACAAGCAGGAGGAGGAAATCCTGGCAGGAAGAGCGGCTGTTAGGCCAAAAGGAGAAAACTGCTCTGAGGGGTTTTTAAGAACCCAAACAGATAGAGCCGGTTTGCCTGGAAGAGTCAGAGTGCACACGAGAGATCTTCAACAAATATTTACTGAGCAACTACCATGAGTCAGCAGTGGCCATGGGGGAACAACAGGGGATTAAGAGCCATGGTCTCCGCCTGCACAGAGTTTGCAGACTAGGGAGGGCAAAAGACATTAATCATATACCCACACATAATTACAAGCAAGGACAGGTGTAAAAATAAAGAAAAGTTTAGGAAGTTCAGTATACAAGAGGCGTCAACCTAGTCCAGGGAAATAGGGGTTAGATTGTCACAGAAGTGTCACTGAGTAGAAGGCTGAAGGATGAACAGGACGTGACCGGGCAGGGAGGGGCTCCAAGTGCATCTCAGGCGGAAGCAACCATGCAGCAGCAGGGCTGCTGGAGGAGCTGAAGGCCAGAGGGGCTGGTTTGTAGTCTGAGTGCCTGTGAAGATGCCGATGACACCCAGAAAAGCAGAATCTAGGAAAAGTCCTGGTTTCAGGAGTCAGGAAGAAGGCAAGAAGCCAAAAAGGGAGCTGGAGTAGGAGAAGAATTCAGGAGTTTCCAACCCATCTCCCACCCGCATTGACCATCCCTGTTCCAAGCACCCTCAAGCTGTATCAGCCTCCTGACCTTGCATGAAGTCCCAAATGTTACACGTCTGTCCTGAGAGGCGAACCACGGGGCAGTTTGGGGCTAGACCCCCTTCCTCAGTCTTGTCCTCCAATCGTTGCCAACGAACCTTCAGGAGAAACCAGAAATACTGGATGCCAAAGAGGGTCGGAACCCAGTTTTCATAGGAGAAGTGTGGGTTCTTCCGGTTCATGGCCAAGATATTCTGCTTGACTCTCTCGGGAAACAGTTTTAGTTGTACTTTGCCCAAGGCCACATGCAGGGCCACCTGCAAGAGTACCCAGAGCCTCTTCAGCCACAGTCCTGGCTGGGCCAGCCCCATCTCGGCACAGCTGGACCTGGCTCTGAGGCTGATGGACAGGGACACTGAAGTTGGGCCCCACTGGGCGGAGCTGAGCAAAGGTGCAGGGTGGGAGTAGCCAGCCCTGGGCAGTAGGAAGGTACTGGGACAGAAGGTGCCTGCCTTGCTGTCAGCGGAATGGAAAATCTCAAACCAAGTGCTCAAAGATGTGTTCTAATTATTATCACTTCTGATTCTTTGCCTTAACCTTTGAGAGATTATTGGACCAAAAGACCTCAGATCTTAAATTCTCCCCCTGATAAATTTTGAAGAACAAACACTTTGAAAGATCACACTTAAAGGAATTCTGTGGTCCTTTAGAAAGGCTCCGCTGAAAGTAAGTTCTTTTTTAATTAAATATTTTATTTATTTCTTTTTAGACAGAGGGGAAGGGAGGGAGAATGAGAGGGAAAGAGACATCAATGTGTGCTTGCCTCTCACACACCCTCTACTGGGGACCTGGCTTGCAACCCAGGCATGTGCCCTGACTCAGAATCCAACCTGTGACCCTTTGGTTCTCAGGCCAGCACTGAATCCACTGAGCCACACCAGCCAGGGCCAAGCAAGTAAGTCCTAATGGTAATTATTCTTTTAATAAAGTAAATATTTGCTTAATAATGAAAGATGGTTTTTCCACTTGTAGCTTCTAGCTGGTGGTTAAATGTTGCTGGAGTCATGGCTCTTCCTGGAGGATTTGGGTCTGGAAGCTCCCCACGCAGAGGCAGAGCTGGGGCTGTCCCCGGGGAAAACCGGGCCTTTGGCTTCCCTTTGTGCTGGGGGCAGAGTGTAAATACTGCACTCTCTGATCACAGTGGTGTGGTAGTCTAGAGCAGGGAAGAAACAAACAAGAAGTTACCACCCTGTTTTCAAAGTCTTTGAAGTCTACTGTGTCTTTAAAGATGTATGTCATTTGACTCATAGATACAGAGAAGGAACTGATGGGTGCCAGATGGGAGGGGCTTGGGAAAAAAGGTAAAGAGATTAGGAAGTAAAATCTGGCAGTTACAAAATAGTCACGGGGATGTAAAGTGCTGCCTATTGCAGTTCTCCCTTGTCCACACATGGCTTAGCTCTTAACACCAAGTACATAAAAAAAGGAAAAGAGGTCTATTTGTTGAGACTCCAAAAGAAAAAGATTAAAGTGGTACCGACTGCCCACCCCTTATTTGCAAGCCCTGGAGCTGGGATGAGGTGCTCCCCCAGTCGGGATGGCCGCCGCTCATGGGCATTGTTGACACCTTTGGGAGCATGGCTCAGCTGCGTGCTCTCCAGATTTCCTCTTCACGGGAAGCCAGGAGACTCCGTCAGGATCAATGCAGCATCTAACCAAGGCTCGGACTTTTCAGCATGTCCCCTCCACCCCCTATCCTGTCCATCAGAGCAAGCTCAACAGCTTCCCTTCACCCCTTCCCCTTTCCCCATTCTAAGTGAGGAAGGGTGGGTTCCTCACTTATGTCTAAGTGAGGGTGGGTGGGTTCTATTCTCAATGGTTCATTCCTCCCTCAGAGCAGTCGAAGTCTGATTAGAATCATCCAGCTGGGCTCACCTACCTTACCATCCTTGGGCAGACAAGTTAAGGAAACCTAAACAGTTGAGCTCAGAATTTTTCAACTTTGACACCACTGATATTCTGAACTAGACACTGTGTGTTATAGGGTGTCTAGAAGTACCCTGCCCCTAGCACCCCACAAGTTGTGGCAACCAAAAATGTCTTCAGACATTGCCAAGTAAATATCCCCTGGAAACAAAACAGTCCCCAGTTGAGAATCACTGTTTTAGTTAAACCAGTACAGTTATCTTTGATTCTTGTCTCATTTTGAGCCAAATCTTACATGTCATTATAACTAATATATCACTATAGCTTTTACTTCTGTTTCCAAGAGAAGAAACATATAGTTGGTGTCATCATCTCCTCCCAGAACACACATACTTATCACTAGCTGCCGAGTTGTTGTTGCCACCAGACTGGTGAGCAGTCCAGTTCCAAAATACCAACGTGAGGGTCACTTCCTGGGGCCAGTCGTGGCACCACCACGCCTTAGTGTGGGCTGCTCATACTGCATGGGCAAGTGTGAACCCCAGGACCAGGCATGAAGGACAGGGGTTGTACGGCAGGGGAGGAAGGAGAGCCCTCGTGAGGACCCTTTTCCCATCAGCCACTTCCAAAAGCATTTGGTTGCTTGATCCTGCAAAATAGTTGGAATGTTATGTGAGATATCTGCAGAATGGCTTTATTAGGGGAAAAAGGAAGAAACATGTACTCCGCAGGTGTTAGCCCCATTGGTCAAAGATTTGCCCCCTGAGGCATTAACCACTCCCTTCCTATACCTGCACCGCTGGGTTGTAACTGTTTGGGTGCCGAGTGGTCCCAGCAGTCCCCTGACCCCACAGTACCAAGACACAGCCCCTGATGCAGAAGGCAAGAAGCCTGAGGTATCAGCTAGAGGAGAAGCTCATTTAGGCTCTACCTTCTGAAGCCAGAATAAGATCACTGGTGGTGAAATAAGCAGCAGGTGAGGCCAGAGGGTCTGAAACGGGGCCTAAGAGGTGTCTAACACAGCTACACACCTGAATTTGTGCCTCGAGATTCATTCCCGGTACATATTCAGGCAAAGTACCCTGCACCTACTCTAAGCCTCAGCGTTCTCTTTATAAATGGAGGATCAAGCTTACAGGATTGTTCTGAGAACTAGAAATCTTGCATGTGTAAAGCCTAATTATGATGTGAGTTCAATAGATACACTATATTTATATTAATACATAAATATATGTATTAATTATATTATACAATACACTTTATACAATTAATACATATAAATACACGAATAAATGCATTAATGTAAATATAGTGCATATATTTATACACATACTATATTTAGAGTCTTTCCAGTTGACAACAAAGGCCCATTGTGGAGAGGCCAAAGTTACAGGGTCCATCTTGTGTGGTCTGTGAATTTGGCGTATGCTGCTCAGACAGCCAGTGCTTGATCACTCTACTTAGCTTTCAGTGAGCAACTATTATGTGCCCCACTCTAGACTGGGCACTGGAGACCCAGAGACCAGAATCATTCCTGATCTTTGCCCTGAAAGTACTCACAGGCTGGCAAAGATGGACAAACAGGAACAATTGTGGTGGTAGGGGCAAGGCCACCACAATTGTTACTGTGGATTGGGCTTGTTACTCAGGGGATTAAGGGAGCAAAAAAATTTTAGGAGGTGGATGGTACCAAAATCTGGAGGGCTATGTAGGCATTAACCAGGGAAAGAGAGCAGGCTGGGCAAGAAGTTTCTAACCAGGACCACTCAGTGCAATTCCACTGTTGTTGGGCCCTGCAGTATTAGAGATGGCAGTCACAGGCCCTAAGGGGACCCAGGGGTGAGTGAGGCAGTCCTTACCATAGCTCCCAAACAACTCCTCCCACACTAACCCTAGGCTAAGGCTGATTGTTGTGGGAGTGAGAAAACAAATGACCACACTTATTGGGTTGTTCTTATTAACAGACTTCAACCTGACTTTGATCATTCCTTTGCCAACTCAGAGCGATGGACACATTCCCTCCCTCACTGGTTAGTTAAATTTTTATGGCCTAAAAGATTGGGGGAAGGGGATTGATGACTTTTTATTTTCACAATGGTCCTTCGTTTACGCTATTTTAGATTTCAATAAGAAAAGAAGTATAAACAAAGAGAAAGTCAACTCCACAATCTCGAGAACTCCCTACATCCTGCGGGAGAGAGGCGAGGGAGAGGACTCAGAAGAGGCTGCGAAGGCATCGAGTTCCAGAGGCCTCGGCCGCTTCAAGTCTTCGGGTGTTACTGTCTCTTTAAGGAGGCTGAGCTCTACACAGTGAAGTAGAAGTTCCGCCCCCCACCTCTCTGGTTTCCGGTAGTACTCGGAGGGACCGGAACCTACGTGGAGCATCTGAGGCTCCATCCTTCACTGGGGGCTGGACACTGAGCACCCCCCGCCTCCCCGCCCGGCCCCCCAGGTGAGGAGGTCGGACGTGCGGGCCGACCCGGCATAAAGGGGGCCCAGGATCCCTTGCCCGTCCCGGCCGCTGCAGCCCAGCTCCTCTACTTAAAATAATGCCTCTGCTTCCTGGGCAGCTCTTTCCAAGACCTACCTTGGCTCATGTTATCCCAGGCTGCAGGGTCGCCCTCACTACAGCACCGCTAATTGCTTGGCTATGCATAAGCGCCTGTCTTTTTTAATGCGCACCCCCCCACACCCCAGTACCGTATGAGTAGGTACCATTATGAACACATTTTACAGATGAGGAAACTGAGGCCCCGAGGAGCCCACAGTCACACAGCAAGAAGCAGCAGAATCGAGAATGAAACCCAGGTCTGTTTGATCCCAGAGCCTGTGACCTTAACCACTGGCGAGGCAGAACTGCCTTTGCCCTTCACTGTCCTCATAACCACCTTTCTGAACCCCATACTCCCTGCCTTCCTCATCCTCCTACCTCCAGGCTGCACCTGGTCCCTAAACACATACAGTGAGTGAAGTGGATGGAACCCCTTTGGACACCACCTCCCTTAGTTTCTTTTATAACAGTTTAAATAATATCTGATTTTAACCCCACTAAAAAGAAAGGCAAGTGACATGTCAAATAACATGCTGAAATAAGATTTGTTTGCAGATATTTTATTTTTGTAACCTACTAAGTTTCTTCATTTTTTTCCTTTTAGACTTCTGCAAATTTGCTTCCTAATATTTGGAAGAAGACCCACGGGCTGAATGGCAGCTGTAGATGACTTGCAGTTTGAAGGTACATCGGTTGGATGCCCACCTTTGTCTTTGTGATTAGTATTTCTGTGGTCACAGCAACAGATTCTCATTGCAGTGCTGGCACATACATTAAAGAAGGTTATTTCAAACATCCTGGTAAAAGAATGTTGGTCCTGCCCAGGTTTTTTCGTTTGTCCACAGCAACTGTTCCTTTTTTGCCAAATAGCCCTTCAGATGGTAACATAAATTTAGTACAGTGATTACAGAGAATGTGCATTGAGTTCCTGCTTTAGTTCAACAGACATTCATTGAGCACCTACTTTGTGCTTAGAACTATGCTAGATACAGAGAATAAAAAGATAAAGGAGAAATGTTTTATGCTACTGGAGTAGATAACAGAATAAAAAGATGATTATGATAAAACATGAGCAGGTCATTTCTTCACTGACTCAGTAAGTGTCTTGTGAGTGTGACCGTGAGCCGGGCTGTTGTTCTGGTTGTTGGGGATAGAAGAGTGAGTCAACAGCCAGTTTCTCTCCTTATGAAGCTTTCAGTCTAGTGAGGTAGACATTTATTTATAAGTGGTCATTTAAATACCTTATTTCAATATTAAATAGTCTACAAACTATGAGAGTGCTGGAGGGAAAGTTCATCACTCCTAACCCAGGGCCTGCTCTGTACTAGGGACCGACGGATGCTTGTTTGAACACTTGTGTAGTTCTTACTCTGTAGTGGGCTCTGTTCTAAGTACTTTGCAGATATTAACTCATTTAATCCTTATGTCAACTTTATGAAATAGCTATTTTATTTTCCCTATTTACCATTTTTCTGTTTGGGACATTCTTACTCCAGATAATCACATGGCTTGTACCCTCACTCTGTTCAGATCTCACTTCATTAGAGGAAGTTTAGGCATAGAAAAATTAAGTATTGCTTTAAGGTCACATAGTTAGTAAGTGCTAGGGCAGGGTTTGAACTCAGGTGGCCTGCCTTCATAACCATGCTGCCTCACTACTATCTGAGGAGGAGATATCATTAGAAATCCATTTTATCAGCAAATATTGTCAGCTCTGTCTTCAAAATACGTCCAGCATCTGACCTCTTCTCTCCACCTCTGCTACTTTCCTACTATGCTCAAGATCACAGTCACCCCTTGTCTGGGTTGTAGCCTTACCTTTCTTCTGGTCTTCCTGCTTCCTCTCATGCTTTGCTACAGTAGGTATTTTACAGCCAGAGAGTTTTTATACAACTCATATCATGTCATTGCTATAAAACCTCCCAGTGGCTTCTGTCTCACTAGGAGTGAAAGCCAGAGCCTGTCCTGTGCTTAGGAGACTCTACGTGATCCGGCCCTCTACAGCCTTGGATTTCACCTCCTACTCCTGTTGCCCTTTCTCTGCCATTCCCACACAGGCCTCATCGCTGATCCTCCTGGATGCGGAGTACATTCACAGCTTAGGACTTTTGTGCCATTTTTCTGTTTGGGACATTCTGACACCAGATAGTCACATGGCTTGTACCCTTGCCCTGTTCCAATCTCACTTCATTAGAGAGGCCATCCTTGGCTATCTTATCTCAGTAGAGTGTGAGAACGTACAAGGGTAAAGAATGGCGTATACAAAGTGTCTGCAGAAGGAGGAAATTTGCTTGATTTTTTTTCCAAGGTACCAGAGCTCAGATGTTGCAGGAGGCCATCACAAGGTGACGTTTGAGAGGGGAGAGGAGCCAAGTCTCCCAGGACTTTATAAAATTATGGAAAGGACTTTGTTCTTCAGAAAAGAACACAGGATGCTGTAGAGGGGTCATGGAAGGCTTCCCTAAGGAAGAGCGGTAGTGTTAGCTGAACAAGTGGGGTTCAGGACCCTTCAGGTGGAAGACATTGTGTCAGAAAGGAACAGAGGTAAAACATAGCATGGGGTATGCCAGGGTGTAGAAGCAGAGAATGTTGGTGGCAAAAATAAGAAACATACTAACCTTGTCCTCAAAGAGGAGAAATGGGCAAGACTGCCCAATAGAGAGCATGCCGTGTGAATAGTTACCATGCGAGAGGTCTGCACTTCAATCGAACTGTGCTGTCTGCTATTCCTCAAACACCAGCCACATTTTCCACCTTCTGGGTCTTGCTTATCGCATTTACTTTGCATGAGATCCCATCCCCGCCACTCTGACCATCCTTCTCACGTGGCAGCTTTTCCAAGAGACCTTTCCAAATCCCATCAGCTAGAGGAGTTTTCATCCTCCCTTGGACCTCCTTGGCCTTTGCACCACTAACCTGACACTCTGCTCTTATATCTGACAGTGCCTTCCCCCTGGTAAACTGCATTTAAATATGAGAATTCAGTTCTATATTTTTCTTGGTCTGATTCCCTCAGGCAAAGTTGTGTGTGTCTCTTTAAATGTCAGTGTGATGTCCTATCAATAAATGATTGCCATGATGTTTAATATCTCATATCATCCTCAAAATCTCTCTTTAAGATAGGTTTTATATACACTTCTTAGTTGAAGAAGGAGATATGGAGTAATTTGCCCAGGGTCACGGAGTATTACAGGCTTAATTCAAACAAAGGACCTCATGCTCAAGAGTTTCATGTTGCTTCAACAGCCAAAACACTAGAGACTGAAGCTTAATTGTTTTTTTTTTTTAATTTATTTTTTTTATTGATTATGCCATTACATTTGCTCTATTCCCCCCTCCCTTCCCCTCCACCCTGCATACCCCTCCCCCACCATTTCCCCCTTTAGTTCATGAACATGTGTCTCAAATTCTTTAGATTCTGTATTTCCCCTACTATTCTTACCCTCCCCCTATCTATTTTCTATCTACTGTCTATGCTTCTTATTTTCTGTACCTTCTCCCCCCTTCCCCTCCTCCCACTCCCCTGTTGCTAACCCTCCATGAGATCTTCATTTCTATGGTTCTGCTCCTGATCTAGCTATCCTCTTAGTTTGCTTTTGTTTTAGGTGTGGTTCTTAATAACTGTGAGTTTGCTGTCCTTTCACTGTTCATCTTTTTTATCTTCTTTTTCTTAGATAAGTCCCTTTAACATTTCATATAATAAGGGCTTGGTGATGATGAACTCCTTGAATTTGGTCTTATCTGAGAAGCACTTTATCTGTCCTTCCATTCTTAATGAAAGTTTTGCTGGGTAGAGCAATCTTGGTTGTAGATCTTTGGTTTTCATGACTTGGAATACCTCTTTCCAGCCCCTTCTTTCCTGTAAGGTCTCTTTTGAGAAATCAGCTGACAGTCTGATGGGAACTCCTTTGTAGGTGACTGTCCCCTTAGCTCTTGCTGCTTCTAGGATTCTCTCCCTTCATTTTAATCTTGGCTAATGTAATGATGATGTGCCTTGGTGTGTTTCTTCTTGAGTCCAACTTCTTTGGGACTCTCTGAGCTTCCTGGATTTCTCGGAAGTCTATTTCCTTTGCCATCTTGGGGAAATTCTCCTTCATTATTTGTTCAAATAATTTTTCAACTGGTGGTTGTGCCTTTCCCCCTTCTGGTACCCCTATAATTCGGATGTTGGAACGTTTAAAGATGTCCTGGAGGTTCCTAAGCTTCTCCTCATTTTTCTGAATTCTTATTTCTTCATTCCTTTCTGTTTGATCATTTTTTTCTTCCTTCTGGTCCTCTCCCTTGATTTGAGTCCCAATTTTCTTTCCATTACTATTGGTATCTTTTGTATCACCATTCATTTCAATTAATTTAGCTTCCATATGTTTCTCTAATTTGTGACTAAAATCCACCAGTTCTGTAAGGATCCTGATAACCAGTGTTTTGAACTGTGCATCTGAAAGACTGGCTATTTCTTCATCACTTAGGTCTATCGGTTCTGGGGCTCTGAGTTGTCCTAGAGCCATTTTTGGTCTATTCATGCTGTTAAGTGAGCGGAGCGAAGCCTTAGTTGTTTACCAGGACGGGGCGATCCAGGTCGCTGGTTTGTGACGCTGTGTGTGGGGGCGGGGTCAGAGAGGGAGCAATGGCGTTCCTCTCCGCCAGCCCAGCGCATCCAGTCACTCACACACCTCGGGCTTGTTTATCCGATCCTAATTGTGCGAGCCTGCTGCACCGCGCGGGTTTCCCTTCTCACTGGTTTCTCCGCACGTAAATGCGCGCGACCCACTGACCCACCGCGCCTCTTCCCTGTGCGCTCCGGCAGCCAGCTCGCTGGCGATCAGTGCCCTCGGTTGCATGCGCCCGCCGCGCACCGTCCCGGGAATTTTTTCTTGCTAACCTGCTCCGCTGCTGGCCTCGCTCCTCGTACCGGTCCAGCCGAGTATCTAGTTGTCCTTTGGACTCCGTATTGTCGATTTTCCGTGTGGCTTGGTTGTGACTACTGTTAAAAATAGTTGTTCTTAGATTTGGTTGTGCACAGAGGCGAGGTGGATCCTCCATCTACGTCTCCATCTTGGCGGAAGTCCTCTGAAGCTTAAGTAATTGTAACTTATCCGCCACCTAATTAATTTCGGTTACTTTAGTTTTCTCCATGAAGCTATTTGCATAGCTGAGAGGCCATAAGAGAGGGCTGGGCTATCCAAGAGCCCCATCCTACTGGTCTTCATAGGATTGGTGCTGTGCTTGTAGTGTGGTAATGGTGCCCTGCTGGTACCCTGTCTTAGTCCTGCCTAGTTCCAGAGATGCCCTGAATTGTGGTCAAGAACAGCTAAATAAAGTTCGTTAGTCTACCCAGAGGCAGGAAGTCTCAATCATTGCTTGTGGACATGAATAGGTGAGGTTCTTCTGGAGAGCAGTTTAACGATATGTTCAAGAGCCTTAAAAATGCTTTGTACCCTTTGATCGACCTAGTGATTGCACTGAGAGGTGTTTGTCCTAAGGCAATAATCCAAAATGCTCTTTCTGCACAGATACTCCTCACAGTGTTATTTGTACTAATGAAGAGTTGAAAACACCCCAAACATCCAATAACAGTGGAGTAATTGTGTTAACTTACAGTGTCTTTCTCCTACTCTCCCTGCCCCTGGCTGATAAAATATTATGTAGCCACATAAATGATCACTGTAAAGACTGATATGAAATCATCTTTGTATAATCACCAGTAGACGGAACAGGATACAAAATTGTTTATATAGTATTATCACGTCCTAAATGAGCACTTGGCACACCATAGGCATGCAGTGGGTATTTGTTGTGTGAATCAATTTTCTTCACTGGCATGAATCTTACTATATAAGGAAAAGGAAATATAACAGAAGTTAATAGTGCTTGCCTTTATATGGTGGGGTTAAGAGTGATTTTTATTCTGCAGTTTCTACTTTCATTTTTGTTCCCATATGTTTTATAACGATTATGTAGACCTTACTGTAAAAAAATAACTTCATTAAATTTTTTGTACTAGAATCAATGAAGAAAGGTTTAGATTGGGTTCTTGGTGTGGGTCAGGCACTCTGCTGAGGACTTCATTTAGGTAATATTCCTAACTTTCCCAAAATTCTTCAGACTTTGATACTATTCTCCCCATTGTACAGATGAGAACACTGGGGCTTACACAGGTTGAGTTACTTACTTAGGTTCATGTAATTGGTTAGTAGCTGAGACAGGACTGAAATCTAGGTCTGACTTCAATGTCTGCTATCTTCATAATAATTTTTCTATGTCAGCTTGATTTCTAGATGAGATTTTTTAAGAGACTTTTTGTCATTTGTATCGGATAGGGTTTGTAGCAAAGTTGAGGTTATAACAGTTTGCCTTTAAATGAAAGGTATAGCATTTCCAGTGTAGGTAAGGTCTTTGATGCCCTTGTGTTCTAATTGATTTCAGAATTTGGTGATGTAGCCACTTCTCTAGCGACAAATGCAGATGCCACCACGATAAGCATTGAGGGTCCTGGGGAAACTCCCAGACATCAGCCAGGACCCCCAAGAAGCTCTGGGAGAGAAGAGGATGATGAACTACTGGGAAACGATGAGTCTGACAAAACTGAGGTTTGCACTTGTCTTTGAAATTGAACTTGTGTATTTATTTACCATCTCCTGTGTGCCAGGTAGAATGCCAGGCAGTGCCAACACAATGTGGCATCACTGGTGGTCTCTGCCTGGGGGGGATAAACAGATGGGCAAACAGACCACTGTCATCCATGGGAAACACACTGGATGGGGGAGCAGCAGGGCTGTGGGAGCAGCGAGAAGGGTGTTACAGGAAGCTTCCTGGAGGTGGCGACCTTTAGGCTGGGTCTTGATGAAAGAGTAGTTGGTAGCCAGGAGGAGAAGGCAGGGAAGGGCATTGTAGGCAACAGCTTTAGCAAAGTCACAGACATGAAAGAACATGGTGCAGACAGCACATCTTCTGTCTGCACATACACTGGGAGCAAAGTCTGGTGAAGACAGGAGATGAGGCTACACCGATAGGCAAGGACCCAACCCAGTGCATAGGAATATTCTGAAAACTACTGGGAGCCGTTAAAAGATTTTAAACAATATGGCCAGACACATTTAAAGACAGTTAAGATGTGGCAGCCATACAGAATGTAAATTGTGGGGAGATGGCCTGGAGGCCAGGAAACCAGGTAGGAGACTGTTAGAGTGGTCCCGGCGAGAAGGGGCAAAGCCTGGACTGGGGTTGGACACACATGTCTGGGGGTGGGCTTGGCAGGACTTGGTGGCAAAGGGGTGAGAGAAGACAGGGAGGATTTAGGGAAACTTCTGGGTTTCTGCACATGGGCGGGTAGTGACTGTCAGGTGGCTTTTTTTGCCACAAAGATTTAATTCCATGTGCACTTTGCGTGTTCCAGAAAAAATGGTGTTTCTAGTGATATTTTGTAGATGGAATCATGATTGTAGTGCACTAGAGAAGCACCCAGTTTATAGCAGTGCGTTCCGTCCAGGCTTATTAAAGTGGTAGAGTGCTTGGGTGCCAGGTGCTCTTGGTGGAGCCCCACGAAATACCAAAATAAGCACCAACGCTGATGCTAAATCAAACAGCATTACATACTAGATGCTGCGACAAGAGCTCTGACCAGGAGCCTAACTCCGAATCCTGGTCCAGGTCAGTAGTGATAGCCATGTGGTGTTGGGTAAGGTACTTGAACTTCCTTCAGCCTAGGTTTCCTCATCCGAAATATAAAAGGATGTGCGTGTTGACTGTTGTCTTTATTGCCATCACAGTAGTTAATATTTATTCAGTGTTTAATGTCTACCAGACACATTTTGAATTCTTAACTTGGATCATCTTATTTAATCCTCAAAACAACCCTGATGCCAGGAACTATTCTTATCCTCATTTTACAGATGAGAACCTGAGACACACAGTTTAAGTAGCTTGCTCCATACATGCAGCTGGCAGGAAGCAGATAGCTTCAAACCGAGATAGTGCAAGTCCAAGAGCCTGTGCACCTCCCCTCTGTGCTGGTGTTCGTGTATGTTACGTGCTTACAGCTCAGGAGACAGGAGTAATTCTTAGTGTAGTTAAGTTTCGTAGGGCTCTCCAGAGAGGTGGGACCAGTAAGATGTAAATACACAGGAAATGAAATTTATTTTAAAGAATTGGTTTGCATGACTGTGGAAATCTCGTGGCGAGTCTAAAATCTGATGGAGGAGGCTGGTAGGCTGCAGACTCAGAAAAAGTTGGAGTTTGAGTTCAAAGCCATTCTGCTGTAGAACCAGGAAGTGCGGATGTTGGAACTCAAGCCTGCACATCGTCTGCTGGAGAATTCCCTCTTGCTCAGGAGGTCAGCCCTTTGTTCTGTGTAGGCCTGCGCCTAATTGGCTGAGGTCCACCCACATACTGGTAGGCAGTCTTCTTTACTCAAGAAGTCTACTGATTTAAATGTGAATGTCATCTAAAAACACCCTCATAGAAACACCCAAAATAATGTTTGACCAAATATCTGGCTATCATGGCCCAGAGAAACTGATGCATATAATTAGTTATCACATTGAGCAACAGCAGGCTTCAAAAGTCTAAGAAGAAATGTATAAGGGGAAAAATCTTAAAACATTCTGTTTTTTATTTTAATGTCTGTGTATTGGGCAGAGTTTACCAGTATTCTGATAATTTCCTGGCCTAGCTGTGGAACATGGGCCTATGGTGTTCCCTGTCATGTGATATTAGGGAACCTTCAGTCTCCCTTCCCAGATATTGATGCTGTTCGTGGTAGATCAGAAAGACAACACACAGACACCCCTAAAACAGGCCGTTCGTTATTGTGTAAAGCAGCCACTGCCACCATTGGACAACTTAATTGTGAATATTTTCTCCTTTATAATGAACAAAAAAATTTTTTTGCTAAATTCCATTTTGTTTTGATTTTAGTGAGAGGGGGAGGGAGGGAGAAAGGGAAAGAAACATCCACGTGAGAGAGACATATATCGATCAGTTACCTTGCATACGTGCCCTGATCTGGCACCAAACCTGCAACCCAGGCATGTGACCCAACCAGGAAGCTCACTGGTGATCTTTTGGTTTGTGGGACGACGCCCAGTCAACCGAGCCACACTGGCTGGGGTATAATGAGCAAACATATTTGCTGGGGGCACCTTCCCTTGTCCTTCAGGGTTCCTTAGAGTATCTCTCCTTTTGTGCATGAATCCTCTCCAGGGAACTGAAGGCCGCAGTCGCAATTCCGGCATGCGGCCTGCTTTCCGCTGTCAAGCAGCTGTGTTGTTGGGGCAGGTGTGGCCCGCACGGGCGCTGCTTGTAAACTGGAGTTTTGTTTCTTTTGTCAGAGAGTATATTTTACATTTCTAGTACTTCAGAGTGAAGCAGTATATCAGATTCTTGAGAATGCGGGTGGTGACAGTAGTAGGGATCTTGAAGGGGTGAGGGAAGAAAAGATACACTGACTGCCTTCTGTGTGTGTGTATAAATAGATGCACATATGTATTATTCTACGTAACATATATTATGTATAATTAATCCCCCCTATAATCCTATGAGGATTAATATGATCTACATGAGCTATGTATCTCTAGCTAAAGTCTACATGTGGAGTAGATCTTGTTAGCAGTACTTTGTAGATAAGAGAACGAAGACTGAGAGGAGTCTAGTGATTCGATGAAGCTGCCCCCTAGTGGAGGGACCAGGATTTGAAGCCTTTTGGGGACACTTCCAAACCCATGCTCGTTTCCTGTCAGGCTGAGAGTTGGGCGTGGCTTTTGCAAAGTTGATTGATGGATGCAGAAAAGCTTGGTCTTTCGTACTTCTTGGTTTTACGTTAGATCAGCTCCCTTTCTCTCTGTGTACCGGGAATGAGGAAATCATTATGTTTTATTTTACCTCTGACAGTTACTTGCTGGACAGAAGAAAAGCTCCCCTTTCTGGACCTTTGAATACTATCAAACATTTTTCGACGTGGACACGTACCAGGTTTGTGAAGCAGTTTTGGCTTTGCTGTTACATGGAGTGGAGATGCGTTTCTCCTTTGGCTAAGCAGTGAAGCCAGGTGAAAGCTTCTGCACACTGCGCAGGGTCTCACAAAAGTAAAGGGTCACCAGTACTTGAAAATACTACCATCATAAAAGCTCTAATAACCGGGTCTCAGTTTTGTAGTTGTTGAATTTATTAATCTTAAAAATGATCTTCGGCAGACTTACTGCTGTGTTGTTTTCCAGGTCTTTGACAGAATAAAAGGGTCTCTTTTGCCAATACCAGGAAAAAACTTCGTGAGGTTATATATCCGCAGCAACCCAGATCTCTACGGTACGTGTTGTGCCTTTCTGATTCTTCACCACGTGCCCGGTGAACTCGGGCGAGTGTGCACATTACCTGGAAAGCTGGCGAGTGCACTGTTGGCAGGGCAGGTGGCATTTTATTGGACTTTTCCGAGTTCATTAGCAACCCTCGCAAAGAATTTTGGAGAAAATGCGATTATTTGTTCCATTAATGCCATGATTATAAGTAATAGTACATATTTTGAAAGCTTTCAAATGACATTACAACTTTGGACAAATTAAGTTACTTTTTCTAAGAGGAGATTGTTGACTTCGGTTTTAGAGGAATTGGCTTGGGTGGGGGAATATGCAGAACATTTCTTTATTGAGTCCCATCTCTGCCTTCAGACAGACTGGCTCCTCCCCTTGGGACTTGGCAGTAGCATTAGAAGTCTGTAGGAAGGGGGCAGGAGATGACTGTCATCCTCAGTGTCCCTGCTGCCTGAGAAGGGTCAGAGGCCCCCCAGCACCCTGCAGGAGAGGGCTCCACCAGGAGCAGTTTTCTGGGTTTGAGGGAAGGCAGTGGCTCTGAGCACTTGTGCACAGGTGCTCTGGGAGACTTCGCGTGCGTGGTCACATTTAATTCTTGCAACAACCTTTGGGATAGGTATTGTTATCCTGTTTTTCAAAAGAGGAAGCTGATGCTCAATGGGGCTTAGTAATATATATACTCAATCCTAAACAGCAAGTGTTAGAGTGATTGTATGTATTGATTGTAAGAGGAAAAGAGTTCAAGAGAAATTTCTGAGTACCAATTAATACATTATTTGATCCTTAAACTGAGGCTGACTGTGTATTAAGTACTGCCATCCTGTTTTCTGTGTGAGGAAACTAAGGCTGAGAGTTGTCAAACAAAACAGAGTAGAACTAGAGCCCAGCTCAGCATTATGGAAGGCCGAGACGTATTCTGTTAGCCTGGAGGTTTTAAGCTACAGAAACTTGTCATCGTGTGGCACTGATATCCGACATCTAAAACCAGGGTAAGTGTAACAGCTCTGGGGGCCGAGGGGCCCCTTCCATTCAGCCACAGCTCTTTGCCACAGGACCAGGGGTTCCACCCAGCGATCTGCGGAATTCCTGTAGCTCCAGTGAGCACGGCGTGGAGACCATCACCGTGGCCATGCCCACATCCGGGGCTGCCGAGTGGTTTCTTTTCAGTCCTGTCCTTCATTCCTGTAGCCTGAGCGCTTGTTGAGAGGCCGACTCAGTGTCTGGGTGGTCCATGCCGTCAGTGCCTGGCGCAGGCTTGGCCCAGACAGTTTGTGAGCACCTTGCTTTGTGCTGGAGACCGAAGGTTCAAAGACAAAGCCATAGTCTCCACCCCCAAAGGGGGAGGAAGAGAGAACTGACATTCTCTTGAGCACTCTACAGGTGCCAAGTGCAGAGCTCATAAAACAGTTTAAAGGTGATGTCTTAAACTGTTTTATTTCCCATACTCCAGGGTAGCCTTATCAAAATAACACAATTGAGGTTTGTTTTATCATTCTTTGTGCTTTTCTGGATGTTAGAAATATTTCATTGACTAAAAACCACATACTACGAGCTAAATTAAGGCTCCTTTCCACCCCTCCCTGTAGTAAGAGTAGGAATTTGGCAGGAAGGGGGAGATGAGAGGCGACGTGAAGCAGCGAGCGGGCCTGGGATGCACAGGGGCTGCGTGTCTCTGGAGTCCAGGACTCCCTCGCGCCTGAGCGCTCTGGGGCAGCAGCGCGGGCCAGGCCTGGCTGGCGTGGGAACTTGGTGAATGCGTCTGACAGCTCTGTCATGGGTACTGTGGTACTGCGGCCACTGGTAATACTGTGGCCACTTGTGGTGATGGGCTTGGGTGGTCTCCCCCCATCAACAGCGCAAGGTCAATTTCATTCATTTGTCCTACAAAGCTTTTAGGGAATTTTTTTTATTTTTAGACTTTATGTATTTATTTTTAGACAGGGGGAAGGGAGGGAGAAAGAGAGGGAGAGAAACATCTCTGTGAGAGACATATATCGATCAGCTGCTTTCTGAATGCCCCCAACTGGGGACCCAGCCCTGCAACCCAGGCATGTGCCCTGACCAGGAATCAAACCAGTAGTCTTTCAGTTCACAGGCTGGCACTCAGTCTACTGAGCCACACCAGCCAGGACAAGATTTTTTAAATTATTGTTGGTTGTAGGGGTTTAGTCTTTTTTTGTTTATTTGATGCATCTTTAAGGTGCCAGGCTCTCAAAATGTAACAGTGAACAAGATTTAGTCCTTGGCTGTAGCAGAGAGCTTAAAGGATAGTGAGTGCCCAGCAATGTGTGGGAAGCTGAGGGCGACTCTGGGAGCGCCCAGTCGAGTGCCTGCGCTCCCTTCCCGGCCTTCAGGACCCGGCGTGGCTTTGCAAAGCGCTGACCCGTTTCCACTCGTCCCCTCACCCAGCACAGTAATTCTCTTAATTTTAAGACGTGTCAAGGTGCCTGCAACTATCCCAAAAAGCATTGCAAAATATTGGTGAGATTGAAAATGACATTCATACAATTTATTAAAACCTCCGGATTTAAAATCATATTTATTCTACTAGAACTTTTTCTAGATGAGGAGAAACAAGGACAGTGTGTTCATGAAATCAAGTGAAACAATGAAAGGGATTTGCAGGCATGGCAGACTCGTCCATTCAGTGGAGTGGAGTGTAGTCACGGAAAAAGAATAAAGCTGATTTTTATCTCAGCTGTGGTAGAATCTCCAGGATATATTAAGGTGAAAGTAAATATGTATGTAACCATTTGTATAAGACGGGCACACATGCAAATATGCATTTGCTTTATGTGTGTAGAAATCTCTGGCAGGATCTACCAGAAACTGGTTACAATAGTGAGGTCTGGGAAGGGGAACGCATAGCCCCATAGCGAGGGACCAGCGAGGGAAGAAAGTTTACTCTCCTCTGTACTCCCTTTTGTGCTTTTCAAACACTAAACTTTGTGCATGTGTTACTTTTTTGTTAAAAAGAAACAAGGAAAAAAAGAAAGCCTTAAACACACCTGGTGAATTGGTAGATCACACTAACTCCTCCCTAAAGCGTTCTGTTTGCCCCAGTCTTTGCAGAAGGACCTGTCTGATTTTAGGTTTGTTTGTTTGTTTCCTGGTACTAACATTTTGGCACTTAGCTAAGGGAAGTAACTTGCTTCCTGAATCCTGATGGTAAAAGTTTAACACAATGTTTGTGAATTATTTTGGTGATCCTCCAGTAAAAGAAGCTGTAAACAAATTAGTCTTTGTTCACCTCATTATGGGAGGTGTTTTGGCTTTTGTGTTCCAATCCCCTATCTTTAAGGCAGCTAATTACTGAGTTTTGCTTTTGGCCTTTTAAAAGAGAAAATTCCCGCTAAATGAATATTGAATATATCTAAAAATCATTTCCCCTTGCTTACATGAATAAGCAAGGGGAAATGTAAGGGCAAGGTAGATAAGAAAATATTCTTAAAATCTAAAGGCTGGTGCTTCCCTTTCTTGTCTCTGAATTTTCTGGTTTCCCTGGCAGGCCCCTTTTGGATATGCGCCACGCTGGTCTTTGTCATCGCCATCAGTGGGAATCTCTCCAACTTCTTAATCCATCTGGGAGAGAAGACGTACCATTATGTACCCGAATTCCGGAAAGGTTGGTGAATAGCTTGGCTCATTTGGAATGCTGTCCGTTAGTGACCACAGCTCCTTTCCCCCACTGAGGGCTTAGTTCCCTGCCTGCGGTGCCGCAGCCCTGCTTTCTGTGCGTCAGGGCTCAGACCCACGTGGTGTCTCGGAAGGTACCGCCCTGCCCATCCATATGAACCTGCCTACTTTAAAAAGTGTAAAATAGGCAAAAATTTACCATGTTAACTACTTTTATTTACTTTTTATTTTTTAAAATATTTTATTTATTTAGTTTTTAGAGAGAGGGGAAGGGAGGGAGAAGGAGAGAAACGCCGCTGTGTGGAGAAAAATATGGATCAGTTGCTTCTCTCATGCCCCTACTCGGGGACCTGCAACCCAGGCCTGTGCCCTGACCAGGAATCGAATCAGAGACCTTTTGGTTTGGGGGATGATGCCCAACCCACTGAGCCACTCCGGTTAGGGCCATGTTAACCATTTTTAAGTGTACACTTTAGTGGTATTAAGTAAGTCACAATATTATGAATCCATATAATCTTCTGGAAAACTGTAAATGAGTGCCCAATAGCAATTGGAATTTATTCAAAGAAAAATGTGCAAAATAAGCAAAAAGCAGTGTGCATGAAAGTTTCCACTGTAGCATTATTTGTGTAATCTAAATGTTGGGCACAGTAGGGGCATTGTTATTTTTAAGTCACGGTGACTCAACTAGCAGGGTCTGCAGCCACTAATTAAGAAGCTCTAGTAGGGGTGTCCAACCCACGGCTTGTGGGCTGCATGCGGCCCAGGGTGGCTATGAACACTGCCCAACACAAAATCATAATTTAGTTGAAAACTTTTTTTTTTCTCTCACCAGTTTTCATTAGTGTTGTTGTATTTAATGTGTGGCCCAAGACAACTCTTCTTCTTCCAGTGTGGCCCAGAGACACCAAAAGCTCAGACACCCCTGTGTCTTGAGCAAGGGGGAGGCCGATCGTCCAGACGCCTGTGCTGTCAGCAGCCTTGTTAAAGAGAAGTCTGTGTGTGGTCAGGGCCTGGAAGGGGAAACGCAGAAATGAGCGTGTGTCCTGGTCGTGGGCTTGTGGGTGACATTCCTGTTTTAAAACTTACTTTCTTGTGGTAGTATTGGATAATTAGAAACAAAAACTGTTTTCAGGGACTTGCAGATGAGAGCCACTCCAGAATGAGAAAGTTTGGCTTTGTAGGAGATGGACCTGTTCCACTCCCTCAATTTTCTCCTCCCTGCCTGCCGTCCTGTCGCAACACAGGCCGTATGGGAGCATGGTCCCGCGGACCAGGTCACTGGCTGCAAGTTCCAGCCTCTCCACTCAGTAACTTCTACCTTGTTGGGCAGGTCATTTCGTCTCTGTTGGCCTCAGGTTCCTTATCAGCGAAATGGAAATACTAGTACCTGTATTATAGGACTATTATATGAATAGAGAGTTGATATATGCAAAGCAATATCACATGCATGTACACATATGTGAACAGATACATGCATGTATGCAGAAATATTTCTTGTGTGTATGTAGGTGTGCCCCTCTGTAGCCTCTGTCTTTCTTACCCTGCAACCATCATGCCCAGTTTCCCTTCTCTTTCCTTCCCATCACGGAATCAGACCTGGATTCATTCCCAACTCCATTTGTCAGGTGAGGTTAACTCAGTAAATACTATCCATGAGGTATAGACCCTGCCTTCAAGTAGCTTCAATGGTTAATCAAAGAAAGACTGGGAAATGCACACTGTTGTGAACAGTATGTGTTAATTTCTGTCTTGGAAGTACGTACAGGTATACTGATGGAAAAGAGGGGGTGATCACCTGCCCGAGGCCCTTAGGAGGGCCTTTGTCTGTTCTTACCCTCTTTGGCTGAGCACCTCAGTATCAGGGAGTCAGGGGGTGAGTGTCCAAGTAAGATAGTCATTGCGTCTGTCAGTAAACAGGTTTCCGTTTTATGTAAAGACTGTAGGTCACACATCCAAGTTCAGTTCCTGCTGCCACCACTTATTAATTATTTGACCTTGAACACTTAGCTTCTCAGATCCTGTATCCTTGTTTCTAAAATGAAGATATAGAATATATGAAATAATATGTTTACATATCTGTTAACAATATAAAAAGCTAATTATTGGTTACTTATTATTCATCAATCAGTATTTTAAGTATACCTGTTTTTACTCATTTAATTATAATAATCTTTTAAGGTATAGTATACTATTACTTTTCCCATTTTACAGATAAGGGAACTGAGGTAGGATGGGTGAGCGACTCCCACCCAGGGCTATGTAGCTGTAAGTGGCACAGCCAGGACCAGGCCAGGATCAGAAGCCGTGGAGCCTGCATCCAGAGTCTGTGCCCCTGGCTGTTACACAGTGTTGCCTCTAGATAAAGCCGTCACTGTGACGCCTGACACCCAGTGACTAGCTGTAACCATAGTGGTGATTCTTTTTTTTTTTTAAGATTTTATTTATCTTTAGAGGCGAAGGGGAGAGAGGGAGAGAAATATCAGTGTATGGTTGCCTCTCGTGTGCATCCCCTGCTGGGAACTGGCCTGCAACCCAGGCATGTGCCCTGACTGGGAATTGAACCACGATCCTCTTTGGTTTGCAAGCCTGTGCACGATCAATCCACTGAGCTACACCAGTGCCAGGGCCATAGTGGTGATTCTTTTCCCCTTCTTTTAGTTATCTAAGAAAAAAACCCAGTATGTCAGCATGTTTACGTTTGGCTTAATCAGGCAGTTTCCAATGTGAAAAAAAAACGCTCTGGGAGCTAACAATTTTGGACAATCATGCATCTTAACCAGAGTCTGACTGTGATTGCCAGGGGTGCCTTTGTTCTCACCAAGAGCGTTAAGTGAATTACCTGCTGATTTTCATGTAGGAAATCTTGTGCATGGTGCCATGGGCTTGGCCACGCTTTATGGCCCTCCACTCCAGAAGAGGGAGCACGAATGCTCCCGGGTGCGCTGCTGCTGGAGCGGGAGGGAGGTGCAGTAACGTACTGAACGCTGCTGTTCTCCAGAGCCGCTAAATAGCTTTTCCACCACAGAGACAGAATTTAAAGAAGGAAGTGAAACTGGAGAATATTTCAAGCAATTCATCAGTGAGCTGGAACTCACTATTTCAGAGACAGAAGGAACCCCAATAGCATGCAGAGCAAGTGAATCTGTACCCAGGGCATTTTAATAAATTTGCTAAAGAAATCAGTGTCAGCTCTTGTTCTACTGGGAAAGAGGAGGTGTTCTTCCAAGGGGATAGTTGGCTTTTATTTGACTGAAATGTTTAGTATGTTCAAACACTTGCAGTGTGGCCCTGTGAAGTGTATCAGTTGCATAATTTAGTTTTTAATAACCAATTTCATAATATTAGTTGTTAAATTTTTAAAAACCATATGAGAGACTACTGGTCATCGTCACTACCAAGACAAATGCCAAAGATTCATCAGTTTAGCACATTTCTAGAGCGCCTACCGTGTGTCGGGTGCTGGGATCCATGAAGACTAGTCGGCTGCGATCGCGTGGCTGAGCGAGGTAGATGGACTTTGGGGAAGTCGGCCCGGGAGGTACTGGAAGTGCTCTGACAATGCACTGCGGGCTCGGTGGGGGTGACGCTGCGCCCTGTCCTCCTCAGTGTCCATGGCAGCCACAGTCATCTATGCCTACGCCTGGCTGGTCCCTCTTGCACTCTGGGGCTTCCTCCTGTGGAGAAACAGCAAAGTCATGAACATCGTTTCCTATTCGTTTCTGGAGATCGTGTGCGTCTACGGATACTCGCTCTTCATTTACATCCCCACGGCAGTAAGTACCACGCTCACTCTGCGTGCTGTCCTGTTCTTGGTTGCGTATTCCACCATTATTTCTAGCCTAATACTGATGTGCACCTGAAAAATTCTCTGTGAATGTAGGGGGCTGTAGCATGAATGGGGGCTGAGGGGCCGAGTGCCTTCAGTGGATCCAAAACCCTCTGCTGAGAAAGCTTTCCCCAGCCTGCGTGCTGGTGGCGTTTCTCCAGGCTGTGCTGAGAAACCAGAGAGGCCGTGGGGGCCAGGTGCCGACTGACTCACGGGCCTTTATAAACATACGGCTCTGGAATATCCAGATGCCTCTCTGAAATGCCTCCCAAAACCCCTCCCCTCCCTGTCTTCTTTCAGGTACTGTGGATTATCCCCCAGAAGGCCATTCGCTGGATCCTCGTCATGATGGCCCTGGGCATCTCAGGCTCTGTCTTGGCAATGACGTTTTGGCCAGCTGTTCGGGAGGATAGCCGGCGTGTTGCATTGGCCACCATCGTGACGATTGTGTTGCTGCACATGCTGCTTTCTGTGGGCTGCTTGGTACGGTCTCGTTCCTGTGTCCTTACTGTGTGCTTTAAGTGCAGATGCCGAAAAGCCTCAAACTGTAGACCTAATTGTTCTTTAAAAACTGGCTCCACAAAGTAAATCCTGTTTTAGATGGACTCTGCTGGATGAGAGGTGGTAAAGTTATGAGGATTTGATTGTCATCTCCAGCTTTACCTAGTTTCTAATGTCCGGTTAAGGTTTGGTGTCCGGCCAGAGGATGTGGGGTGGGTCAGTGTCTATAAATAGGATTGGGGGGTTCTGCCTTTGTATGCTTTTGCTAGGTTTCTGCACATAACTAGAAAAGAGTTTTGAAATTTAAAGCTTCATAGGTGGGAAGCTTGGGAAGGCAGCCAAATAGAGGAAAGGGGAGAATTCGTTTTAAGGGGAACAACATGTAAAATAGTTATTGAGTCCACGTGTTTAGTTTGTCCCTTTTGGGGATAACATGTGCTTTGGAGTCAGACAGGCCTGGATTGAAGACCAGCCCTGTTGCTCACTGGCTGGTGAACTTCTCTGAATCGGTAATATCGCTGTAATAGGTCCTGCCTCCGGGGGATGTTCTGAGGATAAAATAAAATAATGTAGAGCGAGCACAGAACGTAGAATGCATCCCATGAATTAGACCCCTTTCCTTTGATCCGAAGGGGATGTGACTTTGTATCTTTTGCACACGTGGTGCACAAAAACGTCTGTCCACAGCCTTAACGGGCTGGTGCAGGTTTTGGAAAAACTGCGTTCAACTAGGTGAATGGTCTCTGATGAAAGAGAGGACATGCCCCTGGGAAGTTGTCAGCCCACGTCCAGACCCTTGGTTTTGCAGTTACGGGAGGAAATACTTCCTTGGCACCATTTGCTCTTTAATTTTTGTGTAGACAACTGTGGTCTCCCTAAGTGCATTAGTAAGATTCTAATACTTTATCATTGAACAAGTCTCATAAAACATGTCAAGTTCGGGAACACGGACCTGGTTTACACACAGCCCACATATGCCTAAGCTTTAAACCCTTGAGACAGAGGACTGTGAGCTTGACTCCTGGCAGAGTGACACTGCCTGGCGCTTGGAGTCTCTGGCTTATCCCTGGAAGTGCTGCTGGGACCCTTCTGTTCACCGAAGAAGAATAACCTGTTTTTTGTAACTAACTCACTGTAATGCCTGTCACTGGCGTCTTCCCATCTCTCGCCTGAGTTTTTTTCCCCCTTACAGACCTTGGGGGGGGGGGGTTGGTGAGGAGAAAAGGCATTGCCTTTTTTGGTTCTGTGAAGAGTAGAGAGGAGGAAGGCAGATTGGATGATGGAGCTGGGAGGTGTGGTTGTGGTGGTTGTTATTGCTATTATTAACCCATTTCACCCGTATGTGTGGCCAGGATCTTTACCTCCTGGGCTTATCATTCCCTTTTGGGATAAATGACATTGAAGTAAGGATTTACCGGCCCATCGTGCTACTCAGGAACTTCTTATTTATTTTTATCTTCACTCAAGGACATTTTTTCATCACTTTTACGAGAGAGAGAGGAGGGGAGAAGGAGAACATCGATGGGAGAGAGAAGCATCCATTGGTTGCTTCCCACATGCGCCCAGAGGTTGATGCACGAACAGGGACTGATATGCTTCCAGCCTGGGGGTGGGGCTCACACATGCCTGCGCCCAGACCGGGGATCAGACCTGAAATCTAAAGTGTGTGCCCTGACCGAGAATCAGTCCCGCCATCTTTCAGTTAGGGAATGACGTGCCAGCCAACTGAGTCGCATTGGCCAGGACAGGAACTTGTTAAAGGAGTGCACTGTGATGAAGAGGAAAGAGCACTGGACTGGGAGCTGCTTAGCACTGTGAGCCCTGGCAAGTGACGTAACTCTCAGAACCGTCTGTCAGGGAGGTTCCTGTTTTCAGTGGCTTTTTTTTGAGACTCTGAAATGGCTGCGAAAGCCCTTCATATACCATGGCAGTGTCTTCAGATACAAAGAAGTGGTTAAGAGCCCTGTGTCATCGCACACCTCCAGGACCACTCTGCTGCGAATTCCTCCTGAGTGCCCCAAGGTCATACAACTCTAAAGGCTGTGCCCATTCATTGTTGCCTTGCACCGACATCTTCCTGTCTCTCTCCTGAACTTTTTACCCATTATTACCTGGTTGAGAAGTTGGAGGAGGGAAGGAAGCAGGGGAAAAGGCTTTGCTCTGTTGAGCTCTCAGGGACTTGGAGGAGCAGGGCTGAGTGGATGGTGGGGTCGGGAGGTGGGAGGTAATTGCGGGTGCAGGACCTTTTCTGGCAGCACAGTTTTTTCCTCCTCAGAGAAGGGAGCTGCCCTGTGATCAGGTGTGTGGCAGGGCGCAGTGCCTGGGGTTTTGTTCTCCACACTAGAAAGCGCCTCTTTCTCTCTCTCCCAGAGGGGATGTGCAGTGAGAAGGGCCGAAGAAGTTCGGAATGGGTTCTAGTCCCAGCTCCATCACTCTGGGCTCTGGTTATTTCCCCTCACTAGACCCCCACCTCTTCACTTAGAAAAAGGAGCTGTAGTAACACCCTTACTGTTAAGGATGAAATGGTATGTGCAACGTGAGAAAAAGGATAAGCTGTACAAACGAAGACATTATTGGAAAGGCAGGGAGAGGAGTTGGCAGGGGGTTAGTGGAGCCAAGGGACACTGGCTGAACCAGACAGCTGGGCCTTCTCACTCTCCCCTGGGAGCGCGGATTGGTGTTTTTGCCTCAGTGCAGTGAGGCATGTGACAGCCTGCACCTGCTGAGGTCCCCTTGGCGCTGCACCTGTGCACGGTCTCTATGTTCGTGCTGGCACACGCCTGGCAGGGACGCTGAGGAAGCAGAAGAGGGTGAGCCTGGTATGACTGGAGATGTACGAGCCTGCGTTTGAGGTGGTTAGTGCTGGCAGCGGAGGGTCCTTTGCCCAGTATTTGTGGAACTAGTGAATCGTAACTTGCCCTTAGAGATCATTTTTTCTAATCCTCTTGTTTTACAGCTGAGAACACTAAAGCCTATGCGTTACATATATTTTTAGAAACCCAAAAAGAGGGGAGAATGGGGTATAAAGGGACTAGATGGTAATGGAAAAAATACAATAAAGATTAAATCAAGAAAAAGACAAAAAGGGCTAAAAGTTAGTGGTTTTTTTTTTAAATAACAGGGTACTTTCACATTTTTGTATTATTCGAATTTGTTCAACATGTATGTAAAATCAGTGGGCCCTAGCCAGTGTGGCTCATCTGGTTGTAGTCATGTAGTAACTGAAGGTTGTGGGATTTGAATCCCAGTCAGGGCACATAGCTAGGTTACAGGTTCAGTCCTCCGTTTGGGTGCGGGTACGTGTGACTCCCCCTGCCCCCCTCCCCATGTGTGCAGGCGAACCTCCTGTCCAGATGCGAATGAGCACAGGAGGCAATTGATGCTTCTCTCCTGCATCCATATTTTGCTCTCTCCCTCTCTCTAAAGCAATGAAAAAAATGTCCTCAGGTGAGGATTAAAAAAATAAAATCAGTGGAAAAAAATATATTCCTTTTTTCTTTTAAGAGAGAGAATTCCTCATTTAATCTGTAAAGTTAAATTATACCATCAAATTAAAAGTTCCCAGCAAAACAAAACGGAGGCCCAGAGGGGTGGAGTGACTTGTCCAAGTCACAGTGCAACTTATTAGCAGCGCCCAGTATAGAACTGGGGCCTCTTGTCTCGTTTCATCCGATGAGGGTTTCCTCCAGGAGTCTGGGGGGAAAGCATTGTTCCTGCCTCCTCGCAGCTCCGGGGCTCCCTGCTCCTGCCAGGTAACAGCAGGGGCCCCAACACTAGCAGTGGCCCCTGAACCCAACCTTAAGCTGTGATTGTTCTTTCCCTGCCTCAGAAAAAAAGTTGCTGGAAGGGGTTCTGGAGAGGAAGATTTTTAAAGCTAATAGAACTACTCTGGGAACGTGATAAACTAGAGGGAGTCTGTTGCTAGAAACTTTTTGAAATGGACTATTAACTGAAAATCTGTTTGGGAGAGCTCCTGTGTGTCGTGTTGGTGCCCCCTTCTGGCCAATAGAGAGCAGAGCAGGTGAAATGGTTCTTGGTTTACCAGCTTATTTTTTTACCTTTCTAACGCCCTGGGTGTGCAGTGGTCCAAACATCCAGTGTTCCAGGCTAGTGAGACTGGTATTTTCCTGGGCTAAAGTTAGGATTCTCAGACCATGACACAGGTGGGAAGATCCTCCTTCCTGTTTTCTCTCTTTCACCTCCTTCTGATTTTTGACAGTTAAATTGTAGATGGTAAGCGGAAGCACTTACTGAGCCTTTCATTTCCAAGCTGAAGAACTATGAGGTACAGCCTGCCTGGCACTTTCTTTTTCAGGTCTTCACAGAGTTACCTGGTTAGCAGCAGCCTCTCATAGTTCAATTCATTAAATATTAATCTGTACATTGTGTGCCAGGCCCGGGTGAGGGGCTGGTGACTCAGAGCCCAGAAGGGTACAGTCTTTGGAGGAGAGACTAGAGCTCTGGAATTAGAAGGACCCGTCTTTGAGTCCTGGCTTCACCGCTCATTAGCCACATGCACCTGACTGAATGACAGCCCCCTGCACCTCAGTTTCTTCATCTGCCAAATGAGGGTAATAATAACAACTCACGGGTTGTTATGAGGATGAAGTTACATGTGGTAAATGCCCAATAAGTGGTAGTGAAATTTAAAAAGGCACTCCCAGCCGAGTGAGAGAGACGGGCCGAAGCAGAGACGACTATAGTTCAGTGTGATGACCAGCGTGTTACAGGGAAACGTAGGGGCCCCAAAGCCCAGAAGCGCTGCTGGTGTGGAGTCTGGTACACTTTTTTAGTGCATTTTAACTCTCTGTGGGCCTTCTTTTTCTACAGGCGTACTTTTTTGATGCACCAGAGGTGGAACATCTCCCAACAACTACAGTTGTTCCAAACCAGACAGTGATAGCAGCCAAGTCCAGCTAAAGAAGAAAGTAAGAGATTGCATTTTACCTCCGTGCGGTGCGGTGCGGTGGAAATGGGCAGGTGCGTCCGTCGGTGCAGTCAGCGCAGGGACAGAGGGCCAGACCCTTTCATCTTTTTGCACAATTCAGTGTGGTGTTTGTGTACGCAAATGTCCCTCTTGCCGAAGTCTTCAGTTGTGTAATCTGCATGATCTGACTATAAATTTGGGAAACGCAGGTACTTAGGTTCTCCTAGAAGAGGCGCTCCTGCCTTTCGGGCCCAGCATTCCTTCCCCTCTACCCCCCGTCTCCTTCCCAGTGGCACAGTATAGGTTCGTTCCCTTTGGTTAGAGTCCTGGCGGGGTTTTTTAAATTTATTTATTTGGTTGTTTGCTTGTTTTTTTTTAGTTTCCCTGTGACTTTTCCACCTGGCCTCAGGCTCTGAATGTGACCTCTCTTAAATTACCCATGACTTCTCTAAAGCTTACAAATGCCTGGTACGTTCTCTGGGCCTCCGGTGATTCCACTGCCGGCGATTAGCTTAGCGGGTGAGAGGGCAGGAGAAACGCCGATGCCTCCTCGCGCTGCCTCCTCGCGCTGCCTCCTCGCGCTGCCTCCTCGTGCTGCCTCCTCGTGCGTGTTCCAAGGCTGCGGCCACACCGAACTTGCTGTGGCCAGACTCCTCATGCCTTCCCCTTTGCTGTTCCAGATGTCTAAAACATCCCTTCCCTTCCAACGGGCATCACTTACCTTGCTACCCTGTTACGCTCTGTGTTGTACATCACCAAGGGGTTCTTGTTTGAACTGGGTCTTGAAGGTTGAGCAGAAGCAGTTACCCATTGTTCTGAGGAGTTGTCAGCTTCCCAGATTCTGGGAAGGTGAAGATGTGGGCAGTTCATTGGGGCACGGTGATGCCGTATCACTGAGAACAAGAAAATCTGGAGAGAGGTAGAGGTAGAGAACACGGTGACAGTTGCCTGGGTCCCTGCCTTGGCCCAGGACACCTGACATCCCCCTGGCAAGGCTCTGGTGGGGGGCTCTCTCAGCCTGCTGCTGAGCTGAGACTTCATTTTCTTCCTTATAATGCAGTTGTGACGGCTCTAGACCAAGTGTCCCAGGTGCTACAACCTGAAGAGTTAGAAGCTGGCATCTGAGAAGACACTGGTTCTCAGGGCCCTTGTAGACCCCCCATCCTGATTTACAGAGATTTGATACCTCTGGGCTTTGCTCAGATCTATAAACTTGGGTGTCAGCACCTCCATTTGGGTGTCAAGTCTCCAAATGAGATCGTGATAAACGGTTTCCGCGGAGCCTCCCTGGCAGAAGCATCAATCTCTTTGCCAGGGAGAGGGGCTGTCAGAGCTCCAGGCTCTGCAGATCGATGGGCTGGCTGTGCCCTCTCCTGCGATCTCTGGACTTGCAGCTTTCACTGAAAAAGTAATGGCTTCTAATCTCACAGATAACCTTCTTCATGTAAATCTGTGCACTGGGGACTTAGGCTAGCATGCATTCCCGGGAGAAAATTAACCCCATTTCTCCCTGAAACCTCCAACTACTTGTAATCAGGGAAGCTACCCCTACATAAGCCACTGATGTTACTATCTGGCTTTCTTCTTTCCTTCCTTCTTTTTAAAAAATTAACTTATCACCTGAGGGCCGGTGCCATTTCTTCTCTGAGCCAAAACCCTGGTAAAGCCTGGAAACTGTCCCTACAAGTCTTACTTCAGCTTGCAGGATGGAATATCTGAAGGGCCACATCTAGACTGGGGCTGCCTTCCCGGGGCAGTGACAAGTGGGTCTGTCCAGAGGAGCGCAGCCGGCAGATAATTATCCCGCAGCGTGAGAAGGGCTTTAATAAGAGATGAGCATCAGGAGACTGCTGTATAATTAAAACCCTCCTGATTCACACACAGGGTTTATACGCAACTATCTCTTCACTTACTCATGTCAAGAGTGCTCATTTTATGAGCCAAAGCTACAGTCCTTTTTGCTAGGTTTACACACATCAGTTCTTTTATTCTGAAATCAGCTTTAACTCGTTGCTATAATCCCCTTTAACACAGCATCCAAACTGGATGACTTTACACCACGCCTAGCACTACTTTCTCCCAGCCCCTTGTTCTTTTCCACGCAGTGTCTGAAATGTCCCCGCCCAGGGAATCCATTCTCAATTGCTGGGCTATTTCTTTCTCAATGTTCTTCTTTCTTCCCTTTCTTTTGGGTAAATTGGGAGAACCTGGGGTGGCAAGTAGGCCGATATAATAACTTTTCATTCTTTTTAAAAAACGTATTTAGTGGAAATTCTAAATGTGGATAAGAGTAGAGTGACTGGTACGCTGAGTCCCCATGTGCTCCTCGCCACTTTCAGTGAGTGTCAGCTCCTGGCTGGTCTCGTTTCATCTGTACACCCACTTTTGTTCCTTATATCATTTGAAGCAAATCTAAGGCATCCTTTTATTTTACCCATAATATTTAAATTCTGCATCTGTAAAATACACTCTTTAAAACACTACCATAATACTATAGTCACATCTAAGAAAAATTGTAACTCCTTAATATCAAGTATATTGGGTTGGCCAAATAGTCCATTATGTCTTTTCTGTACAATGGCTCCTCTGATAGCGCTTAGTTGTCCTCAACCTCATTCCAAACAATTGTGTCAGAGTGCATTGTGACAGCTGCCGTATCAGCATGCATTTAAAAACAAACTTATCAAAACTGGTTGTTTTTTGTGCAGCCATTATAATATTGAAGATGGAAGAAAATGCACAACATTTTCAGTGTATTATGCTTTATTATTTCCAGAAAGGTAAAAACCCAACTGAAACGCAAAAAAATATTTGTGCAGTGTATGGAGAGGGTGCTGTGACTGATGGAATGTGTCAGAAGTGGTTTGCAAAATTTCTTGGTACTATTGACATTTTGGCCAAATAATTCTTTGCTGTGGGGCTGTCTGATGCAGTGGAAGATGTTTAGCAGCACCCCTGGCCTCTACCCACTAGAAGCCAATAGGAGATGGCCGACATACTCAAAATATCCAAATCAGTAAAGTTATTTGTGAAAATGAAAATGTGTCTTTTATTTTATGGAAAAAACTGAATAGACTTTTTGGCTAGCCCAATACTTAAGTGTTTGAATTTCATATTGAAGTTGGTTGATGTATCTCTTAAATCCTTTTTTAAAAGTTCATTTTTAGAGAGAGAGAAAGGGAGGGAGGAAGAGAGGGAGAGAGCCATCAATGCGAGAGAGAAACATTGATCAGTTGCCTCTCATAAGTACCCCGACTGAGACTGAAAGACATGTGCCCTGACTGGGAATCGAACCGGCAGTTTCTTGCTTTGTGGGACAACACTCAGTCTACTGAGCCACACGGGCTAGGGCATAAATGTCTTCAGTACAGGATGCTATTCTGTCTCCCTCTCTCCCTTTGCCATTTATTTGTTGAAGAATTGTCTATCTTATAGTTTCTTACTATCTGCAGTTTGCTGATTATATCTCCACAATGTCATTTAACACTGTTGCCCTGTTGTCTTTTTTTCCTGCAAATTGGTGGTTGTGTCTAGAGAGTTGATCCAAAAAAAACTATAAATAAATAAGTAAGTAAAAAGAAGGTAAAAAATGATGTGTACTTTATCATAGACCACATTGTGTAACTGGAGTAAAAATAATAAATATTTTAAAAAAAGAGTTTATCAGATTCAGGGGTTTTTTCGGCAGGGGGCAAAACTGCTTGGTAAGTGCTGTCAAATTCTTCTGTCCATAAACTCATAGTGCCTAATTACCTTTCATTTTTTTTCATATTAGTGGCTGTTAATAAGCAATGCCTAGATCCACTAATGTATTAAAAGCTCCACAATGGTGATATTTCAAATCTACTTTTCCTTTTGTTTATGAACTGGAATGCTTCATCTCTGGAACTTCCTTTCCTCTACCACCTGGCTACCAGTGACATAGTTTATATCAGAAAAGCTGCCTGGTGGCGGCAGACTGCTTTGCTGTTGAAGTTGCATCTTTAAACATAAGTGATATGCTTCTTTACAATTTAGTCCCTTTCTCTATGAGGGAGCCTTTATCTTGAAAGTTACTCTTTTGTTTTTCAGTTCACTTTCTTCCTTTTCTTTTTTTTTTTTTTTTGCAGTCTGGTTCTTTCCGACACCAAAGGCAACAGGAAAACTGACAGAATGGCACGAACCCCCTACAATCCAGTCTGTCTGGTGCCACACTGAAGCCTGATTGCCCGTTTACCAAACAGAAATTAAACGTTGTTCAGCACATGTGTCTTTCAGCTCTTCTGTCTTGACCGTCCACGGTTGTTGTGACCGCGCACTGATTTGGAGTGAAATGTGAGGGCGTGGGCTGGGCGGGCTCAGGCGCCTTCACCTCTCCAGCCTCGTGATGTGCTTCACCCTCAGTACGTCCTTCATTCCTGAAGTGGATCCATCCCAACTTCCCATGTCTTTTCTCTGAACTGTGTACAGATTTCCTCCTCTCCCCGAATGCTTGCCACCCTAAAGTGGCCAAACAGCATGAACTTCGGTTGTGATTTATTAGGCACCTGAAAACTTGTCTTTGGTGACCTGGCATTGGGTGACTGAACCTAATGGTTGCAAAATAAATACCTCACCCAACAGCTGTGTCTGCACTTCATGCCTTTGACCTCAAGTTGTTCCCTGATTTTTGTCGTCAGCGTGCCGGAGGCTGCTGAGAATTTGATGAAATGCGCTGGCTGCTTTGGTGTGGGGGCTCCATGGCACACCTGATTTTTCCTCCTGTGAGTGTGAAACAGTTGGTTTAAAGAACATGCTCGTTTAGAGCCTGTTTTGACGATAATTTTAGACATTTCTCTTAGGGCCCTTGCTCTGCAAGGTGGCATGCCTTCCTGGCTAGAGTGCATTCAGGGGAGAAACCAGTGACACCCCAGAGATATTTTTTAATACTTTGTATTCAGAATGCACACCATCTGGGAGGCTGAGCTTCTGCCAGGTCAGGATGGCCAATTCCCTGTTTGTTGTCTTCAGTTCAGGAGTTCCCTATGTATTTCTGAATAGGCTACAAAGGCACATTTGTACTTAAAGACCAACCAGGCAGATAAAGAAAGATGCACATGAATTCAGGTGATCATGAGATTAAGGTCACCTTGGTAAACCTAGGGACATCATCTACAACAGAACTGGGTGGCAAGATATCGCCACAAACCCCAGAATTCATGTAGGCGGAAACCACCATCAGTTGCAAGACTTATGTGGTATCAGCAATTTTGTGGAAAGAAGAAGAGGGAAGCAACAGGGTGTCTGAGAAATCTAAAAATAAGAGAACCTCAAGATAGCCAGCAAGAACTCCCCAGAAAGTTCAGAGGACCAATAGGAGAACAGCAGCGGGTCCTGGGGTTGGGGGAGTTTTGTACAACCCAGTTTGCAGCTGATGAGTGCGAGGGCTACAAAGTAAGATCTGAAGAAGCTGGGGTGGTCCAGGTCTTGTTACCTCTTATACCAAACAAAGAGTCCAGGACACCAGAGGAGAAAAATCAGGAATGGAATGCAAATAGGGTAGGGCAGGGATATCCTGAGCAAAGGAGATGGAAGTCCAGATGAGAGCGGGGGTGGGGAACAGAGCCAGGAGGTCTCAGAGCATCTGAAGCCATGTTTCTGAGGACTTCTTGAAAATGCAAGAAAGGAAGCTGTTGCAGGGGTGTCCAACCTGCTGCCCATGGGCTGCCTGCAGCCCAGGATGACAATGAATGCAGCCCAACACAAAATCATAAATTTACTTAAAACATTATGAGATATTTTTGTGATTACGTGTCTCATTGTATTTAATGTGTGGCCCAGGACAACTCTTCTTCCAGCGTGGTCCAGAGACACCAAAAGGTCAGGCACCCTGCATAAGCTCTATAAAGAGCCTTGAATTTAGCAAAGCTCTCCCGACTCACTCCTCACACTTAAAGTGCAGAAAAACCAATTTCATGTAAAAACAAGCAACTGAAAGGATTGCAAACAAATCTCATAACAAAGTTATTCCAAAAAAATGAGAACAAGGAGCAGAATAACATCCCTAATGAATGAAAGTACTCCAGAAACACATGTCCACAAAACCAGATAAAAACTCTAACAATATTTCAGGATGAGCTAATGCAAGTTAAAAAAAATAGTACAAGATAGAAAAGCACATCAGAATTAGAAAGCAGAAGTTAGGTAATAAAACAGTAAGGAAGAGGAAAGAAGAGGGAAAATTTACTTCACAAAAGACTGAACTAGAAGGAATATCAGAGTAACAGCTGTTGCACAGTAGATAATGCCTTAAGGGAGTAAAAACTGGAAAGTGGGAAAAAATTTTAATTCCAGAATGAAGAAAGAGAAATCAAAGAAAAAGTGACAAATATAGAAGATAATTTTAAAAGTTCTAAAAGTGTATTATGCATGTCCTGGAAGAAAAATAAATAAATATAAAAAAGCTATAATAAACTTTTCCTGAAAAAGAATGAAAAAGACTTTGACTTCATACAGAAAGAGCATACCTTATACCTGGAGATCCCAACCCAGAAGGTCAACATGGACACCTTCTAGTAAAATTAGTGGATCTTAAAAAATTTTAATCCTCACCCGAGGACATGTTTTTTATTGCTTTTTAGAGGAAGGGAGAGAGCGAAACATCAATGCAAGAGAGAAGCATCAATTGGTTGCCTCCCATCCGCGCTCAAACAGAATTGTACACGCCCAGACCTGAGGCTGAACCTGCAACCTTAGTATTTGCCCTGATTGGAAATTCAACCAGCTGGGCCACATCTGCCAGGGCGTACAATTAGTGGAGTTTAAAGAAAAAGCATTTGGAGTATCCAGGCTAAAAGACAAATTCACATAAGGGAAAGTCAGATTGCTTTTAGATTTTGATAACAGTACTGGTTTTGTGCATGTAAACCAAAAACATAGCATAGCTAACAAAAATGGAAGAAGGGGGGAACATTTACAAGGCAGAATAAGCTTGCTGATTGCCTTTTAGTTATTTGGTAAAAGAATATTGCTTCAAATCACATACTGGGGAAGGAGGAAGGTGTTAGGTAAGTGCCATGTTGTTCACAAGAAAAATGATCTACAATAACTGCCCTCCCCAAACAGAGGGGATTAAATGTGTTACATAAAGGAAATAATTAGAAAAAATACAAACATTTTTAAATATATAAAAAAAGAGCAAGCAAATCGATCACACTAAAAACTATATTAAAAAGTTGAAACATTCTAATAGATATGGGTGTGAATTCTTGCTTCACTTGAAGGGCAAGTGTGAGAATTAAATGTATATGATATGATTTCTAGTGTCCAAGATATAATAAGTTAAAAAAAAAGATATACATGTTCAACCAAAGCAAGATCTCTAGCCTTCTGAGCCAGGGAGGGAAGGCAAAGCCGGGGCTTGAATACATGATTGGCTTCAAACTTTGCTCTTTCAGTACTGTGCTATGCAAGGCAAGGCATATCCACCAAATCACAGGTGGCAAAACAGGGCTGAATCAGGCCCTCTACCTTATTTTATCTGGCCAGCACCTTGTTTCAACCCAGCGGCAGCACCGAGCTCCATGCCCCTAGTTAAGAAGTAGTTACATTTATACAGTCCTACAGTTACATTCAGCCCTTTGAAGGCAAACCATGAGGCTGATGTGGCCCCTGGTGAAAATGAGTTTGATGCCTCTGCACTAAATTGTGGGATTATAGGAAGGAGAGATTGGACTAGAAAGGCTTCCTGGAAGACATGGCCCTTGAAGATACAGAGAGTCCAGTTTAAGCAGAGGCAAGAAGGAGTAAAAGCAAGTCATGTTGGTGAGGAGGTGAGGGGTTTGTTAACAAGCCAGTTTTAGCTTCTTTTGCCTGTACAATCCTTTCCCCAAGAACAACTTATAAGGTAACGACTGATAACCAGTTCTACCAGATGCATTAGTTGAGAGTGTGGTTTAGGAGAGTGAGTGTCTAAAGGTGGGGCTTGTATACCAGAGGGAAGATCCTGACAGCAGGGACTCTGCTCCGATGTACACCCCCACAGGGCTCAGCACTGCACCTGGCCCATAGTCATTGCTGAGTAACTGCTGGTGGGCTGAATTAATAAAGTAGCAACATAAACAAAGGTTTTCAAGGGCTTTTTAAGCCCTCTTCATGTGGCTGCATTTGTTGATTTACTACTTGTGTCCTACAGGATCGGTTAGGTTATTCTGCAATAACAAACTACTTCAAAACATCAGTAGTTAAAAATGTTTTATTTCTTGCTCATGTTACAAGTCCATTACAGGTTGGCAGGGGAACTGTTCATTCCAGTCACTCAGGTCCCTCTGGTCAGTGGAACGAACACCATCTCAAATATTGGTCACTGTGCCAGAGAAACAGAAGAGACCTCTGAAGGGTCTTACAATGGCAATTAAATCTCTCAACTATAGGACACTTAGGCTGGCAATTTGTTGGCAGACACAGTGACATGGTCATGCTTAACTTTAAAGAGGGCTATGAAATGCCATCCCATTATGTGTCACGAAAGGAGAGAGCTGGAAATACTTGGTGAGCAGTATGAATGACTATCACCCTTGAAAGGTGGGTAATGGGGCTCAACTTAGACACGTGGATAAAAAGACAAAACAGTGCACACTATTGTTCCTCTTTGTGCAGTTTAGTGCACTAAGAGGTTGAGTTACTTACACTAACTTGCTATTAAACAGGAAGCTGGTATTCAAATCTTCATGTGTCTGACTCTCTAAAATCTTTGCCTAACGTTTTCCAGGCACTTAAGTATTCATGTGAAAAACCTTTGATCCTGCCTCTTCCTCATATACTTGGAGATGAGGCACCTAGTACACTCAACTTTGTCCACAGGCTTCATTTTACTATCATAGGCGGAAAGTTAAGTTGGGCTTTATAAATAACCTAGGCCAATTTAATAGGGAGAAAAAGCCATTCCTGAAGCCAGGGTTTCATACTTTGCTTCTACTATGTGGATATTCTCTTACTCTCCTCTCTTTCCTTTGAAATCTGATCCCCAAGAAACAAGCCGCAAAGGGCAGCCCCACCCAACAGCTCACTAAAGGAAAGTCTGGCTCCAGAGAGGAGGCTTTAAAGGAAGGAAGGGTTTGAGCCTTATTTTCAAATTGCCGACCCTTTCAAATTCTTCCCCAAGGTGTTTAGAGTTTGGTAAAATAATAACAACAACAACAACGACCTAGGTTTATCCTGGGAAATATGTGTTCTCCTGCCCCCTACCCCAGAAAATATCCATGTGTTTTGAATTTATTTCTGTTTGACTCATCAAAATTCTGTTGCACAAGAGACTCTGGATCTGTCCAGGTGTTCTTTCAAAATAAATGTCTTATTTGCCTTTGGAAATGGCTAATCATATTTATCAAGAGTTAGCAGCCTTCTCTCTTGGAAGGACTGAATTTGACACTACACAGGTTACAGATGAGGAGAAAGAAGAGTTATTTGCCACCCCTCCCCAATATTTTCCAGGCTGTAAGATACCCAGAACTATAGAATAAGTGAAGGTTTTGAAATGAAAACTTTAGGAAAATGATGACTCATTAACAATATTAAAATAATTTGAGAAGAAAAAATAATTCCCATAGCTCTGTACGATGTTGAGAGAGTGGTGGTTTAAAATGAGTCTAGATTTTTCAGGGATTCCCATTATTTATATGTTAGATCTTCTTTGCCTATCTTTTTTTTTTTTTAAGGACTTTATTTACTTATTTTTAAGAGAGAGGGGAAGGGAGGGAGAAAGAAGGAGAAAAACATCCCAGCCAGGGACCTGACCCACAACCCAAGCATGTGCCCTGATGAGAATCGCACTGGTGGCCTTTCACTCTGCAGAGAGATGCCCCAACCCACTGAGTCACACCAGTCACTGCACTTGATCTATCTTTGTATTCCGAGTTTGTCCTGCAGTGCTTCAGACATGAGTGATATTAACTCTTTGAAAGTTAATATGATGCAATCTTAAAACAACTCAGGAAACCATTATTAACAAATGTTCCAGAGCAGTATGTGTGATCTCAATTTGTCTTGCTCCACTGAGTTTCTTCAGAGTAAATCACTGAATCTATACCTGTCTTAGAGTACTGAATGTTGACTGTGGTATGTAATTGGGCATTAAAAGGTGTAGGCACTATGGCTCCAGGTATCTCACTGAGGCCAAATACAATAAAAGACTTCATTAAGTGGGACTTGGGCTGGTAAAAAGCTGTTTTCATCACTGGCAGGAAATTAATGATAATATTTATATAGCATTATTACATCTTTACAACATCACTGGATGGCATCTTTATTTTTATCCTTATTTTATAAATTAAATAGAGGCTCACAGAGGATCAATTATTCTCCTTAGCAAGTGGCAGAGCTGGATGGAACTAGAAACTAGATTTTACAAAACTAAATGCACCTTAAGGGAAAGAGAATTTTCCATTTCCGTAAAATTAGTGAGCACTTTTGTGGAGAGGGCCACAATATGCTTTGATTTCACTTTCAGGAGGTCATTAAAGCAAAATCCGGAGAAAGGAGGGCAAATCATTTTGGCAGATCTTTCTAACTGTAGAATTCCTATACTAACACTGGCTAGTATAGGCCTTATAAAAGACTACGAATCCCAGCAGGCCATAAGGCACCTTCGGGAAGACTTCCGCTCCCAACCTGCCGAGCAACGACCTCTGAGTCCCAGAATGCAACGCTCATCCTTGCTCCCCCTCGGGCCTTCGAGCCTACAGTTCCCAGCATGCAGTGGCGCCGCCCCCAATTTCTGGCACCTCGATGGACCCTGCTTCGGAGAGACCTTTTCGATACCAGAGAGCGAATTCTGGAGTCCCGGGCCGCTTTTGGACATGTGTCTCCGGGGCAATCCTGGCCTGCTGGGCCTGTCCAGACGAAACCTCGAAGGACTGGATTGGGGCTTGGGCCGGGCTTCGCTCAGGCGGCGTTCGAGGCAGCCCCTACGGGGTCCTCCCGGGGCCTTCCTTCCTTTGAACAGCAGTGGCGGGCGGGCTTGCTGTGTCCTGCCCTCTTCGGAGTAGGGGCCGCCATCACCATGGCCACGGTTTCGACTCAGCCCTGCGCCGGCGGGTCGCGGGACATCGTGTGGCGCGTGAGTGCTGCGTTCATTGTGGTGTGTGTTTGGCCGCTGCTGGGGTTCGGCTGGACTGACGGGCGCTGACCGCGCGTGCGTGCCGGGCGGGGGGAGGAGCCGTTCGAGTGTAGTGGGGAGCGCGTGGGGAAGGGACCTCTTGCCGGGAGGCTCATTGAGAGGTCGTAGGGGGACGTTGTGAGTGGAAGCTGATTACATGATGGGAAGAGTGTGCTAGGGAAAGTTGGGTACAAGGTGTGTGCGTGCCGTGATGTCTTGAGTGCAAACTTGTTACGGGGTGAAAGGGGAATTCAGAGTGGAAGCTAGTTAGAGTGGGGGGCTGACCTGGATGGGAATTGGGGCAGGGAATGGAGGAAGAACCTATGCAGGGGTCGTGTACCTAATAGGTGTACCTAAATAACTTGTTTATCCCTTGGGATTAGAAGCGCGAAGAGTTGGAAAGAATGTGAATGCGAAGCCTTAGCAGAGGCTAGGGTTAGGAACTAAGTAAGGATGACAGATATTCCTTGTTAAGTTGGAGGGAATGTGTGCACTCTGGGACGGACTGAGGTGAGGAGATACTTTCTTGTTGAAGTTGAATCATCAGTTCTGCATCCATTCTGTGCAGGGCAAAGAGAAATAGGGGTAATATCCCTTTGGATTACCACAACGGTATAGTAGTCCTCTTCCTTGTATCCCAAGCTACAGACTTTGGACTCAAGTCTTACATAGCCTGTACTACCCATATTATAAGTCACCGATGTCGCGTAGATTGTGTTTCACAAGTGTGGCTGCAATTATTCCTCCTTTTTTCCTTTTTCATTGCCATTGGCTACCTTCAGACACTAATCTTTGGTTTGGGCAATTGCGGTGGACTTCCTCTTGTCCGGGTCTTGTCCCCTCGAATCTCTCTTCATCATAGCCACATTACATGCACAAGGGTGTTTTACCTTCCAAGAGATAAATTCGATGGTCACTTTCATGCTTAAAACCTTTCAGTGTTCACTTAGCAGTAAATCTTGTGCCTCTAATATGGTAGGCACTGGTGATAACAGGCATGAAAACCATGTGTCAGTTGCCCAAAAAGGAGTGTGTATCTCATCATTGTAAACAGTACAGTATACAGATGGTTCTTATAAAATGCATACAGCTTTTTAGGTTTTGATGAATCTGCCAATTTAAGCCTACAGAAAGCATAAGTTGCTGTAAAAATGCAGTTGTAAAACTTAAAAGATACTTCCTTTTTCCCCACTCTGGACTTTTAATGTGGCACCTGACTCGACTAATACAACCATCAGTTCACTGATATTACAAGATTCTGTAGTGGTATGTAAATTAAAGTAGTAATAGTAATAACCATTGAGGTTTATATATACCTGCATGGACTGTGACCTGGGTGTAAATATTAGTAATTAACATCCTGTATCAAAAGGTAGGATTTGCATAACTGAAATAGTTTAACTGACTTCATGAGTGAGTGATTTTGTTGATTTTGTTTGTTACAGGTTTTGGGCTGGAGGATAGTTGCAAGTATTGTTTGGTCAGTACTGCTTCTACCCATCTGTACCACAGTATTTATAGTCTTAAGCAGCATTGATTTATTTCATCCTATACAGTGGCTGTCTGGTAAGTGATGTTCAGTTTGGGAAAACAAATTTGCAGTATCTACTTCTCAACGTAAAAATTGCATTATATTTCAAATATACTTTCAGTTATTGCTTATGTTGACTAGGAAAACATCCGCTTTGAGGTAATCTTAAGGCATTCCCTTCCTAACTTAAACCACATTTTCATTATATAATAATAAGTAAACCTATCAGACACTTTATTATCACACGAACAAAAAAAATCATGAGAAGAGCACATAAATGAAAACTTAAGTTTTGTTTGTCTCTTTGATAGCTTTATTGAGATTGTCTTTTTTTTAAAGATTTATTTATTTTTAGGGGGAGGGGAAAGGAGGGACAGAGAGAGGGAGAGAAACATCAATGTGTGGTTGCCTCTTGCATACCCCCCACTGGGAACCTGGTCTGCAACCTAGGCATGTGCCCCAACTGGGCATCAAACGGGGCAACCCTTTGGTTCACAGGCTGGGACTCAATCCACTGAGTCACACCAGCCAGGGTTGAAATTGTCTTTTTAAGGAGAACTCTTCCTTTTACCTATTTAAAAATTGTTGATAAAAATATGATACATCTTTAAAAACCTGTGTAAAATTATGAATACTTCATTTCTATATTATAGCTAATAAGAGAAAGATGAGGAGAAAAGGACGAAAGTTAAAAACTAAAGAACTTAGACTTAAATGTGAGAATTGATGAGAAGTTTTCAGTTATTACTGTCAACTGTGTGGTAGGCACTGTGCTAACCACCTTAAGTAAGTTACGGCTTATTCTTCCTACAACTCTGTGTAATAAAGAGGTATTAACCCCCCTACTTTATAAATGAGGAACCTGAGGTTAAAGTCTTTGGAGACACACAGCTGATAAGTAACTGAACTAGGATTTGAACATTGGTCTCTGACTTCAAAGCCCATGTCTTCCCACTGTGCCACATTAGAATTAAAAAAAAAATAGAAAGAGAAATGTTGCCAGACTAGGTTTTGAAGTCTTTAAAGTCTTGCCTAAGGCTAAGAAACAAATACTCTCCTAATACTTTTTATATCCTCTCAACAACAATAACAATACTTTTTTTTTTGCTTTGGAAAGTGGGAAGTGTGTTCTTAATTTTTCAGAAGAAAATGCCAATTTTCAAGGAATTTGAAGCTTTATTTTGTGGCCTTTGGAGATAATTTCTGCTAAAGAATTAAAGCCATGTTACATTTTTGTTGAGACATATTAATCACTTCTTGGATGGATCCCACAGGTCAGATGAAATTAAGCCATAAATTATAACCAAATGCAGTCCAGCTGTCTGCCGCTTCAAAAGCCAATACTTAAAAGAGTTTAAGAGGCAGGTGCTGATGTAAAAGGAAAGTGGTTTTATTTCAGGTGCTGGCAACCTGGAAGATGCGAGACTCATTTCACAAAGCCCATCTCCCTGGGAAAATGGGGGACTCATTTCTCAAAGCCTGTCTTTCTGGGAAGATGGGGGACTTGCAGCTCTAAGTGCATCTCCACCTCTCAGTGGAGACCGAGGTCTTTATAGGGGGGAGGGAAACAGATACGGAACAAAGAGATCAAGGGGGAGGGGGCTGCAAAGTTCTCCCTGTGCAGATGAGCACAGTCCATTCCCGTGAGAAAGTGATGGTCTGGTGGGCATCATCCTGGTGTCACGTCATCCAGCTTCCATGGTTGAAGGTCAGCAAATCTGGAGCTGGGAAGCCTGGAGGTTGGGGTCTGTCTTTTGAAGTTAGTTTCTAGATTCTTACACAAACATGCTGTTTTTCTGCAAGCTACATACTAGAGTCAGCATTTACGGACACAGTGTCAAAAAAGGGTAGGGTGGCTTACAGTTCTCCACTGTTAATGCCCACTGTTACAGAACCAGTGTAGGGATGGCAAGTGTTTTGGTAACTGCTTTGCCTGAATCTGCATTACTTATGCTCTTTTGATCTTGGCTGTCTAGTCACAATACCCCCAGAGTGTTCAGTATTGAAATCTAGAGCCATTCTCAGTTGTTCAGAATTGGCACTCAAGATAAAAACTTAACCATTTCATGGGCCAAGTGTTCTTTAATCCTAATAACAGTTTCTCTTCAGTCTCATAAGTTGGATTTGATTTACGCCTTTATTCTATCAAACGCTGCTTGTTCTCTTCAACTTTTGCTTCTCTGTAAAGATACAGAGAAGTCGTACTCTTTTTTTTTTTTACTTATTCTAGTCACGTGAATCAATTCCTTTTTTTTAGCAGAGTACAATGCTTGGGTTTAATTGTGGATGCTCAATAAATGTTGTTCACTAATTTAGTTAATGAATTTTGCATTTAAAAATAATTTAAAAAATTATTTTTGCATTTTAAAAATAATTGGTTTTATTAAGTGGTAGTCTATTCAGCAAGCATATGTCCTTGCATTTTTTATTTCTTTTGATCATGTTTTTAGGCATAACAAATACTTATTTTAAAGTTTGTTATAGTTTTGAAATGGGTGATTGATTGTTGAACAACCAATAAAATGTCAGTGCATTGGTATTTAACAGGGATGTCCTGATTTTTTTTGTTTTTTAATTCAGCTAATTTAGATGGTTTATTCTAGCTCCAGAAATGATACTTTTTTTTTTTTTAGCTATAGGGGCTAATCATATTTTTAAAGAAGATATCTGAAAAATATTTATTGATATTTACTTTGTTGGTATGTTACTAAATATGGTACCTTTCTGTTTCACGTGATGAAATATGTTTGCATATGTAGTATTTTGTCTGATGTTAACATCTGAATCATCTGAAAGAAATTCTAATATAATTTGAAGGACCCAGAGCTTGGTCCAAATAAGTCTCATTGTAGTTCTTGAGTGGATGTCCTATAGGACCTGTCAGCAGTGTACGAGGACGCTCTTTTTAAAATATATATATTTTATTTACTTATCTTTAGGGAGAGGGGAAGGGAGGGAGAAAGAAACATCAGAGAGAGGGAGAGAAACATCAGCGTGTGCTTGCCTTTCATGCGCCCCTACCGGGGACCTGGCCAGCAACCCCGGCATGTGCCCTGACTGGGAATCAAACTGGGGACACTTCGGTTTGCAGGCTGGCACTTAGTCCACTGAGCCATGCCAGCCAGGTTATAAGGATACTGTTAAAGAAAAGACAACTTGTAAAGTTAAAATTATATTTGTGATTCAAACCCCTTTTCTCTTGCAGGATACTGAGGATGACTACGTGACTGAATGGTTCTCACTAACTCCTCTCTTGTGTTCTAGATTCTTTCAGTGATCTATATAGTTCCCGTGTAATCTTTTACCTCCTGCTGCTGTCAATGGTAATAATAATAATAAGTATTTTCAATGTGGAGTTTTATAAAGGTAAGTTTTCAAAAGTTAATTATCTTAAAAATAACTGAATTTGTTTTAGTAAGGGCAGACTCAATGTGTGTTGTATATGAGTGTGTGTATTAGAGGCTGTGTTTTATGTCAGTTTTATAAATGCGTACAGAATCATATACTTCGAGTATCTTATCTTAAAATTTGAGTGCTAGTTTCTCTGTCTGGGACAAAACATGATTTTATTTATGAGGTACCCGGAGTAGCCAAATGCATGGAGACAGAACGCAGACTCGTGGTTGCCTGGGGCTTCGAGGAGGTGGGTCTGGGGAATGGCTGTTTAGCTGGGACAGGGTTTCAGTTGGGAAACTGGGAGAGTGCTGTGTGACGTTTGCACAGCAGTGTACCTGTACTTCTGCCACAGAACTGTACACTTAAAAATGGTTAAAATGATCAACTTTATTTTGTATTTATTGATTTTAGAAGAAGGGAGAGGGAGGGAGAGAGAAAGAAAAAGAAACTTTGATTTGTTTTTCCACTGATTTATGTATTCATTGGTTGATTCTTGTATGTGCACTGGCCAGGGATTGAACCTGCAACCTAGGAAGATTGGGACAATGCTGTAACCAAGTGAGCTGCCCAGTCAGGTCTAAACCAATAAACTTGAAGTGTATTTTACCACAAAAAAAACTTAGATATTTTAATGGTTCACAGCTTGTGTTCAAGTTGTGATTTAGCTGATGTAAATATTATAAAAAATAATGCATTTATAGGGTATGAGATTGGGACCAGGTGATTTCTTAGGTCTTTCTCAAATGTGAAAGTCTGTAATTCTATGATTTTCCAAAAAGACGTAAAAATGTTGTGTTTTCCTTGGGAGAATCACATGCTAGATTCCAGAGCGTTTTTTTTTCCCTCCCCGCTTGTCCTTCAGATCCCTTGAGTCTCTCCTTAAGCTACAATAAGAAGTTTTTTTCTGGCAGTACTTGTTTTGACTGTAACTCAATCCTCTTTTTAGCTCTTCCACAGTTTCTTGTTAGATATGGTGTAAAATTTCAAATCTTACTCTGGATTTACACTATATCTTTTTCCTTTGTTTTCCTAATCTTACTACTTGTTAATGGACCTTTTTTCTGTTCAAACCATGTACAGAACTCTTTGGCCTATAGCATGCGTTCTTTCACACTGCCCTTTGTGGGTTTTTCTAGTGAAGAGGGTGAGGGATAGCAGCATCTTCCCTGACGTGCAAAGCACCTAAGCCCTTTCCCTTCACACTTAATTTTCCACCTCCCTCCAACCTGTCCACCGTGAGTGTGTTACAAGAGGAATGCCTGCGGAGATAGGTTAGGAAACCCTGTTGTAGCTGTTTAAATGGCCAACATCCCTCACCTCACATCCACACTCACTGCCCCCAGCTCTTGTCCAAAAAACTTTTTTGGATTATTATGAAGGTAATGGAAATTCCCATACAATTGTTTATTTTTGTATTCAATGTTGTCAATATTAACCTAGTTTGTGGTTTGTTTTTCACAGATGGGCTGTATATTGCTAATTTTCAAATGCTGAAAGAAAGATAACTTGCTGGAGGGCAAGCATTGTCTTTTGAAAATAATTTATTTTTTATGGCACTTAGGAGATTGCCGGGGTAGGCACCATTTGAGCTATCAATTTTAAAAAGAAATGAAAGATGTTACTCCTGTTCTCCTTAGATTTCATCGCTCTAGATTCTTTGGTTTTTCTTACTTTGTGTATGCATCTCCTTGTATTTAATCTTTTCTCAAATTATTTTAACTTAGAATTTTTAACTAGGGATTTTTCTGCACCATATTTTACATGGACTCTGGGTTTCTTCCTGCCCTTTGAAGTGTTTGTGCAAGGATGAGGGGGAATCCTTTAGGTCCTCTGCTGTCACACAGCAGATGGTAAAGCCACACGGATGTGTTCTCTCTGCAGTTGTGCCTTCCGTCCCCTGCTCCAGACTGGCACTGGTAGGGAAGATCGTCCATCCTCCGCAGCTTCTGCACTCGTTTGTTCACGCTGCGATGGGAATGATGGTGGCTTGGTGCGCTGCGGTGATGGCCAAGGGCCGGTACAGTTTCCTTGTGGTTCCCTGCACTCGTACTGAGAGGTAGCGTTAATTTTTTTTCCTAAGAAATCTTGTTTAGTTACTAAGCCAAAGATGACTTGTATAGTTTACTAGTTTATGGAATTGTTCGCTTTCTAGGCTTCTGTAAAAGGGGCTTTTCTACATACATCAAATGTTTTTGATGTTTTATATTTTGAATTCAACAATTTTTTTAGAACCATTTGTCCTATGCACAGTCCTATATTAGATGCTGTTGGATTTATAAGAGTGATTCACATATAGGCTATTCAAACTCCTTGAGAGTTGAGAACGAGAGGGGAATTAAGCCACACACCCAAATGGATATATAGAGAAAGAGCAATGTGTGAGAAATAAGCGGTACTAGGAAGAAAGTGAGATGTGCAGAAAAAACCTGTGGAGAGTTCAGAAAGCAGGGAAGTGGCATAGCTTCTTACAGGAGGTGGCATTTTTTTTCTTCTAAATTTGTTTTTATTGAGGTATATAAGATGGGTTGGGATGGGCAATACCCCACTAGGGAAATGTCCGTTCTCATCTTCCTGGTACACTGGCTAGGATTTTTTCTTGGAGCTGCTGCTCTTGCTGCCAGCAGCTTTTTCAGTTCCACTGTTGACGGGCTTGTCCTTGGAAGAGAAAGTCCTCTTTTTCTTGGACACATTCCTCTTACCTGCCTTTTCAGGATCACTAACTGGTTCGTCTTTGGGGAGAGATTCCTTCGTTTTGGAAAGACTTCCACTGCCAGCTGTTCTTTCATGATCACTGCTAACCAGCTCCTCCTGGGAAAAAGACTTTTTCCCTTTGGTTTGGAAAAAGCACAGACAGATAGAGGGGTCTTCTGTTTCATTTTTCTGAGGAGCCAAGGGTGTGGCATTTATATTGGAATTTGAAGGAAAGATAGTGTGGGAAGAATGAAGAAAAAATTTAAATAATTATAACTGCCCCTTCCAGTAAAAATGCTTTCATTGAAATTTATACAGTTCTTGAACACATGATGGCATTGGTAAAAATTGCACATCATCCTGTGACTTTAAAAATCAAAAAGGAGGCCTGGCTCCTGTGCCTCAATGGACTGAGTGCTGGCCTGCCAACCAAAGGGTCGCCAGTTGGATTCCCGTTCAGGGCACTTGCCTGGATTACAGGCCAGGTCCCCAGTAGGGGGCGCATGAGAGGCAACCACACTTTGCTGTTTCTCTTTCTCCCTTCCTTTCCCTCTTTCTAAAAATCAGTAAACAAAATCTTAAAAAAAAAGAAAATCCAATAAGATTACTGAAATAATCTTAAGTTCCCTATTCTCCACTGACTTTAAAACAATGTTCAAGAGTACTACTGAATATTTGATTTCTTTTTGTGCCCTAGCTACTATCGTATAAGGCAGTTTTTTTCTCCCCTAACGGTGATACATTTTCTTTAGTGAAGAGGATCCCCTGAGGGACTGCCCAGCTATAAGAGGTAACACAGAGAGAAGCTCGAGTTGTGGCACCTCTGTCAGGTGTGCAATGTATAGCTTATAGTTTCTCTCAGGGCAGGTGCAGTTTACCAGTTTGTAAGTAGCATTGGTTACTATCGAAGGGACATTCTCAACCATACCAGATTTCCAGAAGACAGGGCAAAAGCGTTAACTAAAGATCAAAATCTCATGTGTCAGGGAAAAGGGTTTTGTTAATCTTTTGTCCGTACTAACCTAAGACAAATAATTTTGCTAGAATTTGGGGCATTTTTTAAATAATTAAGTTAAATCTTTGTATTAAATAGTGATCCTAAAACTGAGATATGTGTCCTTGACTGCTGAATTAATAACCTAACTTTTTCTTTTCAGCTTAGATGGCCCTGCACAAACCTGCTTAAACGAATATCATCTTTTTTTCCTACTGGCTGGAGCATTTATGGGCTATAGTTATAGCCTCCTTTATTTTATTAACAACATGGACTATCTTCCATTTCCCATCATACAGGTAAGCTATCGTTTGACCACTACCTTATATCAGAATTTGGCATAGTTAAAATTGCCTTGGTGTATGTGTATATGACTGGCTTCATCTGATTAATTCAAGATTTGACCAGTGAAACTTAGGGCTAGAAACTTAGATCCTAAAAATGCCATTTGGAAAAGAGAGGTTTGTTTTCATGAGAGTTTAGCATGTGTTTGAGAGCTGTAGCCACCTTTCCCGCTGCCACTCTTAGAATACCGCTTTGCTCCACTCTTTCCCTCCCTGCTAGGTAGTGGCAATTGCTGTGACCTAGCAGGGCTGGGGGAGGATGAGGATGTCACTCATGCAAAGTACCTCTGTGCAGCTGCCAGCTTTTTGAACCTAAGAACTTCATGAGCTTGAGGATGTGCAAGTAAGTATAGAATATGTCAGTTACTGTCTCAAATTCTGTTCAGAACAAAGCATGATGTGTATAAATAAAATAGTTTCTGTCAGTTCAAGTGGGACAATTTAAACTACCTTTCAGTTAGGTTTTTTAAAGTCTACTAATTGGGCAGGCGCTATCTCCAATGCAGAACCACCACCTCTGGGAGGGAGGGGAGAAGGAGATCGCTTGTGATTTCTCACTGTGGCATCAAGGCCCTCCCCAGCCCATTCCTAGTTTCCTGACTGTGCTGTGTTTTGCTTCATTCCCACTCTGGCTGGCTGAGGGCTAGGGTTTGGAGCAAACATATTAGAACCATCATCTTCCCATTAGAACCCAGTTTGTTGAGAGGAGAAGGATATGTAAACAAATTATATGTCTTGAGAACATGAAGTATGAGTGTGGTGGATGAGGGTCCTCTTGGTGTAACTAACCTTTTAACATGCCTGCGCCTAGGCATTCACTAGGACAATCTGATGAACATACAGCATACATCGAGGAGGTGGGGCGCACAGAAAAGCGTCTGGCTTTTAGCTCCCTGCAGTCTGAGAGCTTATAGATAAAAAGTCCTGTTTGGCGACTCTTCACAGCTCGTGAGGATGAATTAAAAGTAGAGTGTCAGCATGGACATGAACTAAAGTGGGGGAATGTGGGTGGGAGAGGGTGTGCAGGGTGGAGGGGAGTGAAGGGGGAAAATGGGACAACTGTAATAGCATAATCATTAAACTATATTTAAAAATAAAAAAGTAGAGTGTCAGCTTTGCCACCTCAAAGTGGCATGAGGAGAAAGACTTCAAAATTCTGTGTAGAAATATCCATGGTAAATTATCTTTGATCCATACATAATTAAGAATACAGAGAATGGAGAAAAGAAAATGTTAGAGACAAGATAGTCCAAAATCTGTTGCTCCTCTTTGGGCCTCAGTTGGAAGTGGCCATTTATTTAACATCACGGATGAGCAGTGGTGTGAATACGGGAGCAGTCCAGTAATTGACAGTTCTAATAAATTGTTACTACCATGTAATGTCACGTTTGTAAAATTTGACTGCTAAAGTTTTCTGTAATTTTTTTGGCTTCAGGTTTCACTTTGGCAGAATGTTGATTCTTAACATTTGGCCATTCAGTATTTGGCCAAAATCTGGGGGTGTCTCTTGTAACCATGGGTGTAACTTTTAGTCTGCCCAGTGGGTGCTGCTCCCTGAGAGGTGATGGTTGGTTGGTGCTGGAGGGGTTTCAGTGGGTGGGTGCAGTGGAGTACAAGAGGCAAGATTTTGGTAAGAGTAGTTGAAGTGATGGCTTTTGTGCTTGGGACCATAAAGTTTGGATCCATCAAGTTTGTAAGTGTCTTTGTTTGCCTAGTTGGGTAATTTGGCTTCTTCAGAAAACAAAGGGAGAAGGAGGATACCATAGCTTCGCATTCTTTCATTAGTCCTAAGGGCATGTCACACAGTGCATGGCTGTCCCTTAGGCGTTTTAAGTAGATAACTCAGGGAGGGTTGATTTTCAGAAACTTGCAGGCTTGATGTGAGAAATCAAGCCCATTTTACTGAAACTCTGTAAAGTGATGTGATTGTTATAGTCATTTCTTTATTCATTTTTAATAGTTAAGCTGACCAGAGAAAGTTAGACCTTAAAATTTATTATCCTTATTACTATTACTATTATCCTATTACTATTATCCTTATTTTTGGTGTTCCCTGTCAGCTAGCTTCTCAAGAGTATAGTGGTGTCATTTTTATTTAAAACTATTCAGATACTATAGATAAAGTGAAAGGTTCTTGCCTACTCTGTGACCAGTCTCCATCCTTGCCTCAGAGATACTGGTTTAGTATATATTCTTCCTGACCCCTGGCTGTACATTTATGTGTATATATGTATTTGTAATATTATGTATTTTGTGGGGTGAAGTTTCTGTAAATTGTTTTATATTGTGCATATTATTCAGTAACTACTTTTTTTAAAATTTTTTTATTGATTATGCTGTTACAGTTGTTCTATTCCCCCTTTATTCCCCTTCACCCTACCCCTCATCCTCACCATTACCCCCCCTTTAGTTTATGACCATGTGTCTCAAGTCCTTTAGATTCTATATTTCCCATGCTATTCTTGTCCCCCCATCTATTTTCTATCTACTGTCTATGCTACTTATTTTCTGTACCTTCTCCCCCCTTCTCCTCCTCCCACTCCCCTGTTGCTAACCCTCCTTGAGATCTTCATTTCTATGTTTCCACTCCTAATCTAGCTGTCCTTTTAGTTTGCTCTCGTTTTAGGTGTGGTTGTTAATAACTGTGAGTTTGTTGTCCTTTCACTGTTCATGTTTCTTTAACTTCTTTTTCTTAGATAAGTCCCTTTAACATTTCATATAATAAGGGCTTGGTGATGATGAACTCCTTGAATTTGATCTTATCTGAGAAGCACTTTATCTGTCCTTCCATTTTAAATGAAAGTTTTGCTGGATAGAGCAATCTTGGTTGTAGGTCTTTAGATTTCATGACTTGGAATACTTCTTTCCAGCCCCTTCTTGCCTGGAAGGTCTCTTTTGAGAAATCCGCTGACAGTCTGATGGGAACTCCTTTGTAGGTGACTGTCCCCTTAGCTCTTGCTGCTTCTAGGATTCTCTCCTTCATTTTAATCTTGGCTAATGTAATTATGATGTGCCTTGGTGTGTTCCTCCTTGGGTCCAACTTCTTTGGTACTCTCTGAGCTTCCTGGATTTCCTGGAAGTCTATTTCCTTTGCCAGATTGGGGAAATTCTCCTTTATTATTTGTTCAAATAAGTTTTCCACTGGTGGCTGTGCCTTTCCCCCTTCTGGTACCCCTATAATTCGGCTGTTGGAGCGTTTAAAGATGTCCTGGAGGTTCCTAAGACTCTCCTCATTTCTTTGAATTCTTGCTTCTTCACTCTTTTCTGTTTGGCCATTATTTGCTTTCTTCTGGTCCACTCCATTGATTTGAGTCCCAGTTTCCTTTTCATTGCTATTGGTGTCCTGTGCAATTCCATTCATTTCAATTAGTTTCGCCTTCATATATTTGTCTAATTTGTGGCTATAATCAACCAGTTCTGTGAGGATCCTGATCACCAATGTTTTAAACTGTGCGTCTGTGAGTTTTGCTATTTCTTCATCGCTTAGATCTATTGGCTCTGGGGCTCTGAGATCCTCCTGCGCCATTCTTGGTCTGTTTGGGCCCTTTAAGTGTGAGAAGCGGCGCCTTGGATTCCCAGGTCGCTGGGTTGTGACGCTGTATGTGGGGGCGTGGCCAGAGCAGGAAATGGCGACCCCCTCTGCCGCTTCTCACAGCTGGGTGCTGAGGAGCAGTGCCTTAGGTGGTTCACCTGGGCCGGGCCACTCAGAGTCGCTGGGTTATGACGCTGTATGTGGAGGTGGGGTCAGAGCCGGGAAATGGCAGCGCCCTCCACTGCCGCTTGCCGTGGGGACCTGCTGGCCCGGTCCAACTGCCCACTCCCTTGCCTGTCCACCCGCATACAAATGCGCGAACTCAGTCAACACGCAGCCCCGGGCCCGGCTGTCTCCCCCGTGGTCGCTCGCCTGGTCGCTCACTGGGTCCCTCACTAGGTCTGACCCTGCGCCTGGATTCCGCGGGCCTGAGTGTGTCTGGCTGAGTCCTCCTGTGCAACCCTGCTCCGCCAGCCGCTGGTTTCGCCCCTTACCGGTCAGGCTGAAGAATTTGTTGTTAACGGACTTCCGAAAAGTTCAATTTTCCGTGTTCTGGCTGTGTTTTCTGTTGCTAATATTTAGTTTTCTCTAATCTTGGTTGTGTGAGAAGGCACGGCACATCCACCTATGCCTCCATCTTGGCGGAAGTAGTAACTACTTTTTAATGTAAAATATAAATTAATTTTAACCAGTTCGAACTAGCCCATTTGATTTTTTTTCTTTAAATTCGCCTACACTACTAAAAGCAGTTGCATTGCCCTTATGCAATTCTTAATAATAGGCCTGGCTGGTGTAGCTCAGTGGATTGAGCACGAACTGCAAACCAAAGGGTCGCTGGTTCGATTCCCAGTCAGGGCACATGCCTGGGTTGCAGGCCAGGTCCCCAGTGGAGGTCATGTGAAAGGCAACCGCATTGATATTTCTCTCTTTCTCCCTCCCTTCCTCTCTCTAAAAATAAATAAAATCTTAAAAAAATTGTAACTTAAAAAAAATTTACTAGTAATAGGGAAAAGGGGAACATGAGCAGGAAATAGACGACAAAGAAATGGATATACATCAAGATGGGGTTTGGCAAGCTCTAAGCCAGTGAGACTGTTTGAAAGTATTAAATAAGATTAGACTGAGAGAGCCTGGCACCTACTAAATATTTGGTAAAAGGTAGTTCATAACCAAACCACGTAAGAAACCCAGTAGGGAATTGAAAAATGCTTCATTTTAGGAGCATATCTACTGAAATGTCTACTTGCTTCCCTGTCCTTTCTGTGCCCCCTGAGTAATGGTTAAAGCAAAGGGTGCAGTAGTGCAGAACAGTATGGAAACTGTGCTGGTTTTATTGGGGGGGGTCAAAGGGAGAAGGTGCTAACACCCAGGTACTGCACAGAATAGTGCAGTTACACATCTTGTACTTGGAAAATGTTTGAATAAGTCAGTGTACTTGAGGTTGTATGGTGAGTGACCAAGTACACGTATGGGCTGCTTTTAGTACAATACTGTAGGAATCTGGAGACACAGTATGAAGGTACAGCTTCCAACTGAGTGCTATAAATTTTACTGTTCTTTAGCTTCTGAAATTCCTTAAAGAAGGATTGGCCCTAATATTATATAATAAACACAAAATAATATATGTATTCTTTTACATATTATGTATTCATGTATAGTATATATATTCTTTTATACATATAGGAATATCATAAGTACAAAAGATCAGAATTTGGGAAGATTATCTGTTGTTCATTAGGTTTCCTTAGATTTTTTTCTAATAATTAAAAAATTTTTTTTCATTGGCGTTTTAGGGACAGGGATGGGGGAAGGTCAAACAACTTGTGTTTAATAAATATAGTTTTTTTTTCAGGAAAAGTTTTGTATTTTTCTTATTTGATTCTTTTACATCAGTGATTTTCAGCCTTTTTCATCATCTCATGGCACACGTCTCGTGGCACACAGAGTTACTAAAACTCTATGGCATACCCCAAAATATATTTTTTGCCAACCTGACCAAAAGTATAATTTTGATTCATTCACATTAGCCAGCTGTTTTTGTGTTGGCTGTTGTGATTTTTTTTTGGGGGGGGGCAGTCTAAGTAAGGGAAAAGAGGCCAGTGCCCCTGACTAGTCAGGTATTGCATGTTTTAAAACTTCTTGTGGCACATGTGCTGAAAATCACTGACTTAGATTGATAGAATTGGAAGATATCCACTAAGGAACCACGTCGCTGGTTCAGCCTTCTTACCGTGAAGATAAGTAGAGGAGACATGACCTGCTTGGTGTTACACATAAAGAGGAGAGCACTGGAACTCAGGCCCCCTGACTCCTAGGCTAGTGTCATCTTCACTGCCTGCTGTTTTTTTCTGAAAATAACGTGAAAAAATTTAATGAGTAGGCAGTATATATTATCTTGAAGATTACAGGCTCTCAAGCCAGCCTACCTGGATTAGAAATTTCAGATTTTCCTTTTTCTCTGTGATAGTATTTGTTAAGTTATTTAACCTTTCTCTGCCTCCTTGATTTTCTCATCTGTAAATTGCGGGTAATGATAGAACCTCCTTCATAGAATTCTTGTGAAGTTTAAATGGATTAATGTATGTAAAGTGCTTAGAATAGTACCTGGTACGTGTTAAACACGCAAAGAATGTTAGATGCTATTATTAGTATTATGATTTTCATACTTCATCTCCACAGTCCTTAGTATAGTTTGTTATTAATTTTCTCACTTCTGATCTATATCAATGAGATGTTATATTATCCATTTAACATCAGAAATGATTGATACTTGATTCTACAATAAAATGACCTTTATTTTTTATGCAATGATTGTAGTTTTTGTGTGAACTCTTACAGTTACGTGCTTGCTTTAGAATGGAGTAGAACCTCTGTTTGGGTATATTACTGGATTCTGTTTTTCTTTTTCCACAGCAATACAAGTTCTTGCGCTTTAGGAGATCTTTGCTCTTACTAGTTAAACACAGTTGTATGGAGTCACTGTTCCTGATTAGAAATTTCTGCATTGTGTATTATTTTCTTGGTAAGAATTTATGCTTTTTATAGTATATGTATTAGCGTATAGCTCAGAAAATGTCAGTTGCAAAGTCATTTTTTATTGTTTTTGTATATTTCCTACATTTGTATATATGTAACTAGCCTAACTGATCATTATTTAGATTGTCAAAGAATATTTAATTAAGGGAAAATAGTGTTAAAGAAAATGTAGAATATACATACAGTGGAATATTAGTCAGCTTTAAAAAAAGGAGGAAATCCTGTCACATGCTACAACATGGCTGAGTCTTGCGGACGTCATAGTACGTGAAATAAGTCAGTCACAGAAAGACATAGTATATGGTTCCATTTGTATGAAGTGTCTAGACAGTCCAGACTTTTAGAAACTGCAAGTAGGATCGGTGGCTGTGGGGGGCTGCGGGGAGGGAGAAGAGGGACGATGTTGCTCAGTGGGTGTAGAGTGTCAGTGTTGGGGATGAAAAAGCTCTGAGGATCCGGCGCACGGCAAGGCACATGCAGTGTGTGCACACTTAAAAATGGTTAAGGTACCATTTTTGTTATGTGTTTTTTGCCACAAAAGTGTTTTTTAAAAAGGAAAATATTGTATGTGATTTGGTTACTTTGGTTATCCAATTACTCTGGATATAATATACTCCTTTTTATGAGTGTATAACTTGGTATCAATACGACAGAACTATCCTGTTGCTAAGGGAACCTTGTAGAATATATTAGCATGAACTTAAATATTAAAATATAGCTTCTTTTTATTTATTTGTTTATTTATTTATATTTTTTGAGAGAGGGGAAGGGAGGGAGAAAGTGGGAGAGAAACATCAATGTGTGGTTGCCCCTACTGGGGACCTGGCCTTCATTCAACTCAGGTATGTGCCCTGACTGGGAATCAAACCAACACTTTGCTTCACAGGCTCATGCTCAATCCACTGATACAGTTAGCCAGGGCAAACTGTAGTTTCTTTAATATAATGAACAGTACAAGTTAGATGGAAAACATTAATCTCAGTAGTAACACATAATATAACTAAAATCCGATGTTCTAAAACAATTTGCAGACTATTTTTCTGATTCTATTTTATTCTGTGAATGTAATTTTACAAAATTGTTCTCATTGTGGGTAGGCCATTTTGTTGTGTACTTTTTCAGTTGTAGTTTATATAATCCTTTTGTCTACATAGTTTTCAAACATGGCATTCTAATGTTAATCCTTCATTGTATTAACCTACTACAAACAGCCTGGCTGTTCTCTCATACAGGCATACCTTGTTTTTTTTTAATGTGCTCCACTTTATTGCACTTCACAGATGCAGCATCTTCTTTACAAATTAAAGGTAACACCCTCCACTAGCAAACAGATTGTGTCTTGCTTTATTGCAGTCCTCCGGAGCACCGCAGCGTCTCCGAGGTGTGCCTGCAGTTGTATGTTGGGTGGAAGTAGCGGCCATGTCTGGATTTCCATGGTCAGCTGTTTCTTCCCTTTCTCTTAAATTTTATTTCCAGTGTTACCACTTTTCATTTTTTTTGTTGTACTGGGTGTTTTTGGCCATTTTACTCTTTCAGTTATTTATATTTGTAACACGTTATATGGTGATGCAGACTCTAACCCATGGGGTCCGAGTGCTGTGGCTGTGATGAACAAATTCACACCAACTACAGAAGTCATGTGGAGAGACAGGGGTGGCATGGCCGCTCTCTAAGTGAAAGAGGGTCCCCACCCCTGCCTGGACAGGCTTTTATTGCTTTTCTGGATACATTACATCGAGGATGGTCCTCAGGTTACTATGCACAGGTTCCCTTTAGGTGGTTACTCTTTACAGATAACAAAGGAGAGGGTGGAGGGGAATAAAGGGGGAATAGAACAACTGTAACAGCATAATCAATAAAAAAAGAAAGTTTCTAATTATTACAAAGAGAACAGATATTTGCTAATGCAAAGGAAAGAGTGGTTGAACTGTTTACACTCATACTTGAGAGGTTTAGCACAGATTTTAGGAAGTTACTTTGAAGATACGCAGTAAACACTTGCTGCCTCAGTTCTGGGTGAGGGAGTTTTAGCAAAAAGTAAGCCTCAAAGCAGCCTGGGTACAGTGCAGGCCCGATTCCCCACAGGAAAACCGATTGGTGGGCTTGGTTCCTGTGTGCCGACTGGCTCCCCACTGGTTTTCCGAGTCAGGGGCTAGGCTACATTTGCCACGCCATGTGGAACAGTTCCCTGTAATGCGGGGGACAAGGAGGCAACACAACTGCATGCCTTGTTGTCTGTGCCTGAGCTAAATAACGTGGGTGACCAGTCACAGACAGACTTCGAAAGAAGAGATGTGATTGGTCGTCAATCATTGTGTACATTCATTATCTACATACTGATTTGTGTACTGAAAAGGTAGAAGTACTGTATTGAGTTGCTGACAATGAATATGCCATGGAAACTGAAATTTGAATTGTTGGAGGACTGGTTTTAGTAAATAGATGACCATGGTAAGTGAAATATGTACATACTGGAACTACAAAGCAAGGATTGCCTGTAATTAGAAATTATTCTTTTTTCTTGCCCATTCCTAATCACACAATATAGCATTTAAACTGAGGTCTTGGTGTCTACTTGGCTGTGTCATTAAACTCATGTTTCAAAGCACAATTAAGGCCTCGCTGGTGTGGCTCAGTTGGTTGGGCATCAGCTTGCCAACTGAATGGTCACCAGTTTGATTCCCCATCAGGGCACATGCCTGGGTTGCAATTCCAGTCTCCAGCTGGAGCGGGTGCAGAAGGCAGTCAATTGATCTTTCTCTCTCACATTATTGTTTCTCTCCTCTTTCTCTCTCCTTTCCCTCTCTCTAAGCATGGTTGAGGTTTGCTTTTATAACTTTTTATACTTACAGCTTTGTATTTTTACCCCCTTAGGCCATATTCCCAAAGGTTGGATTAGCACTGCTATGGACCTTCAAGTAGATGAGTAAGTGCTCTATGAGAAGTCTAATTATAATTCTTAGATGTTTTCATTCTTTTAGATGTTTGCTTCTTTCCAGATGTTTCGGCTGGTTTTAGCCTTTAAGATTTTTGAAAATTGTTTTCATTTTTGAATGAGCGTAGTTCACATAGTCTAAAATTTCAAAGGTATATAAAAGGTATGTGGTGAAGAAGATTTCTTTTGCCCTATGACATCCAGTCACCCATTTACTGTCCCCAGAAGTAATTCATTTTTTGTTAGATACAGGTCTTACATAAAAGTAGACTTCTTGAGTTGCACAGCATGCCTCTCTTTTGTTTTTCTGCATTACTTAGTAGTAATTCTATGCAGTATTGTGCCAGACAGCTGCAGTGCTGTGGGCATTATTCTGATTTTGCCTGTGAGGATACCAAAATTGGTGAGTGTCATGTGACCAGCTGAAGGTCATATGTGGCAATCAGGTGTATTCCTGATGCACTCTGTATGTAGTTAAAGGTTTAATCTTTATTGTGCAGATAAGGGTGAATGTCTTTATTAGTGTTTGTTCTTTTAATTATTATTTTACTGTGAGACTTTTTGTATCATATATAGACTGCACTAGTTTTTGGGGGTGGGAACATTGGCATATATGGGTGTTTATGAGACATTATGGTTTCTTCAGTGTAGATGTCAATCTCTAATTTTTAAAAATTCTTAGGTAAAATTTAGTTTTGTGTTCTGCTGAATTTCTAGGTGTGAAACCAAATGCATGGGACATGTATTATGTTAGCCCAGATTTTAAACTGGGTCAAATAGAAAAAGAAAAATAATAATGATAATAGACAGAAATTTAACAACACTTTTTTCCTCCTTTCACTTAAAAAATGTTTTATTTGTATGTGACTGGTATTCTGGCCTTAATGTATGCTTGGTCCTCAGTAAATGTTTACTTAAAAGCTGAAAATAACTCCATTTTTTGTGCCCACTACTCCACAAGTGAATGTCAAATATTATGCTGAACTCTCCTAACATAAGGTGTTTTAAATCTCATAATAGCCTTTAGAGGTAGAACAAAGAGATTAGGCCTTCGTTACATGGATGAAGAAACTGAGAGTGGTGTGGGCCAAGAAATTTATGTAATCACAACACTTACAAATGGCAGAGTCAGAGGTTCAAATCCTTTTTCATAGTTGCTTGTTGTGTGATTGTAGGATTATGATGACTTCGATAATTGATCTGTTCAAGGTTTTGGTAAGATAGCATTTGTTTTATTTAGCATTCCAATAAGAGTTTCTTAACTTATTTTAAAAGTAAAGCTTTTTTAGTTAATACCATGTGCATTTAATTAGTAAGAAACTCTTCATAGAGCTGAAATGGGGCCCAGGAGAGGTGCTAGTTATGTCAAATGACTTTTAAGTGTCAAACTGCAAAATCAATAATAATGAACTTTTACTCAGCCTCTAGGGGTTGGCTTATAGTCTTGGCGTATTCTTCCTCCATAGTAAATGGCAGTGAAGGTTTTGAACACAAGGAGCTGTGCTCCAGTTTCGTCTGCTCTTCCTTTAGGCTCCCTTGATGCTCCTTGTTAGAAGGTAGAAGGGGAAGAACTCCATAGGGTACAAAGTGAGAGGGGTCCATTATCATTATCATTTACAAGTAGGATTTGTTTGTTTCTCAGTATTGAGCCTCAAGTCTTTTAAGTGCTTCGATTGTGTTTCCCATGGTATTAAACAGTAATTTCTGCTTTCATAGGCAATTTCATAGGCCTCTTGATACTGTGAGTGGCCTCTTGAATCTCTCATTACTCTACCACGTCTGGTTATGTGGAGTCTTTCTCCTGACGACTTGGTACATCTCATGGATACTCTTCAAAATCTATGCTACAGAGGTTAGTACTGAGTTTTTGTTATTATGATTGCATTTTGGAGGACACAGGTTTATTTTTAGTAGAGCACTGATCAGCATGCTATTTTGCTCAAAGCCATTTTGGTAAACTGAGTTTTGGTTTTTCTTCTGAGACTTCATTAGGGATGTATCATTTATAACCATTACTTAGTTTGTTATTATTACTTTTTTTGTATGAGGAACAGTGTTAGTATTCTTAATTGTTGGAAACTAAACTGAATGGATTGCTAGTGGTATCTGTTTACTATTAGCTTTATCTACTATCTAATTCTTTTCTGAAGGTTTTCCTTTCTTTCCCATCTAGTTTGAATACATACTGAATTCTAAGATATTTTTATGTGCTATTGATATAGATGCTATTAAAAATTTTAAATGTACAGCAATGAAATATTTGTTCTTTGAATGAAACTTAAAAAATTTATGTTGAAGAAATGTTTTTTGATGAATGGGATTTACATTGTTTTTATCATCCAAGTGTTTGTCTTAGAAAATGAGTGTTTCTGTTTCATTTTACCATTTCTATAAGTTTATGTCCTTTAGTGCCTTCAAAGAACCTTTATTTCTTAAGTTTGTTTCTATTATTGGAAGCCAGAGATCTAATAAAACTGTGAGAGTAACATTTTAGAAAGTAGTATGTTTGGTTATATATAACTCTAATACAACCTATTTTTTCAAGGAACACTGAAGATGTTATTTGGTTGTATTGCCTCCTTTTCTAATAAATTTCAGTAAGTACTTAATGTAATAAAGTTGTGAAAATACTATCATAATCCTTTTGATTATATTTGATAGGCTCATCTGTTCCCTGTTCAGCCACCGTTTGCAGAAGAGTCAGATGAATGCCTCCCAAAAGTTTTAAACAGCAGTCCTCCCCTCATTATAAAGGTACCGGAACTGTCCTTGTATCTTCACGCAGTCATGTCTAACTTACCTTGTGAGGGACTTAATATTTAGTATATTTAGGTATTTAGATTTTTTTTTTAAAGATTTTATTTATTTACTTATAGAGGGGAAGGAGAGAGGGAGAGAAACATCAATGTATGGTTGCCTTTTGTGCATCCCCTGCTGGAAACTGGCCTGCAGGGTAGCAGTCTGCAACCCAGGCATGTGCCCTGACTGGGAATCAAACCACGATCCTTTGATTCACAGGCCCGTGCTCTATCCACTGAGCTACACCAGCCAGGGCTAGGTATATTTTTTGAGGGCCTAGACTATTCTGGTACTGGTACTATAAAAATCACTTACATGCTACATTGAATGCAGTTCACTTTTTCACTTTTCTTTCCAAGTGGCTAAAATGAAATAGGTACTGCAATGCATGTGCACAATTTAAGTTAATTCTATATTCAGGGTAGATATAAAAATATTTCCAAGCATAATGTATGATATTCATTAGTTTTTCATAAACTCTTCATGGTAGCAAAACAAACCACTGCTAACTTTTTTTTTGTCATTGGATCAGTATGTGTTTTTACTCCTATAGTCTTGTTGGCCATTATGATCAAAGGTGGTGTTTGGTAGTGTGTAGACATTCAGTGACTCGCTTAAGATACAAATAGTGATAATGATCCTAAAACAAATTTTAGTCAAAGAGTTTAAAGTAGTTGCAATTAATTTTCAAATCAAACTAAGTGAAAACAAATTTTGATTTAAATTGCATTTTGAAATTTTAAAGTAAATCTACAATATAAGTGATCTGTTAAGAAGTCATAGTAATTAAAAAAGAATTGAAATAGTTAGAACCCACAGTTTTCATTGTACTCTGGAAGTTACAAATCAATAAGAAAATGAACCACTAAGGCTATGATTACTTTTAAATATCAATTATGACTAGATTAATAGATAAACAAAAGTACCTATCATTCATTCGGTTATTTAACAAGTTTTTATTTACTGGGCAGGTGTTAGTCACTGCTAGTTACTTAGGGTGTAATGATGAATAAGATGTGGAACAGCTTAGTGGAAAAGGCAGATAGACAAAATAATGAAAATTTACTGTGGTAAGTACAGTGGGAACCACTTATTTTGCTTGGAACCAATATGAGAAAGCTTCACAGAAGGGATGGTCTCTTACAAGATGAGTGAGGAGGTTTGCCAGGAGACAAAATGAAAATTTTCGGTGAAAAAATACAATGGATATTGCATGTCTGCTGTGTGTTAGACATTACCTTTGAATGTGGAAGCAAGCAAGACTTTGTTCCTACCTCACAGTTTGGTGGGTGGAACCAGATGAGAAAAGTGAACAGGCAGTTATGATAAATTAAGTACCACAGTTGAGAACTGTGTTGTATGTTAGTGTGGGGGAAAGGGAGGCCAGGGAAAGGTCCAGGAGGAAATGATGTTTAAGTTTCCTGCCACAGAGGTAGGATAACACAGAGAGTTCTATAGTTCCTTGTAGGTGGGACTTGCAGTGGGTGGGGTAGCCCATAGAGGGTAGGGGCAGGAAAGTTCTGGATGTCTAAAAAGGAAGGATAAATATTTTTTCTTTATGAAAAATTTTAACTAATTCCCCTTTAGATAGATTATGCTTGAGCCCAATTCATAAGTAAGATTTTATATAAAGATTTAAAAAATTAATATGTATTTTTTCCTTTTTAGTATTTGGCCTTGCAGGACCTGATGTTGCTTTCTCAATATTCTCCTTCACGAAGACAAGAAGTTTTTAGTCTTAGCCAACCAGGTAATACTAAAAGTAATAGACCTGCCCTGGCTGGTGTGGGTCAGTGGATTGAGCTCAGGCCTGCAAACCAAAGGATCTCTGGTTTGATTCCCGGTCAGGGCACATGCCTGGGTTGCAGGCCAAGTCCCCAGCAGGGGGTGCTTCAGAGGCAGCCACACAGGGATGTTTCTCCCTTCTCTTTCTCCCTCCCTTCCCCTCCTCCCTCCCTTCCCCTCTCTCTAAAAATAAATAAGTAAATGATTAAAAAAACAAAAACTAAAAGTAATAGACTTGATTTGACATGTGTGTAGAAAGTGTTCCACTTTTGGTGAGACAGGTATAGTTAATAAAATATTGCACATGAATGAGCGCATTAAATGAAGCCATGATTTAAATCTTATGAAACAAAGTGTTGGTGTTGTGGTTAGAAGTTAAATCATTAGGAAAGGTATTTTTAAACTTTCACATTATTCGCTTCAGTCCCCTTATTCCCTTAACTTGGTAGATTGACAGTTTTAGAGCAGGAAAGCACTTTAAGAATGCTAAAAGTTTTAAAGCTACAGGGTATCTTAAATATCAGGTGTTCTTATTTTCAGAGAGATTAGTGGCTTAAATAAAGTTAATGTCAGGGCTGGAATAAGAAATTCTGTCATTCGACTCACAAGTGCAGAGCTCCCTCTTTCTGTCATGTTACTCTGCCTCCCTTGGAACAAAGTAGAAAGGAACTAGATTTTAGGGTGACCCAAAGGTGCTCTTGGCGACTCTGTTACTTGCCAACCTCTTCAAGACTAATTTAATTGTACCAGTGCTCTGCTTTATTCCTAGGGGGGAGAAAATTCCAGCCCCTGCCACCGCTGGGGAACAAAGAACTGGTAGCTTTTCATCTTCTGTCCAATTAGCACTTTATTATTTTGCCGAACTTGCCAATCCCCACATTGCAAAATAAACCTTATGTATAGTTAAATGTTACATGGAAATAAAATATGGGTTATATAAAAATATAAATGATCGAAGCCATTCTTTTAGTAACATGAAAAATGTGGATAACTGTAGCAATACTTTTCTTTTAAGATTCTATTTATTTTTAGAGAGGGGAAGGGAAGGACAGAGGGAGCAAAATATCAATGTGTGGGAGAAACACCAGCTGGTTGCCTCTCTCATGCATCCTGGCCAGGGACCGAACTCAGAACCTTTCTTTCGCATTGCGGGATGACACCAAACCGACTGAGCCACATCGGTCAGGGCTGTAGCAGTACTTTTCTGTCAGACTTAGGTTCTCTATACATTGAATATTTTCACCAGATATTCAAGGAAACTACAACAGGGTGGCACGTTCTCTGTCAGAGAAGTAGGGCGTATTATTAAAATTAAACTAGACCTTTAACGTAGTTCTCTAGTGGTCCTGAGTGATAGCAGTACAAAACATTTGGGGCCTACTGATGAAGCGTTTTGTTTGCAAGTGAAGTAATGCTCCTCTTCAGTTGTAAAAGGGAAATGTTTAAGGAAGGCTGTAAGTAAAGAGAATGAATATTTGGCACCCAGGATAGGGAAACCAATTTTCAGTGGATTACTGCTATTTTTTTTAAATATGTATTTTATTGATTATGCCATTACAGTTGTCCCATTTCCCCCCTTCATTCCCCTCCCCCCTGCACACCCCCTCCTCCCCACATTACCTCCCTGTAGTTCATGTCCATGTGCCATAAGTTCTTTAGAATCTACATTTCCCCTACTATTCTTGCCCTCCCCCTGTCTATTTTCTCCCCACCGTCTATGCTACTTATTCTCTGTACCTTCTCCCCCTCTCTCCTCTTCCCACTCCCCTGTTGCTAACCTTCCACGTGATCTCCATTTCTGTGACTTCACTCATGTTTTAGATGTCTGCTTAGTTTGCTTTTGTTTTAGGTGTGCTTGTTAATAACTGTGAGTTTGCTGTCCTTTTACTATTCATATTTTTTATCTTTTTCTTAGATAAGTTCCTTTAATATTTCATATAATAAGGGCTTGGTGATGATGAACTCCTTGAAATTGACCTTATCTGAGAAGCGCCTTATCTGCCCTTTCAGTCTAAATGAAAGCTTTGCCGTATAGAGCAATCTTGGATGTAGGTCCTTGCATTTCATGACTTGAATACTTCTTTCCAGCCCCTTCTTACCTGTAAGGTCTCTTGAGAAATCTGCTGACAGTCTGATGGGAACTCCTTTGTAGGTGACTGTCCCCTTATCTCTTGCTTCTGTAGTTCTCTCCTTCATTTTAATCTTGGGTAATGTAATTATGATGTGCCTTGGTGTATTCCTCTTTGGGTCCACCTTCTTTGGGACTCTCTGAGTTTCCTGGATTTCCTGAAAGTCTATTTCCTTTGCCAGATTGGGGAAGTTCTCCTTTGTTATTTGTTCAAATAACTTTTCCACTTGTTGCTATTCCTCTTCCCCTTCTGGTACCCCTATAATTTGGACGTTGGAACATTTAAAGATGTCCTGGAGGTTCCTAAGCCTCTGCTCATTTTTTTGAATTTGTGTTTCTTCATTCTTTTCTAGTTGGATGTTTCTTACTTCTGGTCCATTCCATTGATATGAATCCCAGTTTTCTTCCCCTCATTATTGGTTTCCTGTGCAATTTTCTTCATTTTAGTTAGCATAGCCTTCATTTTTTTCATCTAATTTTTGACCAAAATCTACCAGTTCTGTGAGCATCCTGATCACCAGTGTTTTGAATTGTGCATCTGATAGGTTGGCTATCTCTCGGTCACTTAAAAGTATTGACTCTGGGGCTTTGGTTCGTTCTTCTGTTTGAGGCATAATTTTTTGGTCTGGTCACACCTGTTACATATGAGGGGTTACACCTTAGGTGTGTACCATGGTGGGGCAACCCTGTTGCTGGGGTGATGCTGTATGTGGGGGCAGGGTTAGAGAGGGAGCAGTGGCACTTGTTCTGCTCTCTCTTGAATTTCAGTCCCCTCTGCTGCTTCCCACAAGCAAATTGGGTTCTTCTGATGCTGGTTCCCAGGTGGGTGGGCTTGTGTATGTTCTAGGAACCTGTGGGTCTCTCCAACGAACTCTCCTGTGAGGCTGGGAGTCTCTCCTGGCACCTTTTCAATCGGTGCTTTTGGGCTTTGTTTCCGGTTGCTGGGGCCCTGTTGCCCTGGGTTACGCAATCTCTCACTGCCCATTTTTGCCTAGTTTATCTGTGTGTGAATGTGTGACTGCAGTCAGCCAGCCACCTTGTGGGCTCTGCTCGTTTCCTCCCGGTTCCCCGGGGTCTCCTAGCCCCATGCCACCTGCGCTCCTGCCACCGTCTTTTCCTGCTGCTATCCTTCTCCTCCAGCCGCCGACTCCGCCCCTCTTACCAGTCTGGTTGAATGGTTGTCGGACTTTGGTACAGTTGAGTTTTCTGTCTGTTCCGGTTGTGTTTTTGTTTCTAAATCTTTGTTGTCCTTAATTTGGTTGGGCGAGGAGGCACAGTATTTCCACCTACGCCTCCATCTTGGCCAGAAGTCCGGATTACTGCTATTCTTAACACATAATGAAGCAAAATTGCTTTTCACAGACAGCTCTAGGACATAAAAAATCAAAAGATAATGAGAAGTAAGGGAATAAGAGTGTGGACTGTAGTAGTTTAAGTTAAATAATCAGCAGATATGTAAGCTCTTCAGGTATAAAGTATTGTCATTACAAAATAATATGTAACTCATGTGGATGAAGGAGCAAATAGGGACTATTATAGAAATGAAAATATAAGGAAGCACAGTAGATCAGAAACAACAGTTTAGAGGTCACCAGGGGGCGGGTGTGGGTCTCGTTAGACATGCTAACGTTTCCTGTCTCAGTCTGTTCGGCACCGCTGGTGCAATGCCCTGGGCATCCGCACTCACATCACACTCTAGTGCTTGGCTATATTTTAGTGATCAGTTGAAGAGGTTTTTTTTATGGTAAAATAGCAATGCTTGTAGACTTTTCGGAAAATTATTTCTTCCAAATATTTATTAAACTCCTGCTGTGTATTAGATGGCATGAATATAAATAATAGCTTAACTGAGAAAAGTGGGCCCTGATACAAAGCATTTCTAGTTGGTTTTTCTCCTCATTTGAGAGACTACAGTTATCTAAGTTTTAAAATTTGGTGTTTGGGCCTCCTAGGTGGACACCCCCACAATTGGACAGCCATTTCAAGGGAGTGTTTAAATCTTCTAAATGATATGACTCAGAAGCTGGTTCTCCACCAAGAAGCTGCAGCTACCAATGGAAGGGTAATGTCTTCATCATACACCGTGGAACCCAGGAAAGCGAATTCTCCAGGTAACTGCTTGCATTACTAAGAGAGGGGAAAGCTTTTCATTTTATTTCCTAAGAACGCGGTGATAGTTAATCTAAAGGTATGTATGTGAGTGTGCGATATATATTTTTAGGGAAAACTGATCTAGTCTATGGGATAGTACACTGAATCAAGTAAAAGAACTTGGTATTATGATAGGTAGAAAAAAATGAAGTCCAGTGTGGTGGTGGTATTAAAAGGATAAAAAAATGTTGGTTATCACATAGGAGACTTCAACTTACCCTAATGCAAAGCCAGGTAAATCTTTACAAATAATATTGGATGCTGTTCTAATTGCAGTATCCCAGAGACACAAGAAGTTTCTGGAAACTGTCCAAAGAGCAGCTGAAAATTATGAGTAATTTGGCAATTCATTGTTTTAAGATACATTGTTATGCATAAGAATAAATCTTCATGTTTTAAATACATTCATTATTTTAAGATAGCCTAATAAATGTTAGTACTACTTCAGTTTGAAAGATGAAAGTTGTGAGGAAGACATACAGGTGGAGAAACTTAACACTATTTTATTTTGCCAAATCCCTTAAGTAGAAAATGCCTAGGAATGTAAGACTCTTCAGTGTCCTTTGGTGTTAAGCATTTACTTGTACAAATGGGTGAAACTGACTAGGTGAGGGCGAGATAAACTTGAGAGAACAGGCATCATCTGCAGGGGGAATTTGAACTCCTGTTGTTTGTTTTTAAGATTTTATTTATTTATTTTTAGAGTGGGAAAGGGAGGGAGAAAGGGAGAGAAACACCTGTCTGTTGCTTCTCATACACACCCTGACCGGAATGAACCTGTAACTGCTTTGTTGAATAATGCCCAGTCACCGGAGCCACAGTCGTCAGGGCTGAACTCGTGGTCTTTTTTTTTTTTTTTTAAAGAGAAGCCTAAAATCTAAAAAAATCTTATGTGAAATCTTCCACTTTTTAAACGTCAATTAATCTTGATAGTTAAAAAAATTTCTCTATGGCCCTGGCTGGTGTAGCTTAGTGGATTGAGCGTGGGCCTGTGAAGCAAATGGTCGCCGGTTCAATTCCGTCAGGGTACGTGCCTGGGTTGCAGGCCAGGTCCCCAGAAGAGGACATATGAGAGGCAACCACACATTGATGTTTCTCTTCCACTCTTTCTCCTTCCCTTCCCCTCTTTCTAAAAATAAATTAATTAATTTAAAAAATTTCTCTGTGGACCAAAAGACAAACATGTTTACATTATTACTCTGGAGAGACCATATACCAAAAATAGACTACAGTTGAAAAATGCTTGAAATAAGTGTGTAAATGTCAGATTTTAAACAGTGGCTTAATTTTTTATTTTTTAATTGATTTCATTTACTTATTTTAGAGTGGGGAAGGGAAGGAGAAAGAAAGAGAGGGAGAGAAACTTCAGTCGGTTGCTTGCATGTGCCCAGATTGGTGAACTCTGAGTGGGAATCGAACCGTCCACCTTTCACTTTGCAGGACAATCCCCAACCAACTGGGCCATACCGGTCAGGGCCATGTCAGATTTTAAAATACTCTAGAATGTTTCAGACACTATCAGCTTTCAGATTAGTATTTATATATTGATCAAATATTTATTGACTGCCTACCACATACCAAACGATGTTCTAGAAGCCAGAGAATCAAAGATGACAAATATTCTTGGGACTGACTTTTTAGTAGAAGGCACACAGATTATGATAAGACAATGTTACGGCTAAAAAGAAAGTTGTCAAAGAGGAGTCTGCGTGGGTAAGGAGATTTTTGATAATAAAAGGAGTTCTTGTACAATATAAAAAAAGATTTGTATCCCATAGGGAAATGGAACCAGTAGAGGATTTTGAGTAGCCTAGTTATATCAAATTAGCATTTTACAAAGATTACTGTAATTTTGGGTTGGAGGATTTATGGGATTTTCACTAGAAACATCAATGTGTGGTTGCCTCTTGGGCACCCCCAACTGGGGACCTGGTGCAACCCACACATAGGCACTGACTGGGAATTGAACTGGCCACCCTTTGATTCACAGGCTGGCACTCAATCCACTGAGCTACACCAGCCAGGATGGATTTTCATTATTTTAAATTGTTGTCCTAACCCATCATGCAGACAATTCACCTCTAATTTTGAGGAATTTTTTTTTTGGGTTGCGGTGTTGGAACCGGTTGGCAGGGTTTGCTGAACTTAAAAAACTCCAGTATTACTTTAAAAATTGAATATTCAAAGATTTCTAATTGCCACCAACTCTTTAAAAAGTTATGTAATGGAAATTTGCTATTTTAAATGTTTAATGTCTTACTGTGGTTTTATTAAGAAGATAGAATAGTAGTGTATGATTTGTCTTTATGCCTTCTGCTGTAGTGGCAGGGAAAATGTTCATTTTTGTACAGCAGACGCTGTAACTACGTTGATAGAGTTAATTTGTGAAAAAGCTGTTTACAGATGAGATTTATAGAGTCACATGTGTACATGTTCTGGGCAAATTGGTCTTTGATGTGAATTCTGTTAATTTGAAAGAACTCTGGGGAAAATGGGATAAGGTTAGCCCTCTTGTCTATATATTTTTTCCTGTACACCTTTTATTTTTATCATTTATGCTGTTACAGTTGCGCTCACTTTTTCTCCCTTTCCCCAGCTCCATCCAGCTCCATCCAGCTCCATCCTTGCCCTTTCCTGAGCCAGTCCCCGTATTCTTATCCATGCCCATGGGTTGTGCATACATGTTCTTTGGTTAGTCCCTTCACCATCTTTCATCCTGTCCCGCCACCCCACGCCCCTTTTTGGCAGCTGTTGGTCTGTTTTAGGTATCTTAGCTTCTGTCACTATATTGGTCATTAGTTTATTGTTTGTTAGTTCATTAGATTCCACGTAATAAATGAGACCATGTGGTAATTTTCTTTCACTGACTGGCTTAATTTACTTAGCATAATTTTCTCTAGGTCCATCCTTGGTATTGGGAAATGGAAGAGTTTCTTCTCTTTTTACTGCTGTGTAGTATTCCATTGTGTTAATGTACCACAGCTTTTTTATTCACTCACCTGCTGATGAGCACTTAGGCTGTTTCCAAATCTTGGTTAGCGTAAAAAGTGCTGCTATAAACATAGGGGTGCATATATTTTTTTGTATTGGTGTTTTGGGATCCCTGGGGTGTATTCCCAGAATTGGAATTGCTGGGACATAAGGGAGCTCCATTTTTACTTTTTAAAGGATACTTCTTGCTGTTCTCTACGGTGGCTGCACCATATTGCATTTCCACCAACAATGCATTAGGGTTCCCTCTTCTCTCCATCCTTACCAACATTTGTCTATTGATTTATTGATGGTAGCCAGCCAATCTGACAGACATAAGGTGATATCTCATTGAGGTTTTAATTTGCATTTCTCTGATAAGTAGTGATGTTGAGCATTTTTCCATGTTAACAGGTGCTTTGTATGTCCTCTTTGAAGAAGTTTCCATTCAGGTCTTTTGCCCATTTCATAATTGGGTTTTATCTGCACATTATTGTAATATAAATTTGGTTTTGTTTAGCCAAGTAATAGTTATAGTAAGAGCATGCAGTAAAACTGGAAAGATTCTATTGACAGTAATTAAAGTTGTTGCCGTATAAAAATTAAATATAAATTGAGAAGTTTATTCAAAACACCTTAGAGAAAATGACCTTAGAGATGAGGATATATATGAGGGGAAAGAGAGGCCGTACCAATCTGACAGAAAAAGATGTTTAAAGCTCCTTGAGTGGCCATTGAGTTGCAGTGGTAAAAACTGGATCTTGAGAATATAAACCCAAGTGGAAACAACCTACTGGGCCTTAGGATATGCATTAAACAAAAAATTGAGAGGCATAAAATTTGAGAACCCCCATGTTGGCCTGTTTGGATTAGGTTGCCCTTTTAGCGCTGGATCTGTTCTTTTGCAGAAGAAACTACATTTCTGACCCCCAAGTCTAGCCAGATGCCTCGGCCTTCAATGACACCATTAATTAAGACATCATTGTTTTCTTCGAAATTATCTACACCCGGTGTTGCCAGTCCCCTTGGATCTCCATTTGGCTCCAGTGTAATGAACCGGATGGCTGGAATTTTTGATGTAAACACCTGCTACGGCTCACCTCAAGGTTCTCAGCTAATAAGAAGAGGGCCACGATTATGGACTTCTGCTTCTGGTGAGGACTGTTTATTTTGTGTATTTTGATATGTCATCGTTGCAGAGAATCAGATAGCCTGAGTTTTCACCTTGTTTTTTTTTTAATAGATCAGCAAATGAATGAATTTTCTAATCTTCCATCTACTCTTAGTGCTGAGGGTAAGACAGTGAGACAGCCCAGTGTGCTTTATTCATGGATTCATAATAAACATGAACAGGTATGATGATATGGTTATAGGATTTATATTTGCATGTAACATTGAGACCATCAAGGACCTCACATGAGTAAGCTACTAGGGATTAGTAGGACTTTTTTGATGCTTTATATATTCAGTTGTCCCATATGAAATTACCAGTCAACTGATTTTGAGTTGTGCTTGGTTTGTGTGAGGAACGTGGACACTAGTGTGACTGGAGCAGAGTGAGTGAGGGGATTGTGGCAGGTAGGTGGGCAATGAGGTCAAAGGGGTCACAGGCACCCAGAGCTCATTGGGCCCATTAGTGTTGTGTAGGACTGACGTTTGCTGAGTGAGTTGGAAAGCCACTGTATGGTTTTGTCCTTACAAATGGAAAGTGCTGCTCAACCTGCTGTGCTGAGACTACGTTCTCAGAGGGCAGGAGTAGAAGCAGCGAGCCAGTAGTAAAGCTGTTGAAGTGTCTAGTGCAAGATGGTGGTATCTGTGACCAGCTCGGGTGTGGTGGAGACTGTAAGATGTGGTCAAGGTTTGGATATATTTTGAAGGTAGATGTAATAGGATTTGCTTACGATTTGTTTGTGGTGAGAAATATAGACTAAGCGTTGACTCTAAAGCTTTTGGCCCAAGGATTTGAAATAATACAGTTAAAATTTATTGAATGCAATTTGCTAATGATTCTGGAAGAAGGGATTTGATGGAGATAAAATGGGGAAATCCAGAGTTTGATTTCAAACATGTTAATCAAACAAATGTTGGCAGATAGTCAAGTAAAAATACAGAGTTAGAAATTAGACATATGTCTGGAGTGTAGGGAAAAGTTCTGGGATGGAAATGTAAATTTGGAAGTCATCAGAGTATAGACAGTATTTAAAACTATGAGACTCAAAGAAAACTCTTGGGGCATGTAGATACAGAAGAAAAGAGATGCAAGAATTGGGATCTTCCAGTAACTAAAGGTCTGGGAGGTGTGAGATAGCAGAGGAGACCAAGTGGCCATTGAGGTGAGAAGAGAACCAAGAAAAAAGTGTTGCAAGAAGTGTCAGATGCTGCTGTTATTAAGCAGCATGAGGGCCGGACTGATGAAGATGCGGTAAAAATGTGGAGGCCATTGAATCCTTGTCGGGGGCTGTTGGGTGAGGGAGTGGGGATGAATGCCTGATTGGCATGGGGTCAGGAGGGACTGGGAGAGGAATTGGAGTCCATGAGAAAATCAGGATCTTTCTAGGAGTTTTGCTCTAGGGGAGCAGAACAATGGGGTAAATGCAGAGGGGGGAGTCGAAGGGTCAAGAAAGGGTTTTTATCTTTTAATATGGGAGGAATAACAACATTTGCTGATGGAAGGATTAATTGAGGGGAGAACTGAAGACATTTTATGGATTTCAGTATCTAATATGCTTATGTGCCTTAAATACTGCCAGCTTATAATAATACTAAGATATTTTCTCTATAAATGTCAGCCAGTAGAAAACCTCCACATCTTAAGATTTGAAGAGGGGGGAGAGGAGTAGGGAAAACATGCTCATTTTTGGTATGAAGAGGTTAAAGGACAAGACAGCTGTGGAGAATTGAGAAAGAATATGGTCTTAGAAAATATTACCGGGTCTACTTAGAATTCCTTTCATTATGACAGGTCTTTAATTTGGAGGTTAATATGTACATGCGGTTTAGGTTCGATGCCTGGCTTGTCTTGGTTATCCAACTTATAATACAAAGGTATTTCCTTATATGGTTTATTGAAAATACTGTTCATTCTTTGTATTTTGTTAATTTAAGTTGAAAATGTATGATATTTAATAGAATCAAAAACTGTAAATGTGTTAATTCTTTCTTTTTTCTAACTCAGATTAAGAATTTCTTGTCAAAACGGGTGCTAATAATGTACTTTTTCAGTAAGGTAAGAATATGTAGTTACAGCATTGGGGGAAGGGGGAGAGGAAATGAAATAAGAAATGAAGTAGCAGATAGGATTGGTCCTCTAAATATTTAGCTTGAGCCTAGCAAGCCAAACAGCTTTGCATTAGTGCTTCACTGAGCCTCCATTTTAACCATAGCTGCCCGTTGTCCCCTCACGTCTCACCTCAGGGGCCTCCTGGGGCAGCTTTGTGCTGATGGCAACCCCATCCTGCAAAAGGAGCAAATCCGTGACGGTCCTTCGTGGCTCACTGTCCCACTAACTAACATCTTTGTGGCCCGTTTGCTCTTCAGAAGAGAGATGACTGGGTTAGATAGCAGATGTTAAACTTGTGTTAGATAAAAAGTTGTAATTCAGGCTGCAAGCTAAATGACTTTCTAACTTGTCTCTTAGCTGCTTGCTCCCGCTGCCACAGGAGAGTAAATCTCAGTTGCAGAAGCTAAAAATTCATTCCTGTTTTCACTGGCTACAGCTGTTGTGTGTTAGCTGATCCTTTGATGAGCAAAACCTTTGTCCATATGCAGGGGAAAGAATTTTTGTTTTGTTTTAGTTTTTTTAATCTAGCTTTTCTCTTTCTGAAGATATTGCAATATTAGCTACTACTGCATGCAATTATGTCTTCAAGTGAACGTTTGCATTGATATACATTATTTTTATTCGTTGGGGGTCATGCTTTGGTGGGGAGAGATTTAAATAGCTCTGATAGGATATAGATGTCACAGAACAGACTCAGTTCAAGTTCGTAGAACTTTTTTCACTATGGTGGCAGGGAAGATCACCCCCTTAGCAATTACCTTTATCAAAAATAATCTTACCTTAGACTGTCCAGAGCTTTGGGGAAACTAGTGGACCCTAGAGGGAGGCCTTCCACCAAGAGGAGGAGGGGTTGTCTGAAGTTTTACTTAGTGCTTCGCTTCATAAGGATACAGAGAACTCACTCTTGCTCTTTTCACTTAAGTTCCCTCATTTATTTCTAACAACATTCCTGTGAGTTGTCTTTTTGTTCTCATTTTACACATAAAAAAATGTGTAAAATGAGAGCCTGAGGCTCTGAGGGGTCAAGTAGCTAGCCTTAGGGCACATGGCCAGTAAGTGGCAGAGCAGACACCGAAAAAGATGTCCTTTTTCCTTGGAAGTGAACAGCTACTTTTGATTCTAATTTTGCAGGTGGATCTATTGTATGATAAGGAGTTATGGGCAGTGCCCTTCGATGCTGAGGAGTGTAACATGCTGTTGTACTTAATAGGCTACATTGGTTGTATTACCAAAGCCAGCATTTGTTTAAATGGGCCCGTTGTTGCACCACACTATTCCGCCTTATTATGTTAAAGAAGGTTGGGTGGTTTTTCTTTGGAGTAGGGTTGAGATAGACAATTCAGGAGAGGTAGTTTGCTGAACAATAATTAAATAAATTTTTTAAAAAAGAGAGAGGTAGTTTGTATTTAGGTAGGTTTGTGGGGTTGTTTTAAGCTTTTATAATCATTCTCCTAAGCGATCTCTATACTAATCCTTTGTGGTAGGTTGAGTGTGTCTCTTATTTTAAATGAGAAGCTGAGGCACGTAGAGAATTAGAGACTTGGTAAGCAAGGGTCACATAGTAAGTTGGTGGCAGAATGCTTTATTGTAGTTAAATCATATTGTATAAAAATTTCAGATTTTAATTCTCGAGAGGCAGCTTGAATATTTTATTGTTATAGTCTGCATAGTTGATCAGATGAAGTAATAAGAGTTTTTGCCTAGGAGAACTTGCTTAAATGTTTTTGTTTGTATTTGTAGCACCCAGAGGCCTCCATTCAAGTTGTTTTCTCAGAGGCCCAAATGCATATTTGGGCTTTGGAAGGTAAGCACTTTAAGTGAACTGCACTATGATTTTAATTATCAGTTAAATTTTGAAGTGTGATTCGTGAAAGGTCAGTTTTGGACTTCGATGTCAACCTTTGAATTTTTAGACACATTTTTATATGGTTGCTTCACATAAATTATTTTTCTTAAATATTTAGATGCACTTTAATCTGGGCAGAAATTTCCCTTGTGTATGAGGTCTGTCCAGAAGGTTTCCAGCCAAGTAATATGGGAAATAGAGACATTTATTGAAGAAAATACAAGATTCAAGAAACATTGCACGTAGGACAATGATGTCTCAGTCCCCTTCCCAGTAGGCACCTTGGGACCTCACACAGGTTCTCCCAGTTGCTATCAGCTACCCTGTCATAATTTCCTGAATCTCATCAAAAGTCTGACATCTCTTCCCTTTCTAAGGTGATTTAAGTTTTGGGAAAAGCCAGAAGTCACAGGGCACCAAATCTGGGCAGTAGAGGGGCTGAGTCACCTGAGTGATCTAATGTTTCACCAAAGACTCTGCACAAGACATGATGCATGAGCAGGTGTGTTGTCATGATGAAGTTGTCAATCACCAGTTGTCCGTAGCTATGGCCTTCTGAATCATCTGATTATATTCCATGGAGGAATGTTCAGGGTTAACACAAAATTTGATGCAGAGTCACTGCTGTACTTGCTCAGTCATTTTGAATGTGATGGTCACACAGTACACATGCTCACTCAATGGCATCTACTGCTACCACTGACTAGTACAGTGAAGTTGTCATTGTTCACACATGCACATTCCAGCCCACTCCTTGGCTGCCAGTTTACATGATGTCACGCGGTTCTCGTATTAACAGTTGCTGTGCTTTTTCTGGGTAGACCTTATGTCAGCAGAGATACTGAGCCTGGTAGTTTTGCATATCTTCCCTTCATAGAAACTGCAATTACTAGGATGTTTTTACTTTTTATGTTTATATAACTTATTTAATATATTTTAATATATTTAACTTAGGTTAAATATGAAAACTTAGTTGTTAAACTATATATTTATGTTATAGATACTTCCTTCTAAAAGCTTAAATCATAATTCTTAGGGAGGCCTTTCTAACACCTAACGAAAGTACCCTTCCAACCTTCAGTCTGTAGGGACTTTGTTTTTCTTCCTAGCATTTATCACTACCAAATACAGTATTATGTTAGAAAACATTTTTCCTGCTAGAACACAAAACAGACAGACTGTGTCTTATTTCATGCCTGCTGTATTCGAGCTACTTTCTAGTGCCTCTTTTGATCTTTGGCCCATTTTTCTACTGCATTACTTCTCTTTTATTTAGAAGTTCTTCATATATTCAGAATACCACTCCTTCACCAAACAGGTATATTGCAAATCGATTTGCCTAATTTTAATTTGCCTTTAACTTTTTCTTTTCCCTTTAAGGTCTCTCTCACTTAGTAGCAGCCTCATTTACAGAAGACAGATTTGGAGTTGTCCAGACTACTCTACCAGCAATTCTTAATACTTTGTTGACGCTGCAGGAGGTAGGCAGTACGTGGGTTGGGTGGAGGTAAAGATCCTTTTCCTCCTTCTCACTCCACCCCAGCCCAATTTTTCATTTGTTTTTTATGTCTCATGATATTTATTGAGTAACAAAACATATAGTAGAAGTTAAAATTATGGTACTATTCTCATTCTCAGGAAATTGCAATCTAAAAGAGACTAGGAAGAGGTCATTTTAATTCATGTATAAATGATTTTGTAGTTAACAGAAAAAGGACTTATATTAAACCCATAGGTTGTACCTCTGGTATGAAACAGATTATTTAGGAGATTGCAGTTCCATTCATGATACAAGTTTGGATCCTTACACAATGTGTAGCTACTGAAAGTGACCTGTAGTTAAATTACCCACAACAATGCTAAGTTACCTAATGGCCAGAGGCTGAAAAGGATACAGGTGAGGCTGGTGGATTCCCTATCATCAGGATAGATGCATAGTTTTAAACCAATAGGTCATTTTAGTCTTAGACTTAAAGGCAGAAAAGTAAAATGTATTCTTCTTACTTCCAGTTGGCTGCTTTTCCTAACATCGTGGGTACTGTGTTTTATACCACCTATTGATACTTGGTGTGTGTCAGATGTGGGATGTGAACACTTAGTGCTGGAGACACTTAGAGGTAGGGTCGGTGTGTACAGTAGGTTTTCTGGAGGAGGTGATACGGAACAAGGCTTGGAGGATAACAGTGGGTACATCTTGTGGACTTAGGAAGCAATTAAAGATCTGAAGAAAAAACATGCTTCACTGTTCCTTTCTTCATCATAATTCATTTTACCTCTAAGAAAGTATTACTTATCAAAACCAGTGATTTTTTTTTTTTGCTTTGAGTCCTCTTTGTGTTCACTTTCTCATGTATGTTACTTGAGACATGTATGTTTCATTATTTGTCCTCGTTTTCTAGTTACCTTCCTCTAAAGAAACAATTTCCTAGTACTTTTCCACAACTGCTAATACTTGCCCGGTCTAACTACACAATTGGGTAACAGTGATTTGGGCATATTTTGGGTACTCATGGCATAGTTTGTTTTTTATCATTCTGGTTGTGTCGTTTCAAATGACAATAAAATACGATGCTTTATAGTCAATGAAGCAATTTCATATTATTTTTGATCCTCGTAACTGTCTTGTGAAGAAATGAAGATGGAGGTATTTCAGCTCTCCTATACAGATGAGGGAGGCTTGGTAGAGCCGTGACTTTCTTACCCAAAGTCTTATTATAGGTGGCAGAGCTGGGACTGGAGCCTGTAACATACCCCAATGCGAGCAAATGTCGGAAGCTTTCAGGAGTTTAAGATGGAACTTTATTGGCCAGAGTTTCAAAGTTTTACCTGCACAGGGGCGAACTCTCGGCGTGCCTCCGGAGGCATGGGTGCCAAAATGGCTGCAGATGAGAGTCGCGCCTGGTGCTTACAGCCTGGGGTTTTTATTGGGGTGAGCAAGCAAGCAAATACAGAAGCAGACGTAGCTGTTAGCAATTGGCTATCCCGAGAGAACACACACGGCTATGTTCTCTGCTTGCAACAATGGATAAATTTCTGCAAGGACAAGGTCATGCACAAGGGGGTTTATCTTGTCCAGCACTCTTTGTACTTTCTGTACTTTCTATCTTCTTTGCTGAGACAGTCTGGAGCCTGCCTCGGGTTCCTCTTGGCTACTTTTATCTAATTCCGGCCCTAACAGAGCCCAAAGCTGATTGAAGAACATTAACAGTGTAGTAGACCCCAGGGGAAGCTACAGGTCCAGATCCATTATTTCGCCTTCAGAGCTTTTTATTTTCACGTGGGGTTCTCTTCAGAGAGAAAGGTTCTACCAGTAGAACCATGGCTTTCAAACTTTTGGAACTGTGACCTCTAGTACATTTATTTTATATTAGATTCAGAATGTGTATGTGTGTGTATAAGGTACAAACAAAAAATTCTTTTTTAATTGAGTTTACTGTGGTGACATTGGTTGATAAATGTATATAGGTTTCAGGTGTAATTCTGTAATACATCTGTATATTATATAATACATCTGTATATCTGTATGTGTGTCCACCACCTCAAGTCAAGAACCAAAGATTCTTAGAGCAAGTACCTACCTTTTCTATGTATATTGCATTCTGATGTTTTCTGTTGTATTTCATTTTTTTAAAAAATGCTGGTTAAAGCAATTGGTTTCATAGGGAATCCCACTGCCCCAGAGATATTCTGTACCCAGATTGGTTTCTTGTCACCTCTCCACTGTAAATATTTCTAATTCGTTTTTGTAGTTGATTATAGTTTGGTGTGACAGGGAAAGCAATGTGTTTATTTGATTATAGGTGTTCATAGCGTTAGTTAGGAAGGTAGGAGTTACGGATTTGACAAAAGGTAGGTCCTATTTACTTTGGAACAGGAGTTGGACAGGAGAGTACTTTTGAGGGGCAGAGTGGAAGGAGGCAGAGTAAGTGTTTGTGAACTCAAAGAGGTAAAAGGAACAAAGAACAGGCCTGGTGGTTTGGTCCTGGGTATGAAACTCTTCCTTGGTGACACTTGTGGCATCTCTTCTCCCCTAGGCCACACCACAGTCAGCCTTTTTATCATGCTTGGCAGTCATTAGATTTTGCAAACTATTTTACAGTCTTTTCTTGTAATCAATCCTCAGAGTGATTATGATGAGTTATTCAGGGTCCACGTGGATGGGTATTTGTCTCACACCAGGGTACCATGGTTCTTTGACTTCTCCCCCTCGCTACCATTTTATATACCCTCAGTCTCATCCCCTGGCTATCATCCTTGCCTCATTGTCTCCTGAATTCTCCACCTCCAAAGCTTTAGACTCCAGGATTGTGTCCTGTAGCAAAAGTAAATATGCAGTTTTTATCCTAAAGTTAATGCCCCTGTATTTTACCCATTGATCTGTGAGCTCATATAAGAGCCCTCGCGCCAAGCACAGGCCTCTCCTTCCCTTGCTGCTTCTGTGGACTTTGTCCTCACCAGTGTTTTCACCTCCTCTTTCAGCTTCCTTCTGGCTACATCTTTGTCTCTCTTACCCAGCATAGGCCTTGTCTGTCACCCAGTTTAGACCTTATGTCTGTCATAATCATTTTATTACTGGTTCTACTCTCTGTCCGCATGTTCTTCAGCTGCACCCATATGGCACAACCCCAAGGGATCAATCCCATATTCACCACCCATTCATTCTCTTTTGCCCATCCCTACTCATGGACCTTACTGCAGGCTTGGGCCATTCCTGACCTGAAGTATTTCTGCAGCTTCTTGTCCCTGCTAATTCTTGACCAAGATTCTTCATTCCCACTCCAGCCTCCTGTTCTCCCTGAGCCCTCTGCTCTAGTAACCACCATGGACTATTCGGTTTTTCCTCCCAAATAGATTTTCTTAACCTAACTCTAACTCTGTACATAATGTCTTTTCTTTGCTTAGAACATATTTTTCTTTTTGTCTGTCTGCCCTATAACCCTCATCTGAATACTTTATTGCACTGTATTTACTTGACTGTCTTTATTGGAGTAGAGGCAGGGACATTGTCTCAGTAGCATATCACTGGTACTTGACTATCGTCATCACTTAATATTTTTATTCTATAGTGGTGGTTCTCAATGAGGGGCGGTTTTATTCCCCAGGAGACATTTGTCAGTGTCTGAAGACATGTTGATTGTCATAACTAGGGAAGTGCTACTGTCATCCATTGTGCAGTGGCCGGGGATACCACTAAACAGCCTACAGTGCGCAGGAATAGTCCTCATGATGGTTATCCACCCCAAAATGTCAGCAGTCCTGGGGCTGAGACACTCTGCTCTGTAGTCCTGACTTCCAATAACAGAATCTGCTTTTATCCTTAGCGCTTGCTTGGGATTCAGGCTTTAGTAGAGTAAAACTTGTTTTAACTAGGTTATAAGTAGTGTCCTTGAGACCAGGAACTTCCAAGGCTCTGTACAGTGGACATTTGGTAATGACACTGGTAGATAAATATTCAGGAGAGAGCAGCTGGACTTTTCTCTTTATTTGGCTTTTCTGCATATGCTACTGCAGATAAATTTAAATGGGCAAAAAGTACTGTTTTCATAGTACAGCCTTCTTTAAATTTCTGTTAGGGCCAAAGCAAGGCCTTCATGGAACTTTTTATTTTTCCTGAAGAATATATTGTTCATTGGTGTTTTGTACTCACTGCTTCCCCTTTTTCATTGTTTGGGATAATTCTTAACTAAATATTTGAGACCCTGGTGTGTGAACCGAGTCTTCAGGGCCGGCACCGCGGACAGTGCATAAGCTGAGCCTCAGCAGGTACTTGTCTAATTGCACAGCTGGTTAAGGACTTCACTTCGCCTAACCGCGGAGCACATCATTACTTGTTATAAGCCAGTATCTTCTAGATCAAGTTATTCATATACTGCCTTCATAGTTTTGCCATAACTGTTTATTATAATATACTGTTTCCATAATTTAATCATTTAGAGAAATCAGAAGGTGCATACAGACAGATAACAGCACTCCAGACCACCACCTCTGTTTATTAGAAACATAGTGCAGTGCACATATGTAACTGCATTTTTTGGTAGTTAACATTTTAAAAATTCAGGTGAAGTTTATTTTAATTTAACTCAGTATATCAAATATTTTATCATGTAGTCAGTATAAAATTATTGAGGTATTTTATACTCCCTTTTTAATAGTAAGTTCTCAAAATCTGTGTGTATTTTTCACTTACAGCATATCTGAATTCAGACTAGCCACATTTCTAGTGATTAAGAGCTACATGCATCTTAGTGGTCACCACTGTGGGCAGAATGGCTATACCCTTTAATGATGGTGAAATTGATCATAAAAGAGGAATTTCAGATTCAATCTTCAAATGATAATATTCTAGATGTATTTTCTAAAATACAAATTCAGGAATTGATGACAGAAGAATATATTTTTAAGGAGAAAAAGGAAATATGTATATGTGATATTCTCATCTAGTAAGTTGTTTAACAGGAAGGACTTTGTCCCACAATATAAATTAGAGCTCGACTCATTCCATTTTTGCTAAAAGTACACATGATAATATTCCTTCATCTTCTATGATACATGTGCACCAAAATTTACTTTATACAGTTCATCAGTGGATAAATGCTAAAAGTGTGCAAAGGTGATTGGAAGGCATAGATGATGGCAAAATGAAAAAGGTCACTGGATTAATCCTTTGAATTTGTCTTTATAAACCTAAGAATGAAAATGTTTGCAATTGTGCTGTGAAGACAATTTTGTTGAACTGTCTTCAACAAAATTATAAGCTGTTAAAAGTTTTTTAAAATACTGCATTTTAATTGTACAAATGCAAGAAAAAGAACCAGAAGTAATGATGGGCCAGAACCTACTGAAGATACATTTTCAACTTGAAATCAGTATTACAAGATGGATGTGTTCCAGGTTTATACATGATAGCTGATGAGTTACATTCAAAGTGCATTGTCCATTTCAGATATCTATGTGTTCAAAACATGGAAAATATGTTTATATTCTTACTTAAATCTTTATAAAATGATTTTACATTATCCTGTCATTCTTCTGTAAATTGTTTGTAAAATAACTTTAAACTGTAAAAAGGGCTCATTGGACCAAAGTGGTAAATGATGGTGACTATTTGTCCTGATAATACTGAGAGTTAATTAGAGGGTTTGCAAGGAAATTGAAGAGGAAGTAACTTTCCGTTAGGATTCAGTGCTATTTAATGTTGTTTAATATGTCATGAAATACTACCTCCCTAGTGCCTAAAATTATCTCAAGTATGTCCCAGTCCTGGGAAATATTCTTATAAGTTACTGTTGAAAGAATAAATGATTAGACTTGAAGTTATCATGGCAGGCTGAACACACATATCAAATCTTGTTCCTTCCCTCGAACTCTGCTAAACTATAGTAAAAGGACATACATCCATAAACAGAAGAAGAGACAACAGCAACAAAATTTTCAAAGCTGGAAAGCAGCTGGTTGAGATAAGGGACTAAGCAGCTCAGACGCAGACCTGAAGTTGTTAGTGGGGCAAGTACCAAGTACCTCTGGAATCAAGGATGAAGACACAGGTACCAGAAGAGGTTTAGGGGAGGGCTGTTTTAAAACCAGTTAGATCCCGCCCTGGCTGGTGTGGCTTAGTGGATTGAGCTCTGGCCTATGAACCAAAGGGTCACCAGTTGGATTCCCAGTGAGGACCATGCCTGGGTTTTGGGCCAGGTCCCTGGCGGTGTCATGCAAGAGGCAACCACACACTGATGTTTCTCTCCCTCTCTTTCTCCTTCCCTTCCCCTCTCTCTAAAAATAAATGAATAAAATCTTTAAAAAAACCCAACAGATCTCTAGACTCTCTCTCTGCTGCTGGTGCTCCCCTTCACTCCCACAGTAGTTGAAGTTTATCCCTTAGAGAAGTTAAAACACCAGGTTTCTGGACTGAGAGGGTCCAGACACACAGTTCTGGGTACTGTGCTAAAAGCTTAGTAGCTGTGTTTCCTACTTGGCTGCCCGAACACTGGAGACTGTGGGACTGGAAACTCCTCTCTGGGAATTCTGGACAATCCAAGAAGAAAGACCTAAAGTTACTGAGTTGGGTGCTCACCCCGCAAAAGTTCACACAGATCACCTGTTATGAAGGTGGTTGTCAGTAATCTAACATTATTCAGAACTTTTGGTTGGATAGGAAGTCCCACTCTCATTCATGAGCCAAGGGTAACTTCTTCTCTCTCTCTCTCTTCCTTATGTCCCACTCTCTATCTCTTTAATGCTCACATGAGGACATGTTTATTGCCTGGTTTTAGAGAGGAGTGTGGAGAGAAACATCCATCAGTTGCCTCCTGTATGCACCCTGACCTGCAGTCAAACACAAAACCTAAGTATGTGCTCAGGTGCTCAGACCAGAAGTCAAGCCCACAGCCTTTGGTGTTGGGACAACACTCCAGCCAACTGACCAGGGATCACTAGATTGCTGATAAAGGTCTCTAATGCAGAAGATAAAAAGACAAAGGCGCAAAGAAGGGGAAATCGATGTGGAAGAAGCTATAACAAGCCAAAAAACAAAAACACATTAAAAAATCATCAAAATCCTCAGAAATAAGAGAGGATGCCAACATCCTTGAAACAAAAGTAGGATACTAAAATAAAAAGGATCACCTAGATGACAAAAAAGCTCTTGAAATTAAAAACATCATTATAGCTTGTTTTATTTCTTTTGGTGGTTATATTCATTATTATAAATAATAGGCTTATACTGTTCTTGTCCCTTTGGACATTGTCTTACTGTAATAGATTAGTACACTTACACTTCTCTATTTTCACCTGTCATCTCTTAATGTAGTTGTCATGTAAAAATGATATTATTTACCTTAGGCCTTTAAAGATATACTTAAATCTCTGTTCTCTCAACTATAAATAAAATCAGTTTCACTTTTGAATTTTATCTCTCCCAATCTGTTCTTGCTCACAGGTGCTTTATCATCTAGAATCAAAAAGGAAGAATAGATAGTTCAGTAAATGACTTTTATTTATGTAAAGTATGAAGTTTTGGCCTTGTGTTTGCAAGCTTTTTTTTTTTTGCCAAGCTTTTTAATAAGGACTCATACTATTAAACATAAGCAGAGTTAGGATATCTGTGTTTCACTTCCCAGCTTTGCATTGTCGAGGATGTTGTGAAGTACAGATTTTGTTTTTAGAAAACAGGTCTTTTTTTAGGTAACCGCTGAAGTGGCTAGACTTCTACTGCGTTGTTTTTCAAATGGTTTGTGGTCCAAAATAAATATTTGATAGTATGTGTCTGTCTCTCTGTCTATCCGAAATAAAACCTCCCTAACCCTTTGGACCAGGTTGGCCTCCATCGTAGTCTGCTCTGATGTGCTTTCTTTCTTTGATCTAGGCCGTTGACAAGTACTTCAAGCTTCCTCATGCTTCCAGTAAACCACCGCGGATTTCAGGAACCCTTGTGGATACTTCTTATAAAACGTTAAGATTTGCCTTCAGAGCATCACTAAAAACTGCTATCTATCGAATAACTACCACATTTGGTGAACATCTAAAGTAAGTTTACCTGTTTTGATCCCCGATGATAGTGCATTTTTAGGAGTTCTCCTGAGAAATAGGTACGAAAATTAGAAAGGCTCACACATTGAAAGGGTTCTTTTGGCACCTTCATGATTCCTCCTGGAGTTAACAGCTTGGATTGAGACTTTATATTTCAAAAGTTGGCCTGTTGTATAGGCTTTGGGGCCTTCTTTCTAATGGACCAAAAAACAGGGGAAGAAAGTTATAAAAGCGCAAATGTAGTTATATATCGTTTGTTTTTTTTTAATTACCAAAACATCCTTCAGGGAGAAAAAAGGCAGAAAAGTAATACTTCTGTTATTGCATCTTGGTCAGCAAACTCAGACTTGGGGTGAGCAGAGTCTTCCACAAATGAGTCCTTGGTGCTTGTGAATCATGCTGGAAAAACAGTGACAGATCACAACACCTTTAGACACATAGCCGGAGAGAAAACCACAAATGCCAAACCTGTTTATATTTAGTTTCATTGATGTTTACTGCTTCTCATGAAATAATTTAGCTAAGCAGGATAAGGGATACTAGTTGATTAACTAAACTGTGTTTTATCATAATTATAAATGAACTTTAGAAGATAAGAGATTACTCTGCTTTTTCTGTATGCAGTCAGTTCATACTTGAGAGCCTCTTCACACACCTGCTTTTAGAAACAGTGGTGTACTTTCCTTTACTTCCATAATACTAGGCTGTAGCAGCAGCACGTAGTACGGAACACTTTGGTTCTGAGTGGGAATACCAAAGAGCTCTAGATAATCCTCTCTCCTTAAGAGGTTATTCACTTGTTTAAAAAGAAACAAAATCTGTTATTGAGTGCCTTCTACATCTGCACTCTCCAAAATTATAGCCATGTATGGCTGTTTAAATAAAGTTAAATAAAATTTGAAATCCAGTTTTTCATCACACTGGCCTCATTTCAAGTCCTTAATAATCACAATGGCCAGTGGCTACTGTATTGGACAGCTTTGATACGAAACGTTTTCATCACTGTAGAAAGTTCTGTTGGATAGTACTGTCCTAGACAATAACTTTGCACTTAATATACATATATTTCTTTTTATATATTCTTCTGAAAGGGCCTGTGAGGTGTACAGGGATTGTCATAACTGTATAGAAATAGAAACTGAGGCCCAAAGAGATTAAGAACTTGCTTAATAGCATAGTCCAATGGGTGTTAGAACATGAACTTGAACTCATGAGGTCTTTGTTGCTTTTAAAATTCTGCCTTTCCAGCACACCACTAGACTGCCTAACAAATGTGAACCGTTCAGCAAACACCCAATGAATTTAGAGAATGAAAGAGATGCTGATATCCCTATAATATCAGGGATAACTGTCACCTCTACAGGTGACAGTGCAAAAACAGGAGAAAGGGGAAAATTGAGATTTCTTAGAAAAGAAAGGGAGGGAGATAGATGACTGACTAATAACAAGTTATGAGAATGAACCTCTGCCTTAGCTTTTCTCTGAGAAGAGCCAAATTTTATATGTGCATTAAAATTGATGGGGTTAATACAGGCTATTTTGTACAAATATAGGACAGAATGGTATAGTGGAAAAAATGTTAGATTAAAAAAAAAAATTCTCACCAGAGGGCATGCTTATTGATCTTAGAAAAGAGGTGAAGGGAGGGAGAGGGATAAAAACATCACTCGGTTGCCTCTCATGTGCGTCTGGACCAAGGGCCGAACCTACAGCTTAGACATGTGCACTGACTAGGGGTCAAACCTGTGACCTTTTGGTTGATAGGACGACACTCCAACCAACTGATCCACATTGGCCAGGGTGAAAAAATGTTAGATTTAGAGTTAAAACATTTAGATTTATGTCTGATTACATCATTGACTGTCATTGGTTGTGGGCAAGTTTTCTAATGATTTAAGTAACTTGCCTAAGAATTTGCAGGTAGTAAATTGCAGAGACAGAATTCACACTCAGAACTTCCTGACCTGAGAGTTCTATCTGCAGTGTCTAATCTCAACCAGTAGGTTGTTCTTCCTACCTTGTTCCATTTGTTGTTAATAGAGTTAAAGTGGGACCATAAATTTATGAAGCCCCCACTGTCCATTACATGTTGTTTGGAAAATAACTTATTACTATATAATGTCTCATTTATTCACTACCCAGAGCTCTATCTCTGAGAACTAGGTTTAAATTAAGTAACTTTGATTTACTGATTTTCTAGCCCATAATGTTAAAATTTGAGGGGAAGAGACAGGTATTAGAGTCCAGAGTACTGACAGTTATAAGAATGTAGTGCCTGCTAGCAGAGAGAAGATTCATGAAAAAAGCTGCAGACTTGGTGTTTGAGAGAGTTCAGAGCCATTTAGTTGGAGATGACAGCCTCACTAGTACCTCAATGGGACTCTGCACAGAAAAGGAAATGGTTCAGTTAGAGGCAGCTACATGGAAGGAAGCAGAGTTGTATGTGTAAGGACTTAGAGTGATTTGCAGCAAAATTATTACGGTCAGACTCTTTGGCACTTTTAAAACTGGTGATTTCCAGTTATTAGAACTTTATCATTCAGTAATAATATATTACTATTCAACAACTAGAAAGCCAGAATCTTTCATTGCTTTTTTTTTTTTTGGCCTAGAAGTTTAAAAGGAACTTATATACTAGTTTTAATATATACTTCTCCTAACTTTGTCAAGGTAATGTATTTTTGTGGGGCTGAGGACTGAGAGAGAACTCAATTTCCCCATCCAAGACATAATTTATTTTCAAAGGGAAAAGTAAATTTAAACCACCAAGCTGTTACCTTTGAAAACGATTAGTGGAGTCTATTATGTTTTAACCAAACATTTTAGTTTAAAGGATTTTATATTAAAGGCAATTCAAATACTCCACAACTCAAAGATAATGTTGGAATCTGGTTTAAATAAAATAATAAAATCCAGAAAATCTGTAAGGCCTGGAACTCTGCACAGCAGGTTCCACAGCAGAGCAGGTTAAAATCGATGCCTTTACTTGTCGGTCTTAATTTGCTTTGGTCTTTCAGAAGGTGGAAGCGTGCCATTACTGAGTGCAAGCCCTCCTCCTCATTAGATTAAGGAGAGTTTTCCTCCAGCTTTTTCAGAAGTACTAAATAAGTGAGGGCTTCTCTTCATTTTTAATTGTTTTGAAAAATATTGACTCTGTGCTCTGTGGTTCACTTAATATGCTTAATGTAAAATAAAGCTTATGCTTTGAATTTATGTTTCATTTAGTGCTGTGCAAGCATCTGCAGAACATCAGAAAAGACTTCAACAGTTCTTGGAGTTCAAAGAGTAGTTAAGTAATATAAACTGTGTTCATTACACTGCTGATACAACTGCAGATGGGACAGTAAATGTTCAGCATTCTTGGATCAGAAGAAAATGGACTAATTAGATGCTTCCTTTGTCGTGGTGGTTGCTTTGAAAACTATACTTTAATGGGAGAAATCATGGAAAGAAATTCTCAACAGAATAACTGAAAACGGCCTTTTCTGTACCGGTTCCTCGTTGTGTGTGTGGTATAATAAAATATTCGATTTCACAGATGCATCTATGGCAGTGCAAATGTCTCAAGCTTATATAGTTTAATAATAATAATTAGAAGAATTTTAGAATTTGCTTTGAAAGGAGGAGAGCCAGTTCAAGAAGGTAAAATAGGTTGATTTGCTTCAGTCTTCCTTCCTAATTGTTCCGAGAGTTTAGCTCTCTGTAAACTTGAAATACATAAACGTTTTAAGAGTTGTTGCTGTTTACTAAAGGATAAAAATGGTAACACTGGAGAAAAGTTCACAGAAAAAATATTGTCTAAAGGACATATTTTGTTAATATGTTAGGTTGTGTTTTTGTTTCCAGAGACAAATTAAATTTGCATGATTGTCCAAAAAACGTCTCAATTTACAGATGCTAACTCTATATAAAGGAATGTGGAGAAATTCAGTTCTTAAGTTACAAGGTTAAACATTTGCATTTGGTTTTTGAAAGACAATCGGCTGACATGTATGAATTTATTTTGTATCTTGCTAGTAAACAATAAGTGTGTGACTCTTTTCCCATCTAGTTTTACTTTCTTTTTGTGGAACAAAACATTAAGTGATTGTAGAGTTTTTCAAGTGAGAGAAAATGTTTTGCAAGAAAAACCAGGAAACTTTCCCTTTTTCCCACCCTTCATCTTCATTTTGTGAAGCTTTTTTGGACTCACAGAGGGAGCAGTCTTAGCTGTGTTAACTGGCTAATTAAAATACATTAGGAAAATCTTTGCAGCCAGAAACAACTTCATCCTCAACTAGCAAGTGAGACTAAAACATCAGAGGAATTACTTGCTAGCCTGTTGTATGTCCCCAGAGTGAGCGAGGTAATTTTATAATTTATTTGTTCAGCTTCTTTGTAAATTGAAAGATCGGAAATTCTACTAGTAGATGTTCACTGGACTAGCTTTGGACTGAAATGTTTCATTGTAATTTTTTCCTATTATCTTTCCCCCTGGTGTCCCCCCAGATTTTTTAGCACAGTGTTGTATATGAATTTTCAATGTGGTATATATGTCTACAGTTTGTCTGACTACTTAATGTATTTTATCTTTATTCCCTCTGTTTGTTGCCCCCTCAGCCAGCACGTGCCAGATTATAAATGAGCCCTGCCAACCTGCAAAGTGTGTGTGAGAGCTCCCCAGTTGTCGAGGGCTTGGAGGGTTTAGGTTCCCGCCATTGCTTTTTCCTCCCTGAAGTGGAGTTGATCTTTTTTTTAAATGTGAAAGTCGAATTTCGAATGTGGTATTTACTTACAGATGGCCAGAAAATTGTGACTAGGTTGAGTGAGAACTGCTGAGTTTTATGTTTTAAATCCATTGAGCTTTTTATATTCCATTCTCTGTGTTCCCCCTGGCTGACACATTTTGGGAGAGAGAGACTCAACCTTCTGTTGCCATAAAGAATTACGGTATTTAACCCATTTTCTTCATGAGACTGATGATGGGATGATTTCTTTAAACTCTTAGCTGAAATGTCTGGCTGAGACTTTGGGCAAAGGTATGTTTGATGAGCAATGTGAACATTTTTGAGATGTTCATTCCTGTTCTCTCTCCAGAAAATGTACTTTATACAAAATACTGGTCACATAAAGTCTGCTTGGTAGGATTTGGAAACTGTCTCCCCAAATCTGGATTGTATTTAGCTGGGAAGGAAGTCAGTTCCATTTCCCTATTGTGTGTTAATAATCTCCACACCATCTGCTGGGGCGGGGTGTGGCGCAGTCACCTGCTATTAAAGACAGCTCCTTCTGCCGTGTGCGAGGAGGGGGCCTTCGGAAGCCAGGAGGAGAGCAGCATTTCCTTTGATGAAGTCATGTCGTACCTTGAGCCCCAACCGGTGCTGTAACATTGGCCTAAAAATTAGTGTTCTGTAACAGCTTTTCTCTTGTCAGTACAAAACATGCTTCTGTCAGCTCGTGTAATGTTTGCTTGTCCCTTACGGAAGGTGTAAATCCATATAACTTCTTCCCTGTAGACTTCAAAACTGTTAAACCTGGGACAGTTCAGTGGACCTGGATAAGCTACGATTCATTACTTTGCCAGGTTTGTCCTTCGGTAATTATTTTGTATGTTTTCCTGTAAATGTGGTAATCAGTTTATATCTTTTTGTATATTACTGACACTGAATTGAATAGAAAAATAAATCGACGTTTAAAAATATAGGACTGTTAATTGAAATGTGTATATACAAGGTCAGTTACTTAATTTCTGGTCTGTTTCCTTGGCCATTTCAATTCCCTCTCTACTGTCGCTGCTTATAAAACCTGAAAAGAAGTTTAATTTCTTGAAAAATCAGCTTTTGCTCTTAACTAGACTAATTTGATGGGTGACCAGTATTTAATGATAACTCTAAGGAGCCTGAATTTGAAACACCTCTTTTTTCATCATCTTGGCTCCTTCCTCTGAAAACTAAACAAAGGAGGCAGGTGCTGAAAGCCATCTTTTAATAGAAGTTTCTTTTCCTGCCAGAATAGTGTTTCTAAATGGATCACATTCCCCCAGGCTAACAGCTATATCTGTCAGCTTTACTTAGATTAGTCTGAACTTCACCTCAAGCTAGTTAAGGTACTGTATTAAGGCCCTCAAACCCCTCTTTTGCTCTCCCAATGCAGTCATCTTTCTTTAAAACTGAATAGCTTAAGGTGGCTTTAATTTATCAGTTGACAATCTCGCTATTCTTAGCAAGCTGCTGACCAGAATCACACTGTGAGAAGGGTTTGTAATAGATCAGGAGTCACCAAATTGAGCATGCCTCAGAATCACTTGGAAAGCTTGTTAAAACACTGGGTCGCACCTGCAGAGTTTCTGATCATGTAAATTGGGGGCAGGGCCAAAGGACTTGTATTTCCTGTCCTGACAAGCGTTTAGGTGAAGCTGCTAGTCAGAACCACTGCTGAGAACCACCGCTCTAGTGAATTATGTCAGGTGGACTCTCTGGTGAGTGTCTGAAGCATAGGAGCCATCATTTGTGATAAGGTGCAGTTTTTCCATCTCATTTGCTTACTGGGTAGCTTGAAGAGTATGATTACACCCTGTAAGTAGAAATGCAGAGATGTACTCAGGTGGTTATCTGCTTATCTTGAAACTGCAGCAGGTGATAGGACATGAGCTGCTCTTTCACACCATTAGGTGCTCATATTGTCCCCTGTTTTGGCAAACTTATCATTCTTCCCAATGAGTTTAGCCTTCCCACATACTCCCAGAGATTTTGTTTTTTCAATGCTCTGCCATTCCTAGTTTTCTGGACCTTATCACACTGAATTGTAACTTAGCTGATTATAAATCTTCATCCCCTTATAGGCTGTGAGCTTCCCCTCCTTCGAGGATTCCATTTACATTTTCTCAGTATATCAACATTTATTTGGTAGCTAACCTGACCTTAACTTATGTGAGACTGTTTGTTGATTTGTTTCATGTAGTATGACTCTGCTGGCCTTGCCTGTAGTATGTTTGATTATGAGGTGCTATTCAGACTCCACGGGTCTGGCCTCAGGAGTTTAAGACAATATCTTGTAGACTTGCTTTTGTAGAGTGCTGTTAATTCTTATATTTACTCATTTAGCATCCACTTCCTGCCTTCTGTATACCAGGCTCTGTGATAGGCCCTGTTGGTATAAAGTCACAGCCACTGGCCTCAAAGCTCACCACCTTGTATGGGTAAAGTGAGTGGAGGCAACCGTTCTTTACACAGACCTTTTTTCTACTTACAAAATTGATGTGTTTTGCTATTACTGCCTCATTGATGATGGAGCATCTGTTCTGTATTTAGCTGCGCTAAATGCATCTACTTAAATGCCCTTTTGCTAGCTCACTTTGTCACTTGCGTTATTTTGCAGGAGCTGTGGCTCTTCCTTGCCCTAAAGTGTTCATGTTCTCCTTGCACACACATATCTTACCAGACACCACTGAGTGTGCCCTGCAAGTGGTGCTGGTGGGAAAGTAGTTTTGGATGATGCGTGGGATGCCTCTGGCAGAGAAACATTGGAAGGTGACCGCTCAATCACAGGCCTTTGCTGTGATAGTCTTTTGAAGATGCGTTGACTGTTGATTGGTTTACCCTTTTTATCTTTTTAATTTATTTTTTTAAAGATTTTACTTACTTGTTTTTAGAGAGAGGGGAAAGGAGGGAGAAAGAGAGAAACCAGTGTGAGAGAGAGATATCCATCGGTAGCCTCTCATGCTACCGCTCTATTGGGAACCTGGCCCTCTACCCAAGCATGTCCCCTGACTGGGAGTTGAACCAGTGACTCTGGTTTGCAGGCTGGCACTCAATCCACTGAGCCATACCAGCCAGGGCTCAATGTATTAAAAACAGTGTTTTGCAGCTTGAATGAATAGTTCCTCCCTAACTATATAATGACTCTTACTTGCAAGGACACAATCCCCACCTCAACTTAGTTTGAGCAAAAACGCGGAGTTGACCTGACCCTAAGGGCACAGGGAAGTCATGGTGGACACAGGGATAGATTTGCTTCCGGACCCCATTAAGAATCTGTGAGTCTCTCAGGATATGTGAATGGTTCCTCTCTGCTTCTTTGTGCATCAGTGCTTTAGTTCTCTTTCCCTGTCTACTGGCTTTCTACCTCTCTTTCCACCTGCTCTCTAGCTCCTGAGTTTATAGATAATAGAGACTGACCAGCTGTTTCTGACTGCAGCCAAATTCTTCATTGAAAGAAATTAGTCCAAATGGATCACCTGTCCAAGGGTCCAATTAAGCTTTAGGAACAAGGTCATGCAGTGCCAATATGGCTTCTAAGAGACGACCTTTGTTCACCAGGAGAAAGTGGAGTATAGGGGCAGTTCTCAGAGCTTTCCAAGATAGGGGTCAAAATTTAGGGTTCAGGGCCAACTGGTAAGTCCCCTTGCTTTAATTTGGAACTCCAGAGAGCTGTACCCTAGAAGGAATGTAAAGAGGGAGTAGATTGCATGACTTGTATATAGTTGAGTTAGAATCCTCGTTAAATTGGATTGCAGTACTCTCTCTTTGCCAGTGTTTCTAGGTCCTGGGAGAAGATATCATATAGCCTCTCTGGAGGAAAACAATACCTGGGCTTCAGTTATTTCTACAAACAAGTTTTCAAATACAGTCAGTATATGTACACAATTAAAAATAGGCACAGGAAGAGGCAAGACAACATGAGTGAGAAAAACAAAAGCAACAGACAATAGAATAGACACAGGGATTCCAGATAATTACTGTCTTCAGTAAGATTAAAAATTCTACTTTATTAGAACTGGTAGTGTATTAGGAACTACACACGTATAGTAGAAACTACACAGGTATAAACTACATGTATTAACAGTTTATATGTAAACTATATATAAAGTCTGTTTGGGAAAAGTTCAGCCATTGTTAATAGAATGAGAATGGTTTGTGTGACATCGATGTAACCTGCCAGCCAAGGAGAGCGGACTGGAATGAGCATGCATGAACAATGGAGACTTCATAATGCCATTATGAGTGAGTATGTGTACTGTGTGGCCATGGTCACATTCAGAATGAGCAAGTAGAGCAACAATTCTGCGTCAGATTTTGCATCAAGCTTGAACATTCCTCCGTGGAAACTATTCGGATGATTGGGAAGGCACCTACAGGCAACTGGTGATTGGCAGCTTCATCACGACAACACACCCACTCGTGCATCATGTCTCATGCAGAGTTTTTGACAAAACATCAAATCATCCAGGTGACTCACACCCTGCTACAGCCCAGATTTGGTGCCCTGAGACTTCTGGCTTTTCCCAAAACTAAAATCACCTTTGATAGGGAAGAGATTCAGACCATTGATGAGATTCAGGAATATACAGTGGGGCAGCTGATGGTGATTGGAAAAACTGTGTGGTCCCAAGGTGCCTATCTGAAGGGGCCTGAGGTATCATTGTCCTGTGTACAGTGTTTTTTGTATCTTGTATTTTCTTCAATAAATGTGTCTTTTTTGTGGGGGTGTGGCTGGATACTTTCTGGACAGATCTCATATGATTTGAAAAAGCGCCACAGAGAAATTCTAGGACAAAAATAGAGTAACTAAAATTAAGAAGTAATTGGATAGGCTTATTGCAGATGAGACACAGGTAGAAAAAAATGACTTGGAAGGTAGGTCAGAAGGAATCCAGAATAAAGCATAGAAAATAAAAAATACTAAATTACAGAAGAAAGCATGAGACAAGAAGTTATAATTAGAAAGTTTATAAGTGTAATTAGTTGGACTCCTGGAAGGAAATAGAGATCTAATGGTACAGAAGCAATTCTGAAGATTTAATACCCAATAACTATATAAAATTGATGAGACATCAAGTCACAGATTGGAAAAGCTCTGTATACCCTAAGCAAATGAAAATGTTTGCTGATGTACATCATAGTAAAAGTGTTAAAAGCTAAGGACAAAAATAGCAAGAGGAGAAGAAAGACCACTTTTAAATGATCAACAACTAGATAGCTAATTTCTCAACAAAACAATTGAAGACAATAGAATGGAAATTTTAAAAGGCTGAAAGAAATGTACCCACCTGGAATTCCATACCCAGCATTAATCTACAGAAATGGTAGGGAAGTAGCACTTTCAGACAGACAAAAGCCGAGAGATTCCAACAGAGGAACTAAAGGAACTTAAGTTATAAGGGCAGGTTTTGGGTCTCCCCCCCCCCCCCCGCAGAGAAGATGGACAGAGAAGCAGGAGGAAATTAATTACAAGGTAAATACGACTATTGACTTAGAAACAATGTCTGATGGGGTTTTAACTGTACGGAGAATTAAAGTACACAATAAAATGGCATACAAGTAAGAGTATTTACAAATTAAAATATCCTATGGTCTTTACATTGTGCCAACAATAGACTGGTATATTGAAGATGTGCATTGTAACTTGAGGATAACCACTAAAAGAACAGTAAACCTGTCAAGCTGAGACAGGGAAAGAATGGAATAACAAAAAATGAAAGTAAGCAGGAGGGAAAAGAATCTGTAACAGGACAAAGAAAATGCACATAGTAAGATGTAGATTTAACCTCAAATATATCAGTAATTATATTAAATGGACTAAATGTTCTGATTTAAAAAACAAAGTTCATCAAACCAAATAAAAAGTCAACTGTTTGCTGTTAATAATCACATCTAAACATAAGGATAAATTGAAAATAAAATGATAGGGAAAATTAAACACTAAAAGGTGGCAAACACAAGGCTGGTGGGCTTACTCTGGCCCTCTGCCTTGTTTTATCTGGCTGGCACCTTGTCTCTACCCGGTGGCAGTGCCGAGCTCTTGCTTAACTGTTAAGGAGTAGTTACATTTATACAGTCCTAACATTACATTCAGCCCTTTGAAGGCAACTGCAAGGCTGATGTGGCCCCCTGGTAAAAATGAGTTTGACTCTCCTGCACTAAAAGAAAGCTGGTATAGTTGTATAAATTTTTGACAAAGTATAATTTAAGGCAAAAAGCCTTACTAGAGATAGAGAGGGCACTTCAAAATAAAAAAAGATACAATTCATAGGAAAGATAGTTCTAAATGTTAGTGCATCTAATAATATAGCCTCAAAGTATGTTGCAACAACATGGGCAAAGGATGAACAGACACTTCAGAAAGGAGGGTAGGTATTTGGTATTAGAGAAATACAAATTCATCCTGAGATACCACTACACCCATCAGAAGGGCTAAAAATAAAGGTTGATGTGACAGGTGTTGAGAATATAGAACAACTGAAACTCAGCTGCTTGAAGGAATGAACAAATGGACAGTACCTACTAAAGCTACCCATGCCTATCTTAGGGTCTGGTCGGATCCCACTAACTGGAATATGCCCCAGAGAAGTGAGTTCATACGCACATCAAAAGTAATGTTTACAAGGATGCTTATAGCAAGATTGTTCACAATAGCTCCTGAATTGGAGATAATTCAAATGTCTGTCAATAGGATGAGTAAATAAATTGTACTGTGCAATTTGAAACAGCAATCAAGAGAGTGAACTTTCTGTAACAATATGAAGCAAGCCCATAGACGTAACATTAAGCAAGAGAAGCCAGACACAGGAGTATGATTGTGTTTATGTGCATTTCAGGAACAGGTATCCCCCTCAGTCAGGATGGTGGTAATGGAAAGGGGTGGTATATTGACTTAGAAGGACATGAGGAAGCCTGAGGTGCTGGAAGTGTTCTATCCCTTGATTATTCTGTACCTTGTGTGGGTATACATGTATAAAAATGCATTGAAATTTATATATATAAGATTTATGTACTTTATGAATGTTATACTTTAATAAAACACATGAAGCAAAAATGGACAGAATCACAAGGGGAAATAGACAAATCCACAATTATGACATGATATTTTATACCCAGTAAATTGATAGAACAAGTAGATTTTAGAAATCAGTAAGGATATAGAGTAGACCACTTGAATGATCAGCAAACTTGGCCTACATGGACACGTGGATCACTGCCCCTAACAATTGAACATCTCTTCAAGCTCATTGCACAGTTACCAGTCTGGTCATGTGTTGGTCCGTAAAGCAAGTCTCGACAAATTTAAGACGATTAAAATAATTTAGCAGGGGTGTCCAACCTTTTGGTGTCTCTGGGCCACACATTAAATACACAGACACTAATAAGAACTGATGAACAAAAGAAAAAGTTTTACGTAAATTCATGATTTTGTGTTGGGCCACATTCTTGCCATCCTGTGCTTCAGGCAGCCCACAGGCTGCGGGTTGGACACCCCTGATTTAGAGTATGTTTGTAAGGCAATTAAAGATCTGTTAAAAATGGTAATCAGAACATCCTGTGTGTTTGGAAATTAAGAACTACATTTAAAATTGCCCGCAGGTCAAAGAAGCAATCACATAGGTGGGAGTTAGAAAAATGTTTTTAAAGGAGTGATAATAAAAATATACATGTGGAAATTTGTGAGCTATAGCTAATGCCAAGCTTAGAGGTAAATTTATACCTTTAAATGCATGTATTGGAAAAAAACCCTGAACATCAGCTGAATATTATCACAAAAAGGTAAAAAGTGAATTGAATTACTTTAGTTTTTACCACTTCTATACCTTTTCAATGCACATGTCTTAACATACTATAATAACCAGTTTGCATGCCCTTACTGGGAACAGCGATCTGTGAGTTCTTTGGGTTCAGAGATTGTGTGTAATTCTTTTTATCTCCAGTGCCTATTAAAGTACCTTACACACCATTGATAGTTGTTTGAACTAAAGTCAGTTTAGTGCCTTAGGGTTGTCAGAAACCCAGAGTCTCAAACTCAAGTGTTTATAAAAGCCAGGCAGGTGAAGGAGTGGGGCCGGCCTACGACCCACTTACAGGGAACATGGCAACTGCAGAGGGCATGCCCTCTAAAGGACGACTGTGCAGCTGCTCCACCCTGGTTGGTAGTTGCCACGGGACAGGGCTTGCCTGGTATGTCTAGATCTCCCCATTTGTTTATCAGAAGGCAGGAATTCAGATTTTGATGTGAAGTCTCCATTTTTGAAGTGTTGGAAACTAATTAAAAAAATAATACAGTGAGTGCCAAGCCAAATTACATGGTTCTGTGGCTGCCAGTTTGCAACCTCTGTTCTGTTTCACACCTTTGGGAGGTGGGAATGTGTGTCATGTTTAACCGTTCCAGCCAGTAGACTCTTGTGCAGCCTCTTCCGTGAAGCATATTTCTGCCGAAGGAGAGGGTCATGGCTGCTTCCTAATTGGATTTCTGGGTCATATCTGTAAGAGGTTTGCAAGGTTTTTAAAAGCCTTCTTTGTAGTTGGCTGTTTACCCCAGCTGAATTAGACATGTGTTCCCAAAGATTTTTCCCCCTCCTTTTGTTTTAATATTCTTAATGATGCATTCTGACTTTTTCACTCTATTTTCTACACATTTGTCACCACTTCTGCTTTTGGATCTTCATGCTGGAAAATCTGAGGCTTACATGGAAGATTGATTTTTAATGCCCCTTGTGTTGTTTTTCAGCTGTAACATTTGCATGCAATTATGACATTTTAAAAATAGGAGACTGCAGGGTTTGCAAAAAAAGACTCTTCTGGGTGGATGAGCAAATGGAAAGGCCAGGCTTTAATTTTGTTAACATCCCAATTACATCGTGGTAACCCTTGTGACGAGTTCTGTCCCTTGTAATGCAACACCTGGTTTTTGTTCCAGGGACAGGGACCAAGCCTGGCTGACTCAACTCAACCCTTGCTCAGTCATGAAAACGTTGATTGAAAAACTCATGTTTTCCGTGAGCCAGCAGAGGTCACTATTTCAAAGTCGTTAGAGGAAAAATTGTCTCCCGACCACACCTCTTTTGTTTGGGGGAGGTTTTATTCATAGCACTGGTGGGAGACTTTTTTTTTTAATTCGTACTTTTGGAATCTTCTAGTGTTCTTTGAAAATCAATTGTTTTTATATGGTGCATTTACCAGTGCTGATGGCTTCAGTGGGCTTCTGTGGATCATTGGTCATGGGAGTGATAACTGTACCATTAATCGAGCACCTCCTGGGTGCTGGACTCTGTGCTTCATACTCTACACACATTATTTTTAACAGCCACTTCTCTTCCAGGGTTGTGGTGAAGATTACCTAAGTTTTCCAGAAGAGGAACTGAGGCAGGAGAAGTCATGTAGCTACCCGAGGACGTAGCTAGTGGAGATGGGATTCAGATGCAGGGGAGATCCAGCTTCAAAGCCAAACTCTTATTTTCTTGGGAGCTCTGCTCCCTCCCCCAAGAGAAGTAATAGTTTAGCTGCTTGAAGCAACAGTCACCAGGAATGTATGAGAGGAGTATGTATTTTTGAAACAAATCCTTAGAAGCAGCTTGCTGTTTTCCCGTTGCAAATTTCAGCCTGTTATTTTTTTGAAGCTCGACTTCTTAGTCTTCTTTGGAGGTAGGAGCTGTGATGTTCTGTCAGACTTTGCTCCTTCTCCACATGAAAACAAATATTAGTCATATATTGTCTC